CATGGATGCTGCCCATCTGCACAAACAATAAAGAAAGGCTCTTTTTGATTCAATTCTGAAGATGAAAAACCCCGGCATGTAGCCTTGAACCGGCTGCTCAATGTTACACAAGAAATGGGTCATTGTTAGAGGGGCCGAAATCACATAATTTCCCTCTTGCCCTCTAATATTGCCCATCTGTAAAGGAAAAACTATTTGCAACCATAGAAGTCTTTCCTAGGCCACATTGTCACAAGCCATGCCATTCTTTGTTTCCATTGCTTTTGCATAGAGAATTGGCAGGTGCATTTGCATAGTGTACGTCTTGTTTTGTTCACCACAGATCAAGGTAGCATTGTCACGAATCACATAGCTACACAAATGGTAAGGTTATGGTATTCTTAAAGTGATAGTTCCCTTCAAAACCAAACTTTGTCAGATGTTTTCAAAAGTGGTTTAATGCTGTGTAGTACTGTCACAGCTATATGCCTCAACTGCTAATGAATGGGATAGGCACCGCACAGTCTAACATGCAGAAATCATAGGGTGCCTATCTTTTCCATTAATTTGCGATTGAGGCACACAGTTTAACAACAGATGGTGTGCAATTTTGGAGTAAACTATCACTTTCTGTGGTTCAGGTATAGAAATGTAACCTCTCTGTAGAATGCATAGCATTTGGTGTGACTAGTTTCCCCCCTGTGGTTTGCTGACTGTTCCCCCTACCCCCTGACTAGTGTGTCCCACAAAGCTCCGCCATGCCAACACGTGACCTTGCCATCTGTTTGGGTAAGGTTGGTTGTCTGTCGGCACCAGATTAGGCTACTAAAGTGCAATTAACTAATATGTACTGAGCTGAACAAACGTACAAAGTTGTGTTTTCATATTAGGCTACTTTGAAAAATGGGCTAGGCCTAATGTTCTTAGGTTGTGCAATACTGAAGACAAATGTGATGGAACTTAAATTTAGAATTGTTTTCCAATCATCAACCAGGTCCTTGCTTATGTTTTAGGTATTATTGTTCATGGCTATGTTGGTTATAGTTAATATAATGTTTCACCTGTTACCAAGCCTGTGATGAAAACGCCACAGCAGTCCTTCATGTCCTTTGCCCTTTCCATCCCTTTCTTGGCTGAGTTTGTGAGTCCGCATGCGCATGCGCGATATGCTTTGAGTTTTGATCGAGCCAGATGAGTTGAGAGCGCCGAGCGACTCAAATTAGCGGGAACCTGTCACTTTAAGAATAAACTCTCCTGTTGCATGGGGAAGCTGGTGATTTTCCACTCAAACTCATATTAAACGCGCACCCGCTCTCAGAAACAAAGGTCAGAGAGAGAGGGAGAGAGAATTCGTGTAATTAATTTCCGATGCAATTGTTTTATTGAGCACTCACAGCACAACACAAGTTTAAGGGACAGCTCAAGCTATACAATTACCTGGCAGGTAATTAAGCATCATCTTTATCCATCAGAGAGATAAGTAATAGAAAATTAGATTATTGTTTGTATGTTCTTAATGTATAGGCTAATATTCACATTCTTTTCATGATATAAGCCATATTGTGATTGATATTTTCTGAATAGAGCAGCCAATGTATGTTCTGTAACAATTTCTCAAGGTTTTGGGCTGAAATATACATTTTGTTCTTTGATGTTTTCAGATATAAAAGTAAGTGTCCTCTTGGGAATCTCTCTCCCTGTTTGATAATGTTTTATTTGAAGTGATGTTAATAGTTGCTGTGTGTATAAAACCTAATTATGCAGTGCGTGTGTCTGTGAGCGCACATGATGTGTAGGCTAAAAACACCGTAGCCTGGACATCAACCCTGTGACGTCTTATATTGCCTTTGGACGTCAAACAATTTAATTAAAGCCAATGTTTTTGGGTATATTTTATTTGTCATAAAATTATGACAAAATGCAACATTAAAGTATAGGTATATTTTGGTTGCCATTGTCTGTGAGTGCGCTTCCGCGTTTGAAATTCTATAAATGAATAGGCTATATTTCCTACGCTATATCATTGTTTTTTTTAAATAATGCAATGCATTCTAAGAGGCCAACTTTTGTGGTTTGGGGTGGATGTATTGCCTTTAAGACTTCGCTCTCCTTTACGATGTTACTGTCTCTCTCCCACGTGTGCCTTCTTAATCAAACCTAGCCTATATTGGATGGATTGGTTTTGTCAACGTGCAATAATGATGAGGACTGTTATTTGAAAGACGATGGTGTTCGTGAGCTAGGTGTGACGGTTTAAGACGGGTTTAATACCAAATAACAGGTTGTACATCTTAACCCACTTATTTTGTCTTCACTCTGCCCGACAGAGTCCCAACTCCCGACAGAGAAACAGGCATTGATTGAGATTGAGGCGTGTCCTTTTTCGTACCATATTTTTTAGGAACAACAATGTTGTAGTTTGTCATCTGCTGATGAGAATGGATCGACTCTCGCCCTCCATTGGCTTTTGTATGACTTTGAAGAGGTGACGTTTTATAAATCAGATAATGACATTTATAATTTGCTGTTCCTTTGGGATAAATAATTATTGATGTGTGGTTTGAGTCTTTTAGACACTGACACAATAGGCTGTAGTAGGCTAGTCTACAAACAAATGTGTCATAAAGATGAAGATGGCTTGTGTTTTTGTTTTGTATGTCAAGAGTGGATTTATGAAACATTGATCTATTTCTTAACCATTGTCTTGGGTCTTTCCTAACCAACCATGAATGAGTTGTTGATAGTAGCCAAACATACACTTGCAGTATTGCTGCAAAGATGATGCTTTCTCACAGAAGCCTGTTTACAAAGGATAATGTGAAAACAATAGATATACAATGAAAATAAAATGCACATAACTGCATAGGCAAAGTCTACGGTCTATTACCATTTTGATTCTTCATCTCATATCTGTGTATGATCAATCATTATCTCTACCCTTTTTATTTTTTAACTCAAATGGGCCCTTTTTGAATAGGAAATCAAAAGGAGTAACAGTATTGAGTTTTCTGTCATATGAATATGTAATACACTGCAGCTATACTGATGTGTGCACCTTATTACTGAGCCAGTATGCAATATTCCATGCCTATCAAAATAACAGTGCCGTGGGGTCAAGCATCATGCTACATTATCCCACATCGCTGTTATCTGAGTAATTGTTGGTCATTGACACAATGCTGTGCTGTTGACATAGCTCTCCCTCCTGACATGTCACATTTACATTTGTTATTGGATTACCCCTTTAATGTATTTCACTTGCTTAAACACAAATGTTGTGCAAGACAAAACCCCTTGAGGTGGATCCAGTTGTTTCCAATGGGGTCCAGAGAGCTGGTTTGGGATGCTTGGCTGTTATTTGATGAATGTTTCTCTTTTCTATAACATCATGCTACACAGTAACATCCTGTCATGTTGAAATAGAGGGTCTGCCCTCAAAGATTAACTTGATTTCAACTTTAACTGCTGAATGTAAAGAGTAAAAAAACAACCTCCCCCTAGACTGTTGTCTCCAGGCAAGCTGCATCAGTTAAATTTGATCTTAGAGACATCTCAGAATTCGGAGCCAAGACAAGCATTCCAATTCCATAAATCTGTTATATTATATAATAGCGATTGTGTGCCATCCGCTGTATACCCAAATAAGAGTGGTATGGGTTTGGTGAGGAGAAATTGTAGAAACAAAGCTACAAGTGAGCCAACATATTAATTGGTTTGGACAAAGTTTAATACTCCACTGAATGAAGTAATTGAGGAATGGTTTGGCTGTTATAAAACATGCAGACAAGGCTTTTTGTTTTAAAACCATGCCCAGCCACCTAAAAGAGGGGCACATGATTTGTCATAAACAGAAAATGTACCTTTGACTAAAGGTCTTATCAAATAGTTTGATATTTAACAGTCTTTGATTCTGTCTTTAATGCTTCAGTCTCAGAAGATAGTGTCAACAGTCTGAGACCACAATGCAGTGGAATAAAGTGAAAAAAACGAAATCTATTCTCAGATTTGCGATGACAATTAAAGCAACTGTATGAAATAGGAGCTCTGTCACACTCCTTTCCTACTCCTCTGTTGTCTGCCAATTTGTAACAGAACACAAGACCAATCTCAAGGAAACTCATTCACAGTATAACTTTGGTTTCTTTAACATGATGTAACAGAACGTTTCTTTGCACTATGCAAAACAATGTGAGTTGTTATATTTTTCCAGAAGTGGCAAGGATATTCGCAGTCTGCAAATATCATGTAAAGTGACTACTTCTGTGTGTGTAAAAGCCTGCCGAAAGCCAAGCCCTGTCCTCTGTCAAAAGGATTGCGCAAATCCTGGAGTCAAGTTTAACACAGTTTTTTAATTACAGTGCCAGCTATTGTACACGTGAGATCCTTTATGAGTATATTATGGTGTCTAAACAGAACAGGGAAGAATACAGGACCCATCACCTTATTAGGCATTGTTATAGAGTGCGCTGTACCTGGTTTACGTTTGTCCTCTGTAGCTCAGCTGGTAGAGCACGGCGCTTGTAACGCCAAGGTAGTGGGTTCGATCCCCGGGACCACCCATACACAAAAATGTATGCACGCATGACTGTAAGTCGCTTTGGATAAAAGCGTCTGCTAAATGGCATATTATTATTTATAACCCGGCACACGCCATTTCTGAATGGAGCAGAAGGCTCCCAAATACACCACAGAGACACTTCCCTGATTATATCCTGCCACCGATTAACAACACTATATTTATATTCACAAATAGTTCCCATAGAGATATTTGAAAGTCTTTGCTGTGATGTGAAATGACACAGTCATACGCAGTTATAATAGGAAATGTCCCACATTTCCAATGCTATGTGGAAGTGGGACATTAAGACAGAAATAAATGAAAACTTAGCATGGTCAGCCAAGCCAGTCATCAGTCCCTTCCTTCAGTCCCTGTCCACCCATCAGCCCTTACCCACATAATGTTTTAAGAGGGCTCCTTTCTCCTGCCCAGAAGCTGTCCCTTGAGGCTTGATTTCCCCTGCATGCTGCTGCTCATGGCCTACTACTCTGTTCACACCCCTCCCTCCCTCCCTCCCTCCCTCCCTCCCTCGCCACCCTATCCTGTCATCTGTTTCAGTTACGTGAATAAGGAGTGCCTGTGACACATGCAGGGCAAAGCGTTCAGCCCCAGTCCCTCACTGTGTTGTGTGTGTGTGTGTGTGTGGTGGGTGGGGGGGGGGGGATGTAAGTTGGAAGTGGAAATTTACAGTCCCGAATCAGTATCTGGAGAGTTGGTTCACGACTGTGCCCAATCTCCACATAGGATTTAATTGTCTTTAGCTGAGGGCGGCCCTCGCTGTCAGCTCCACTTCTTGTGAGCAGTGTTGGCATAAAGACATTCAGTACAGAGGAATGGTGACAGCTGAGAGAGAAGCACACTACATATAGCCACAGCCATGAAGGAAATGTAAGTCCTTGGAATTACTCAACTGGAATGATAAAATAGCCTTATCTAAATATTTTTGTCAAGTGATTATTAAGGTCTGTTTTGGGATGCTTTTTGTTTAAACTGAATAAGCAATTTCATGTAAGTACTTAGAAACCCTTGAATTAGCATATTTTAAATGTCTTTGTTAATGCTTTAAGTGTGAAAAGGGGGAACTACTTCACCAAGACTATGGATTGCATTCAGTCCTTTATGTCCGTTTACCTTGTATCTTTTGCAATGCATGTTTGTACAGAATTTTTCTTTGTTTGACTGACTATCAGATGCTAAGTTGGAGATGTGTCTAATAAAATCTAATCAAATCTAATTTTATGTGTAGACCTTACCGTGAAATGCTTACTTACGAGCCCTTAACCAACAATGCAGTTCAAGAAATAGAGTTAAGAAAATATTTACTAAATAAATTAAAGTAAAAAATAAATGCAGTGTTTTCAGATAATGACAGTGTGATGTTTTAGAAGGGTTTGAGAATGTCTGGTCAAGAGTGTCTGGGTGGGTCACGTAGTCGATCCCATGGACTGTTTGCCTTAAGTCTATCTGACGGCAGACAGCCTCCCAGCACCCAGCAGGTGAAAGCACATAGAGCAAGAGAGAGAGAGAGAGAGATAGAGGGATAGAGAGTGGAAGAGAAATAGAGTGGGCGAGAGCTGATCCAGTTATGTAATGAGGTTTGAGAGTGGAAAGCGATTCAAGTTGACTTGTCATGCATAATAGAGACAGAGAGAACCTAGAAAATGACAGAGCAGAATGAGCAGAGCAATGGAGAGGAACATAATATGAGCTGGATTGAGTAATGAGGGGTTGTGTGGTTGTAGCTCAAGCAGCCATTTTAAAGGGCAATTTCAATTTTTTTAAAACTTCATATTCATAATCTCCAGCACCACCCCAACATCAACATATGTGAAAATTGCGCGTTTCTATGTTTTGTAGTGAAAAAGATAGAGGAAGATAAGTGTTTCCAGTGACATCATCAGTGTGCATTGTGTGATTTGAACCAATTATGAGTAGGCAAAACATAGAAATACTCCACTTTCACACATGTTGATGTTGGGGTGGTGCTGGAGATGATGTATATGAAGTTGAAGTGAAATTTCCCTTTAATCATTTAATGAAAGAATGAGTAGTTATTTGAGACTGCAAGACAAGTTCACTTTTTTATCAGACTCTGAAAAACAGAAGCACAGAGAGGTCACTGGTCAATGTGTGCAGCTTTGCATTAGATTTTCACAATGTGGTATTTGTCTGTGAATAGCTACAATGTGTGTGGAGCTGCTTAAAAGCAGCTCTGTTCTATTTCTTAGTCTGCCTGTACAGTGGCTACATGAGGTAACTGTGTGGAGTGTTAGTCATACGACAAGGTGAATGAGGATACCGTATGTTTTAACTGAGAGTAGTTGGCTGCCTTTCAACTGAGAGTAGTTTGGATAGATTGTTCTGTAAACTGGCAATACATGTATGTATTTGAAAAGAAAAAGAAAAAATTATAACCACAAATGGTGCTAAGTGTTAAGTGGCAAGTCCAGGCACTCCTGTGGTTTGAAAGTTAAAAAGCCTTTAATGTATGGGCTGACATGATTAAAATACACCAACGCCTATAGGCTTACACCTTCATCAGGGTATCTGACAATAATATGTATTGTTGAGAGATCCAACTATAAATCAACTTTGAATTATACTGTCACTTTCAGAGGCTAAAAGAGAAACATTTACTTTTTGGAGAAAGATTTGTTCTCTAGCTACTGTTCTGTGAATCTTTTGGAAACCAAGCACCTAGTCGACTGACTCGTAAGCTTTTGTGAGGAAACCAATCCTCAATGACAGATTTATTTTGGAGCCAGTGAGAGTAGAGGGGAAGCCTTTGATGTTCTCAGTTTCTGCCAACTGCATTTGTCTGAGTCTGCCTCAAAAGGACAGGAAACCTTACCCTGTTACACTGGTATTAGCAGACTTACAATTAATCATAGCTGCTTTTTTCATTCTTCCTGTTTATACGGCGCCATTCATTATATTCCAGTAGTAAGCTTGAATCAATTTGTGTCTTAACATGTCCAAAGAATTTCTTGTCCACCAATACCTCCTGCCCTGCCATGCTTTGGTTGTTTTACAGCCCTTTGGCACAGGCAGGGAAACGGGATACCTGAGACAGTAATTACAAATCCTGTCTTTCTTGGAAAGGCTGTTTACAGTATAAACATTCAGTGAACTTAAGCTGTGGGATCTTCCGGAACCCATCCAAGCCTTCGGCATGGACACGGATACAGTGCCTTCAGAAAGTATTCACACCCCTTGACTTTTTCCACAGTTTGTTGTGTTACAGCCTGAATTTAAAATGTATGAAACTGATATTTTTTGTCAGACACAATCCCCAATAATATCAAAGTAGAATTATGTTTTTAGAAATGTTTACAAATGAATAAAAAATGAAGTCAATAAGTATTGAACCCCTTTGTTATGGCAAGCCTAAATAAGTTCAGGAGTTAAAATGTGCTTAACAAGTTGCATAATAAGTTGCATGGACTCACTCTGTGTGCAATAATAGTGTTTAACATTATTTGTTAATGACTACCTCATCTCTGTACCCCACACATACAATTATCTGTAAGGACCCTCAGTCGAGCAAAGAATTTCAAACACAGATTCAACCACAAAGACCAAGGAGGTTTTCCAATGCCTCGCAAAGAAGGGCACCTATTGGTACAGTGGGGGGAAAAAAGTATTTAGTCAGCCACCAATTGTGCAAGTTCTCCCACTTAAAAAGATGAGAGGCCTGTAATTTTCATCATAGTTACACGTCAACTATGACAGACAAATTGAGAATTTTTTTCCCCAGAAAATCACATTGTAGGATTTTTAATGAATTTATTTGCAAATTATGGTGGAAAATAAGTATTTGGTCACCTACAAACAAGCAAGATTTCTGGCTCTCACAGACCTGTAACTTCTTCTTTAAGAGGCTCCTCTGTCCTCCACTCGTTACCTGTATTAATGGCACCTGTTTGAACTTGTTATCAGTATAAAAGATACCTGTCCACAACCTCAAACAGTCACACTCCAAACTCCACTATGGCCAAGACCAAAGAGCTGTCAAAGGACACCAGAAACAAAATTGTAGACCTGCATCAGGCTGGGAAGACTGAATCTGCAATAGGTAAGCAGCTTGGTTTGAAGAAATCAACTGTGGGAGCAATTATTAGGAAATGGAAGACATACAAGACCACTGATAATCTCCCTCGATCTGGGGCTCCACGCAAGATCTCACCCCGTGGGGTCAAAATGATCACAAGAACGGTGAGCAAAAATCCCAGAACCACACGGGGGGACCTAGTGAATGACCTGCAGAGAGCTGGGACCAAAGTAACAAAGCCTACCATCAGTAACACACTACGCCGCCAGGGACTCCAATCCTGTAGTGCCAGACGTGTCCCCCTGCTTAAGCCAGTACATGTCCAGGCCCGTCTGAAGTTTGCTAGAGTGCATTTGGATGATCCAGAAGAGGATTGGCCTAGCCAGTCTCCAGATCTCAACCCCATAGAAAATCTTTGGAGGGAGTTGAAAGTCCGTGTTGCCCAGCGACAGCCCCAAAACATCACTGCTCTAGAGGAGCAACAGTGGTGAAAACCTTGAAGACTTACAGAAAACGTTGACCTGTGTCATTGCCAACAAAGGGTATATACAAGTATGAGAACTTTTGTTATTGACCAAATACTTATTTTCCACCATAATTTGCAATAAATCATAAAAATCCTACAATGTGATTTTCTGGATTTAATTTTCTCATTTGTCTGTCACTAGTTGACGTGTACCATGATGAATTACAGCCCTCTCTCATCTTTTTAAGTGGGAGAACTTGCACAATTGGTGGCTGACTAAATACTTTTTTCCCCCACTGTAGGTAGGTAAAAAAAAAAAGCAGACATTGAATATCCCTTTGAGCATGGTGCAGTTATTAATTACACTGTGTATGGTGTATCAATACACCCAGTTACTACAAAGATACAGGCGTCCTTCCTAACTCAGTTGCTGGAGAGGAAGAAAACCGCTCAGGGATTTTACCTTGAGGTAAATGGTGACTTTGAAAACAGTTACAGAGTTTAATGGCTGTGATAGTAGAAAAGTGAGGATGGACTCCAATTGACAGAGTGAAAAGAAGGAAGCCTGTACAGAATATTCCAAAACATGTATCCTGTTTGCAACAAGGCACTAAAGTAATATTGCAAAAAATTTGGCAAATCAATTAACTTTGCCCTGAATACAAAGTGTTAAGTTTGGGGCAAGTACAATACAACACATTACTGAGTACCACTATCCATATTTTCAAGCATAGTGGTGGCTGCATCATATAATGGGTATGCTTGTAATTGTTAAGGACTGGGGAGTTTTTCTGGATAAAAAATAAACAGAATGGAGCTAAGCACAGGCAAAATCCTGATTCAGTCTGCTTTCCACCAGACACTGGGAGATAAAATACACAGCCCAAAATAAGCACTTTTATTTGGGTATTTGAATGATTATTTGTAAAAACCAAATAGTCTGCCAAAATATATTTGACTGTATGTTCAATACTTATTTAAAATACTATTTTCAAATACCCGGGTTAAATGCATGGGAGTTTATTTGAGTCAGTGTATTTGAGTTTTTCATATACTTTCCAAGTGTATTTCCAAATACATTAAAATATGAAACTACTTTTCAAATAAAATATACAGTGGGGAGAACAAGTATTTGATACACTGCCGATTTTCCTACTTACAAAGCATGTAGAGGTCTGTAATTTTTATCATAGGTACACTTCAACTGTGAGAGACGGAATCTAAAACAACAATCCAGAAAATCACATTGTATGATTTTTAAGTAATTAATTTGCATTTTATTGCATGACATAAGTATTTGATACATCAGAAAAGCAGAACTTAATATTTGGTACAGAAACCTTTGTTTGCAATTACAGAGATCATACGTTTCCTGTAGGTCTTGACCAGGTTTGCACACACTGCAGCATGGATTTTGGCCCACTCCTCCATACAGACCTTCTCCAGATCCTTCAGGTTTCGTGGCTGTCGCTGGGCAATACAGAATTTCAGCTCCCTCCAAAGATTTTCTATTGGGTTCAGGGTTGGAGACTGGCTAGGCCACTCCAGGACCTTGAGATGCTTCTTACGGAGCCACTCCTTAGTTGCCCTGGCTGTGTGTTTCAGGTCGTTGTCATGCTGGAAGACCCAGCCACGACCCATCTTCAATGCTCTTACTGAGGGAAGGAGGTTGTTGGCCAAGATCTTGCAATACATGGCCCCATCCATCCTCCCCTCAATACGGTGCAGTTGTCCTGTCCCCTTTGCAGAAAAGCATCCCCAAAGAATGATGTTTACACCTCCATGCTTCACGGTTGGGATGGTGTTCTTGGGGTTGTACTCATCCTTCTTCTTCATCCAAACACGGCAGGTGGAGTTTAGACCAAAAAGCTCTATTTTTGTCTCATCAGACCACATGACCTTCTCCCATTCCTCCTCTGGATCATCCAGATGGTCATTGGCAAACTTCAGACGGGCCTGGACATGCGCTGGCTTGAGCAGGGGGACCTTGAGTGCACTGCAGGATTTTAATCCATGACGGCGTAGTGTGTTACTAATGGTTTTCTTTGAGACTGTGGTCCCAGCTCTCTTCAGGTCATTGACCAGGTCCTGCCGTGTAGTTCTGGGCTGATCCCTCACTTTCCTCATGATCATTGATGCCACACGAGGTGAGATCTTGCATGGAGCCCCAGACCGAGGGTGATTGACCGTCATCTTGAACTTCTTCCATTTTCTAATAATTGCGCCAACTGTTGTTGCCTTCTCACCAAGCTGCTTGCCTATTGTCCTGTAGCCCATCCCAGCCTTGTGCAGGTCTACAATTTTATCCCTGATGTCCTTACACAGCTCTCTGGTCTTGGCCATTGTGGAGAGGATAGTCTGTTTGAGTGTGTGGACAGGTGTATTTTATACAGGTAACGAGTTCAAACAGGTGCAGTTAATACAGGTAATGAGTGGAGAACAGGAGGGCTTCTTAAAGAAAAACTAACAGGTCTGTGAGAGCCGGAATTCTTACTGGTTGGTAGGTGATCAAATACTTATGTCATGCAATAAAATGCAAATTAATTACTTAAAAATCATACAATGTGGTTTTCTGGATTTTTGTTTTAGATTCCGTCTCTAACAGTTGAAGTGTACCTATGATAAAAATTACAGACCTCTACATGCTTTGTAAGTAGGAAAACCTGCAAATGCAGCAGTGTATCAAATACTTGTTTCCCCACTGTATCTGAATACTTACTTCGAATGCATGTGAAAGTAATTGAGCTATTTGACATAGTATTTGAACTCAGGTCTGATTACCAGGACATGTCTCAATATGATATCCCTGGTTAATTAATGGATACAAAATTATACATAATCAAGATTGTCTATATTATGCAAATTGTATGTGTACAGTGTAACTGTGCACAAGTGAAGATTGTTCAACCCAGAGAGATTTGCAATGCAAGATGGAATGTATATCCAATGTGAAGTAAATAAAAGAGAACTGTGGCGAGGAGGAAGCCATACAGTGACTCCTGTAGCAGTTCTCATTGCAGGCTCTATACTGACACATAGCTAGCTGTATCACTGTATCACGCCATGGCTGACTATACAGCACGTGAGATACCCTCATCTTGCTAATGCGCCATCCTATCTCTGCCTTATCCGGCTCACGTCTCTCTCTCTTCCTGTTCATCTCTCTCTCTCTCGCGCTTTCTCTAACTCTCTCTCTCTCTCTCTCTCTTTCCCTCTATAGCATGGCACAGAAAGAGAAACTCCAATGTCTGAAGGATTTCCACAAGGACACGCTGAAGCCTTCGCCAGGGAAGAGCCCGGGCACGCGGCCGGAGGACGAGGCAGAGGGCAAGCCCATCCAGAGGGAGAAGTGGGCCAGCAAGCTAGACTTTATCTTGTCTGTGGCCGGAGGCTTTGTCGGTTTAGGGAACGTGTGGCGCTTCCCGTACCTCTGCTATAAGAATGGTGGAGGTATGCATTCAAATGAACATTGGCCCTTTCTCCATACAGACAGCTCTTAAAATGGGGGGTCACTCAAGTTTGATAATAGTTTTCAGGAACCTTCAAAAAAGTCGTCGGGGACTGCAATTACAGGCTTTTGATTTGTGAAATGGCTGTGGGTGGGCACATACTGTAGACCCTGACATTTGTAGGCTAACTGTCTGTTCCCTTTCCCTCTCTCTCGCTTCCTCTCCTCCACCCAGGTGCATTTCTCATCCCATACACCATCTTCCTGTTTGGTGGAGGCCTGCCGGTGTTCTTCCTGGAGGTGGCTCTGGGACAGTATACCTCTGAGGGAGGCATCACCTGCTGGGAAAAACTCTGCCCCATCTTCACCGGTGAGTCACCACACTGCTTCCCATTGTCCTAATACCATTCCCCCCTGTTGCCCTTAGACCAGTCATCATCAGGGAAAGTAGGCAGGGAAAGGAGGTTGTGTAAGCCTTCTTGGACATGTACTGTAGGTGGTAACGTCAGAGACTGACAGAGGGATTAGTGAAGAGCCTAAACACAGCAGAGTTTCCATTAGTGAAAGCTCAGGCGGGGTGCCAAACATGCTTGGTGCCTTCTTAGTGCATTGTCCCATTGCAAAAAAAATCGCTACTAAAAATAATGATGTTACCAGCCTTTGATCTAGCCTCAATGTTCTTCATGTCCTGCTAAAAAAATCAAAATCCAGTGACAATACCCAAACCGCAGTTGTCCTGTTTTTCTGACTGCTCTTGTGAAACTCCCCAACAGCGTCCAGCAGCGCTGATTGTGCTGTTGGTCTGTGGGTTGCTAGACTCAGTGCACAGACATTGAGTTCTGCTGAGGTGTCCCTCCCTGTGTTCCAATGGGTAATTGGACAACAGTTACTTCATTCATTAGCATGCTCTGTGATGTGTAAAATACATTATTCAGCATAGCTGTGGAGCAGACTGGTCCCAGATATGGATGTGCTTCAGCCAACTGTCTCTGACTATGCTTTTGACATGCATAAGGATTTAGCTAAAGCACACAGTGCTGGTGATCTGGGACCAGGTTAGTTGAGGATTGCCTCATTTGCATTGGAGCCTGGAGTGGACGTCATCAAACACCAAACATTGAACACTCTAAAAGGCGCTGCATGGTCAATCAGACGTCTGCATTGGCCGTGCAGCATTTACGGTGATACTGCCTCTGCAGAAGTCAGGGCATTCATACTTCTTGTGCTTCACGGAGAAGCGCAGAGCTGTTGAGCAGAGCTGTTGTGAAGGAAGTAGTCAAGGAAGTGAGTTTGTGTTTTTACAGGACCGCCTGCCCCCACCTACCGTCAACCAATCATGTCAATGCGGAGGTATACTGAGCTATACGGAGCCCTCCGCATTGTTATAAAAATTTGGGAGGCACACAGCGATGCAGTACGGAGCTCAATTTTGGCCTCTGCATGCCTCTGAAGGCTCTGCAATTGCGTCACACCCACCATACGTACGGAGCCTTCGACCACACCGGATCAAGCATAAATTGCCATTTAGACTGGCCTATTTTTTTGTCTTGTGGCAGCTAAATACAAACATATACACGCACATGTATTTTCAGCCTTGGTTGTGTAAAGTAGTGCTGAGTTCTGTGTTACCATGGCAACAGAGAAGGGTAGCGCGAGTTGCCTAGCGATGGGATCTGCCCCAAAATAATACATATCTCATGCAGTGGATCAGCAATGAAAACACTCAGCATTTTTCATGAAATGATGGACGGTGTAGGTCTTGGCAACAGAGGCCACCTGTTTTGTTTGTCAGCACCACGGATATGTTATCGGATAATAGCAAGATGTCGTTATTCCAGTCCTGGCGTCAGGGTTTGGCACTGTAACGTATCTCCTTATCAGTCAGGGTCCTGCCATAAGTTTACACTGTGATATACTACAGGCAGACCAGTTAAAACATGTAGACCAGTAGGTAGAGAGACAGCTCCCAGCCATAAGCTGCTATTCCATGAAGCCCTGAACGGCAGGTAGAAAGAGACAGCTGAAGACTGGGGGTGCAACCAATCTTCAGCAGCTGTTGATGAGCTTGAATAATCAAGGAGTGCTGAGGCAGCTGCCTAATTGACTGGCGGGTTGTGTGAACTGGCACACACACACATGCACGTGCGCACGCACGCACGCACACACACTCACTTGCGTACGCACACACTCACTTGCGCGCACACACGCACGTGCGCACGCACACACACGTGAGCACACACACACGTGCGCACACCCACATAGGTGGCCTATAGGCCGGCTGCCATTGTCCCTCTTAGTGTTTTATCACACCTTCAGAAGGCCTGCCTTGCCTCACCCACCACACACACAACCCTGGCTGGCAGAGGTGACGCCACTTTACAAATAGTTCAGAGGAGTGGAAGACTACAGGGGATTTCTGGGACCAAGGTCATTATTACCGGAGTTAGTACACTCAAGCCAGGGAAACATCCTCTCTCTGAAATAGGAGTGTTGAGTTGTGAACATTTGAGTCAGTGGATTGATTTCCATTGGTTTTATGGCCATAAATCTACTCAAAAGGCACTAGGTCAGTGCTGTTCACTGAAGTGCTTCCAGCTCCAATGTTGGCTTTACTTAGTTTAGTTTACAAGGGGATTAAGTGACACATACTGTAGCCCATATGGCACTGTTCTAAAACAGTAAATGGATAAATTGGATATGTGATAGACTAATATAGTTGATTATTTTAATATGTATTTATTTATGTATCGATACTTTATTACATGTAGAGGGTGGCAGGTAGCCTGGCGGGTAGGAGCATTGGGCCAGTAACCGAAAGGTTGCTGGATCGATTCCCCGAGCTGACAAGGTAAAAATCTATCGTTCTGCCCTGAGCAAGGCAGTTAACCCATTTCAGTTGAATGCATTCAGTTGTACAACTGACTAGGTGTCTCCCTTTTCCCTAATTGTTTAAAACCCAATCAAGATACTTGTTCTATTGGAGTTCTGTTGTTTGGGGTGGTTATATGGCATTTAGCCACAAAACATGATTATTTGTCTCCCTAAAATAAAATGACCTTGCAATATATTTCTAACAAAATCATATCTGTTTTTGAATCGGTAAGATGAAAACAGAATAGCTCTATCTCTTTCACAAGATGTGTTTTTAATTCATATCAATTTACCAATATTTCAAATCAATTGATATATCACGTTTTGGAATGAAACTCTTGTGGTTTCACTATTTAGTTGTAGGACATCGATTTTTCATGGTGATTTCATCATGGCTGTAACTTATTCCAGGAACACTAGTTCTCTGTTTACTCCCATGCTTCTGCACTGGTTTACTGATATAATAAAGAATCAATCCTGTAATGGTTTTAAATAATTATTTCTCTTCTCTGTAGGTATTGGCTATGCCTCTATTGTGATCGTCTCTCTCCTGAACATCTACTACATAGTGATTCTAGCCTGGGGACTCTACTACCTATTCCAGTGCTTTCAGCCGGAGCTGCCCTGGGCCAAATGCAATCAGCCGTGGAACACAGACCGGTGTGTGGAGGACACAGTCCGCAAGAACAAGACCCTGATGCTGGCTGCCAACATCACCAACTTCACCTCGCCCGTCACTGAGTTCTGGGAGTGAGTAGTCACTGTCCGACAGCTGGGTTAACTCTGTTCTGACACACACAGACAAACACAAATGGATACACACACGCACACGCACGCACACACACACACACACCTTTCATGCATACACACGTACGTGAACACAGTCACATTCTGTCCACATTTACAAGGTCAAATACAAACTCAAATATAAACAGTACAGATACTGTGCCTCTTCCTTGTTTGCTGTAAACTTATGTTTGGATGGGCAACATTTCCAGAAACAGAAATCACACTGAACTTTAATAAACTCCCCCTCGGTCATGATGTTCATTCTATCTTTAAATTGGATCATTTCACTGTACTATATTTGGATCAAGGGGTATTATCCTTTTCTTTTCCTCTTAAAAGTCCTGCCAAAGTTGTATCCTCTTGGGAAGCCACAATCACTTAACTTCAAATCACAATTTACGTTAAGATTATGCTTATTTACATTTGGCCAACACAAAATCCAACAGCATAGATGATATCTACTACTAGTCATACAGTTGAAGTCCGAAGTTTACATACACTTAGGTTGGAGTCATTAAAACTTGTTTTTCAACCACTCCACTAATTTCTTGTTAACAAACTATAGTTTTGGCAAGTCAGTTAGGACATCTACTTTGTGCATGACACAAGTAATTTTTCCAACAATTGTTTGCGGACAGATTATTTCACTTATAATTCACTGTATCACAATTTCAGTGGGTCAGAAGTTTACATACACTACATTGACTGTGCCTTTAAACAGCTTAGAAAATTCCAGAAAATGATGTCATGGCTTTAGAAGCTTATGATAGGCTAATTGACATCATTTGAGTCAATTGGAGGTGTACCTGTGGATGTATTTCAAGGCCTACCTTCAAACTCAGTGTCTCTTTGCTTGACATCATGGGAAAATCAAAATAAATCAGCCAAGACTTCAGAAAAAAATGTGTAGACCTCCACAAGTCTGGTTCATCCTTGGGAGCAATTTCCAAACGCCTGAAGGTACCACGTTCATCTGTACAAACAATAGTACGCAAGTATAAACACCATGGGACCACGCAGCCTTCATACCGCTCAGGAAGGAGACGCGTTCTGTCTCCTGAGGTGAACGTACTTTGGTGCGAAAAGTGCAAATCAATCCCAGAACAACAGCAAAGGACCTTGTGAAGATGCTGGAGGAAACAGGTACAAAAGTATCTATATCCACAGTAAAACGAGTCCTATATCGACATAACCTGAAAGGCTCAGTAAGGAAGAAGCCACTGCTCCAAAACCGCTATAAAAAAGCCAGACTACAGTTTGCAACTGCACATGGGGACAAAGATCGTACTTTTTGGAGAAATGTCCTCTGGTCTGATGAAACAGAAATAGAACCGTTTGGCCATAATGACTATCGTTATGTTTGGAGGAAAAAGGGAGAACGCTTGCAAGCCGAAGAACACCATCCCAACCGTGAAGCACAGGGGTGGCAGCATCATGCTGTGGGGGTGCTTTGCTGCAGGAGGGACTGGTGCACTTCACAAAATAGATGGCATCATGAGGAAGAAAAATTATGTGGATATATTGAAGCAATCTCAAGACATCAGTCAGGAAGTTAAAGCTTAGTCGCAAATGGGTCTTCCAAATGGACAATGACCCCAAGCATACTTCAAAAGTTGTGGCAAAATGCCTTAAGGACAACAAAGTCAAGGTATTGGAGTGGCCATCACAAAGCCCTGACCTCAAGCCTATAGAAAATGCGTGGGCAGAACTGAAAAAGCGTGTGTGAGCAAGGAGGCCTACAAACCTGACTCAGTTACACCAGCTTTGTCAGGAGGAATGGGCCAAAATTCACCCAACTTATCGTGGGAAGCTTGTGGAAGGCTACCCGAAATGTTTGACCCAAGTTAAACAGTTTAAAAGCAATGTTACCAAATACTAATTGAGTGTATGTAAACTTCTGACCCACTGGGAATGTGATGAAAGAAATAAAAGCTGAAATTAATAATTCTCTCTACAATTATTCTGACATTTCACATTCTTAAAATAAAGTGGTGATCCTAACTGACCTAAGACAGGGAATCTCTACTAGGATTAAATGTCAGGAATTGTGAAAAACTGAGTTTAAATGTATTTGGCTAAGGTGTATGTAAACTTCTGACTTCAACTGTATATACTGAGTGTACAAAACATTAAGAACACCTGCTCTTTCCATGACATAGACTGACCAGGTGAATCCAGGTGAAAGCTATGATCCCTTAGTGATGTCATTATTTTTATCGACTTCAATCAGTGTAGATGAAGGGGAGGATTACAGGTTAAGCCTTGAGACAATTGAGACATGGATTGTGTATGTGTGCCATTCAGAGGGTGAACGGGAAAGACAAAAGATTTAAGTGCCTTTGAACGGGGCATGGTAGTAGATGCCAGTCTCACCGGTTTGTGTCAAGAACTGCAACATTGCTGGGTTTTTCATGCTCAACAGTTTTCCATGTGTATCAATAATGGTCCACCACCCAGAGGACATCCAGCCAACTTGACACAACTGTGGGAAGCGTTGGCGTCAACATGGGCCAGCATCCATGTGGAACGCTTTTGACACCTTGTAGAGTCCATGCCCCGACGAATTGAGGCTGTTCCACAGAAATAGAACACATAGAATGAAAAGAACATTCTGTCATATTCTCTCAAAATTCTCTAAGGGCACAGTTCATTCAGGCCCAGGGTGTGCTAGAGCAGAGGACGGTTGGTGAAAACTAGACCTCACAGACACACTATTACCCCACCGTCACATCATGTGGATGTTTGCTTTTCACTGCTGTGATGTAACCTCTGTTGGCATGAAACCTTGGTCAGGACCCACAGGAATTATGACATGTCACACTTGCCCTACTTTTTTAAAATGTTTTTGTAGAGCAGGAAACATACTGTACTGTATCCTTCAGGGGTCTACATAAGCCTACAGTTCTGTCCCGTCAGAACAGTCATTAACCTGGATGCTGTCTGCCCCCTCTCTGCTAAGACGCAACGTGCTGAGCATCTCCTCTGGAATTGATGACATCGGGCCACTGAAGTGGGACTTAGCCCTGTGTCTCCTGGCAGTATGGATCGTCTGCTTCTTCTGCATCTGGAAGGGAGTCAAGTCCACTGGGAAGGTGTGTAGAAGCATGATGTGGTTGTTATCAGGCTTGTTTGTAGTCTCTTAAAAAGAGTGTTTACAGATGTAGGATCTTAATTTGATCACCCAGTTGCAGAATAACTTTACTATGAAAAATGTATCAACCCCTACAAAAATGTCCATTAATTATAATCCACATAATAATTCACATTTCCTGTTGCTGCAGGATTATTTTCCTGCTGTAGCAAACTGGCTCAAGTGAAGATCCTACATCTGTATGTACACACCCAAAAAGGGACTCAATGCTGACAGTGTGTTAGTGTGCAGTACAGTACAGCAGATGTGTCCAACACTGATCACTAAACCACTTAAAGGACCACTGTGGCTTGTTGGGAGACTGATCAACTGTCTATTTGGCAAACTGTTACGGAAATACCCCATTCGTGGTTTCAGCTCCCTACTTAAACAAAACACAGAATTAGCCCCTTCCATTATGGTAAACCGTTGCATATCCAGCATTACCATATCTTAACAAGGTAGTGGCTTAAATCCACACTGTAAAAGGCTGCCATTATTACCATGTAATACATTTTCTTATCCCAACGCACCTAGAGCAAACACAGAGCTCTACAGGTCACCTGGTTATGTTATGGAGGCCTCTCCTTACATGACAGCAGCTGTTATTTCAGTTAAAAGCTATTGTAAAATATATTTCCATGCATTCACTCCAGCTGCCCACCCCAACTGAAAACACCTCACACAATGCAATCCACAACAGTCAACTATCTTTGTGCAGTTGTGTCGTACTGTATAATCCATGCTCCCTTTCCTATTTGGTTAAACCCATTTTTTTTTCCAAGAAAGAAACATTCAATTCTGTAAAATGGCCGACTACGCCACTTTTAAAAATTATATTATGAAACCTTGACTTCAGTTGATGGGCTGTCTCTGGAGCCTCTAAGGAGTGGGTAGACATTACCCTCAATCTAACCACTGACACAGAATCAGATATTTCTTAATCCCCTTAATGATTGGGGATTGTTTTTTTTTCCTTCTTTTTTTGTCATTTAGCAGACACTCTTATCCAGAGTGACTTACAGGAGCAATTAGGGTTAAGTGCCTTGCTCAAGTGCACATCAACAGATTTTTCACCTAGTCGGCTCGGGGATTAGAACCAGCGACTTTTCGGGTACTGGCACAACGCTCTTAACCACTAAGCTACCTGCCGCCCAGGTAAACTGATCCTAGATCTGTAGTTTGGGGCAACTTCTACCTCAAGCATCCGCTCCAAGTTCCATTCCGTTATGAAACCTTTACATCAGCTAATAAATCTATATTTGTCACTATCTGTTTTCTCTAGGTGGTGTATATCACAGCAACTTTCCCTTTCGTCATGCTTATTGTGCTGCTGGTGCGTGGAGTGACTCTGCCAGGGGCGTCCGAAGGAATCAAATTCTATCTCTACCCCAACCTGACCCGCCTACAGGATCCAGAGGTAGGAGCCATAACCCTTACCCAAACCCTCATCCCCACCCTTCTACCCATCTTCCCTGTCTCTGTGCAATCCCCTCCCCCCACCCCCAATGACATAACCACACATATCCCCTTTCAGCATCAATGCATATCTGTTTACTTACACGTCTATCAGGGCCTCTCACTGACATCTCTACATCATAAAGTCATCTGGACTGCGGAAAAGGAACCGGTACACAGCCTTGGTTAGGGCTGGTTGAATTATTAGTGGCACTGTAATCTTTGAGAGAACATGTGCAAGACTCGCTAGAACTCTCCAATCATCCAGGTTTGTGACATACATTACATGACTCGTCGAACATCTCATTCCAAAATCATGGGCATTAATATGGAGTTGGTCCCCTCTTTGCTGCTATAACAGCCTCCACTCTTCTGGGAAGGCTTTCCACTAGATGTTGGAGCATTGCTGCGGGGACTTGCTTCCATTCAGCCACAAGAGCATTAGTGAGGTCGGGCACTGATGTTGGGCGATTAGGCCTGGCTCGCAGTCGGCGTTCCAATTCATCCCAAAGGTGTTAGATGGGGTTGAGGTCAGGGCTCTGTGCAGGCCAATCAAGTTCTTCCACACCGATCTCGACAAACCATTTCTGTATGGACCTCGCTTTGTGCACAGGGGCATTGTCATGCTGAAACAGGAAAGGGCCTTCTCCAAACTGTTGCCACAGCATCGTCTAGAATGTAACTAAATGCTGTAGCGTTAAGATTTCCCTTCACTGGAACTAAGGGGCCTAGCCCGAACCATGAAAAACAGCCTCAGACCATTATTCCTCCTCCACCAAACTTTACAGTAGGCATTATGCATTCGGGCAGGTAGCGTTCTCCTGGCATCCGCCAAACCCAGATTCGTCCGTCGAACTGCCAGATGGTGAAGCGTGATTCATCACTCCAGAGTCCAATGGCGGCGAGCTTTACACCGCTCTAGCCGACACTTGGCATTGCGCATGGTGATCTTAGGCTTGTGTGCCGCTGCTCGGCCATGGAAAACCATTTAATGAAGCTCCCTACTAACAGTTATTGTGCTGACGTTGCTTCGGTAGTGAGTGTTGCAACCGAGGACAGACAATATTTACGCGCTACGTGCTTCGGCACTCCGTGGTTCCGTTCTGTGAGCTTGTGTGGCCTACCACTTCGCGGCTGAGCCGTTGTTGCTCCTAGACGTTTCCACTTCACAATAACAGCACTTACAGTTGACCAAGGCAGCTCTAGTAGGGCAGAAATTTGACAAACTGACTTGTTGGAAAGGTGACATCCTATGACTGTGCCATGTTGAAAGTCACTGAGCTCTTCAGTAAGGCCATTCTACTGCCAATGTTTGTCTATGGAGATTGCATGGCTTTGTGCTCGATTTTTTTATATACCTGTCAGCAACGGTTGTGGCTGAAATAGCTGAATCCACTAATTTGAAGGGGTGTCCACATACTTTTGTATATATAGTGTAATTCAATTAGCTCACTGCTCAGGAGTTAAATGAGTTGAGCGAAAATAGGCTGGAAGCTTAGGAAAGAGATAAGATATGTTTCTCTGTTGGTCCCAGTGCAATCTATGGACAAACTGAAGGCATGACAGCAGATGAGATTTAACTATGCCGGATGGACCTGGAAAGTTCCATGACAATCATTCTGCAACATCATGTGGTTTTTTGCAATGAGATTAGAGCTGCTTTTTTATTACATGCTTTGAGCTGGAAAGCTAAAAGGTACTTTTGTTTTATAAATTAGATTTGCAACATGGTATCCCATGTGGTCTTTTTGAGTTCCAATGTTACAACAAAAGCCTCGCTTTGATCAAGATGTTCAGTTTTGATGGAAATGTTCCTTTTTATCCCCGACAGAAGTGCAATTCAGTGCCCTCAATTTGATTTGAGCTCACAACATGTTTAATCAAGTAGTATTGCGTCTTAGCCTCAGTAGCTTAGTTACTTGTACGTTTGATCAGACGCAGAAGGAAAGGTCATAGTAAAATGCCTTAAGTGTGTTAATCAAATTTAATGTCAAATCTCATTGCTTATTAGGTTAATCAAACCCAATTTGTCCCAACAAATATGAAAAAGGTTGCCGGCCATGTGACCAGAAGCGCATGATGAATGGCGAACTGAGCCGCCTGGTATCATGTTGTTGCTGTTGTCGTCTCAGGTATGGATCGACGCAGGAACCCAGATATTCTTCTCCTACGCCATCTGTCTGGGGGCTATGACGTCACTGGGGAGCTACAACAAGTACAAATACAACTGCTACAGGTGAGCTTCGTTGTCATGCGGACAGGGGACTGCTGTAGTAGTAGAGAGAGCAACTCGTGTCAAAGGTGGTTGCGTAAGAAAAAAATGGGAACTTCGGTTCCGTCTGTGTAAATTAACATCCTCCATGACATATGTGTGACATAGGGACTGTTTGCTGCTGGGAGGCCTGAACAGCGGTACCAGTTTTGTGTCTGGCTTCGCAATATTTTCCGTCCTGGGCTTCATGGCACAAGAGCAAGGGGTGGACATTGCCGATGTGGCAGAGTCAGGTACGAGGGTCAAAGGTCAACGGTGAACATAGCAGTGATGGTGGGCACTGCTACCGAACAAAACAGATGATTGGAAAGTTAGAAAAAACGATTTAGTCAAAAAGACACCCAGATTTGAAAGAGGGAAAAAACTAAAAAGCGTCATTTGAAAAGAGAGGTTTTGGAAACGACAATGCTGAAATGTAGAGGTATCGGCAATTGCACACTCCTTGAATAAAGGCCTAAAAGAAACAGAATTGTTGCTTTTTCTATGATGTGTTTTCCACAGCGAATTTGGCTGTGGTTGAGTGCTGTGACGTGTGTCTGAGCTACCATGTAAAGATGGGTTAAATAAAGAGCCACTCATAATCACAGCTGTACTCTACCATCCACAGTCACCTGAGCTCAAAGGCACCAGGTGCACCGATGTTCCACTCTAGGGTTTATAATCTATTTAGAATATTTATGTTTATTTGAAAAATCATGTCATTACATCTTATGATGAGGGGTCATCCATAAGTGTCGATTTAATTTATTTAATTAAGGAATTGTTTACAGTCACTGTAATATGCAGTAAGCCAAAATAAGAAATTATTGGGCATTCTGTTCCAATTAAATTGTTAATTGTTATCATTTGTGTTGGGTAATACAGTAGACTGTGCTCACGACCAGTGAAATAGTTGTGGAAAACGACAGTGCTAAGTATTGCAATGTAACTGTAATGTTAAGTACTGTACTGCATTGAGCTGTGGATCCCTGAGGTGGCTTTAGCTAAGCGGTTCTGTTTCTGCCCACCTTGATATTGTATTCTATGTGGATTCCGAAGGAGATGCATCTTCTTTCAGCATGCTCGCTCTGTCCAGTTCAGTGTTGCTATTGTTCCTCTAAACAACAACCTGGTTCAGAGAGAAACTGTTTCCATGTACTTTAACTTGAATTATTACGAAGAGAGAATTATATTGTACTGTGACTGTTATAGCTGTGTATGCTGTGTTTATGTCAATTGGAATGATTGAAAATCAATGTTTGATAATTTTTTTAATTGCTATAATTCATGCATATTTAATGGAAAAAGAAGAACTTGAAAAATAGGTCATATTTGCGAAAAGGTTACAGTAAATGTAAATTGTTGTGGATAACAGTAAATAATGACAAATATGTCTAACTAAATCTGTACAATAGGTCATTGTGTTATTCTGCCTGGATGAACTTGCAAGAGTTAATGATAGATAGTTTGTTGAGTGCAGTTTGCTGTCTGTTTGCATATGTTCAAGTGCCTTTCAAAATCCTGTTGAATTAGCTTATGCTTTTGAGCAAATCACTATCTGCTTTGTCAGTATTTGTTTAACAAGTAACCTAATGCAGGATGCTAGAGTCACAAACAGCATATGACCGGTAGCAGATACTTAGTGGATAGTTCCTCCACCTATCCAGTCCTTACAGAAGACAAACACATAGCATATACCAAAGGTTGATCACTTCTAGTACTGGAACTGTAACATTAGCATTTCAGATACTTTGGATGTCTTTAGTTTAATGTTTTTATCCCCCCTCATACCGTCCAAGCTCAAATTAGACGGGTTGGTTAATTCTCTTCTCCCCCCTTCCCCTCTCTTTCCTCCTTCTCCCCCTTCTCCCCCCTTCCCCTCTCTTTCCTCCTTCTCCCCTTTCTCCCCCTTCTCCCCCCTTCCCCTCTCTTTCCCCCTTCTAGGTCCTGGCCTGGCCTTCATTGCCTACCCTAAGGCTGTCTCCATGATGCCCTATCCCACGTTCTGGGCCATCCTATTCTTTATCATGCTTCTGCTACTGGGCCTCGACAGTCAGGTCAGTACTAAACCAATAGCTAGCATACATTACTATTGGTAGTGGTATGTACCACAGTAAGTGACAGTACATGTCCCTAGTTATAAGGACCTTGTAACAATGTGTATCTACACTGTAATTACAATATATTGTTAGTATATCTACACTGTAATTACAATATGTTGTTAGTGTATCTAAACTCTAATTATAATATGCCTATGTATTTACAGTACCATGTAAATATATAGGCAGTAGGGACACGTACAGAAGTGTTAAGTTGTACCTTTTTGATTTGTATAGTTCCTTTGAGGACCTCAGTACAGTAGTTAGCTGTGCTCCATATGGAGCACAGGGCTGCAGTCAGGTCAGTCAGGGGTATAAAAGAGATTGTGTGTCTGATCAACATCAACAACCCCCGGTTTCAAATCACTTCCAGACAAGAAAGGCGAGACAACACGTTTCACAACAGGCAGTATTTTTAACCATTGTTTTCCCAGAGTGGACTCTACTACTATGTCAAAACAGCTGTTACATCTTGAAGGCTTGAACGTAAATAGTAAATAGTTTTTGTAAAAGTGTGTGAACCTGTAATAAATCTCTGAACGCATAGTAATTTAGTAGGTAGAACCAAACAGTCTAGTCCTATAGCGTTCCCCTGAGGTGTCCCTGCAGCCCAGACTCACGAGGTGTTGATTAAGCCGAACGGAGGCAAGGCCAGGGAGACAACACAGGGGTGGGATCAGTGGGGTTCTCTCACTATCACATTTCCAGCTTCCAAGTGTAATTTTACTCCGTGCTAACTCAGCCCTCCTCATGCCCAATGACACATCTCAGCCAAACAGGAGATCAGGATGATGGTCCAAACTTGAAATAAATACTTGTGCTTCTAGCACTACTATTTCCATAGGCAAGCTGAGCAGTAGGAGAGTGGCCGTCATTCTTGACCATACATCTTATGCAGATTATAGGTGCTGAATACAGTATTGTTTCATGGCTCTTATGCCATAGTTATGAGGAGAGGCCTTGTTGTAAAAAAGTATATTTCACTAAATCAGAGTAGTGTGACTGCAACAGCACTGCTATTAAATAATTCAGCCCATGACATGACAACTGGAGTAGCTTGAAGTGGAGAGGGTTTCCATGAAGAATAGACTGGAGAAAGAGAAGGAGTGAGGTGGAGACAGTCAGTGTTGTTTTGCATGAACTAAACAATAGGAGGCCTTCCCAAGAGAAGCCTTGTTTAAAATGTCTCATTTCTGCACAACAAAGACAGCAGTCATTCTCTAGTCTAGTCTAATCAGTGATTTGAGGAGAAAAAAATAGAGAGGCAGACATTACTTCTTGTTCAACTTTCGACAGACCACTGAGAAATTAAATTGGTTCCAGGCTGCACGTTTTTGAAATGTTTCCATATTCCTGTACACTGACTGTACAAAACATGCTCTTTACATGACATAGACTGACCAGGTGAATCCAGGTGAAAGCTATGATCCCTTATTGATGTCACTTGTTAAATCCACTTCAATCAGTGTAGATGAAGGAGTTATGTGCCTTTGAACAGGGTATGGTAGTAGGTGCCACGTGGACCGGTTTGAGTGGGTCAAGAACTGCAACACTGCTGGAATTTTCATGCTCAACATTTCCCGTGTGTGTCAAGAATGGTCCAGCATCCAGCCAACTTGACAGACACTACTGTGGGAATCATTGGAGAAACATGGGCCAGCATCCCTGTGGAGTGCTTTCAACACATTGTAGAGTCCATGCCCTGACGAATTTAGGCTGTTCTGAGGGCAAAAGGGGGTACATCTCAATATTAGGAAGGTGTTCTTAATTATTTGTACACTCAGGGTATATGCTCATATGAGATCCAGGGCTAAAAATATAGGTTGTTACTTTATAATGTATTTAGTATTCATGTTTGTGTAATAAGGCTTAAAAGCAATACCAATTATAGTGGGAATGGACGTCAGAGTTCTGGTGGGACACTAAGGTTGATGTCTTGCTTTCTGTCTCCCCAGTTTGTGGAGGTGGAAGGACAGATCACCTCCCTGGTCGATCTGTATCCAGCCGTCCTAAGGACGGGTTACCGCCGTGAGATCTTTATAGCTGTGATGTGCTGCATAAGCTATCTTTTGGGACTTACCATGGTAACGAAAGTAAGTACACCAACAGCACTTCAATGTATCTCTATGCATTACATGTTGTTCTTACCTTACATTTAAGACACCTTGACATACTATCACTTCTGGGACTATTGTAATGAAATTATGTTTACCTACAGAAACATATCTTCAATATAAGCTAACGATACACACTGTCATTTCTACTATACACATTTCAGGTTAGCATATAAAATAACATCACAATACTTTTTCCACATGCTTTGCCGTTGTCACAATTTTGCGATCAAATATGGGGTTTCTGCTACCGACCTCTCATATCACATCCTGTGTGCTTGACATCATGAATAGAACAATTTGGAATTCTATGTTCCAGTTAGCAGTTAACTTTACTTCAATTATATCTCACATCTCACCACCTGTTGAACTCTCCTTTCATTGGCCCAGCGCCAGCATTCTTATGTATCAACCTCCTCCACTTTTTCCTACCCATGCCCACCCCACCACTCTCCCTCTCTGTATTTCTCTCTCACTCTCTTTCTTTTAGGAAACTAACTTTTGCTATGTTCTTTCTTTTCAGGGTGGCATGTATGTGTTTCAACTCTTTGACTACTATGCAGCCAGTGGTGTGTGCCTTTTGTGGGTTGCATTCTTTGAATGTATTGCTGTAGCCTGGGTTTATGGTACGTTTATTTGTCCTTTTTGCCAAATAAAGTGTGTAGCCTACATTTAGGGAACAAATGTTAAGATACTGTGTTTTTAAAGGGTTAAACAACAACAACAACAATAACAGATGCGTTATGACCTCGCTTGGGGTAAACAATAACCTTGTTCCCTTTCACGCCAATCGTAAATCACTTGAATTTGCTTCTACGCACGGCCCATTGGCTTCTATTGAAGGCAAATTACTAAGAACTATGCCACCTCATCACAATGACCTTTATAATGAAGAGGTGAACAGGAGCACAACGACCCAGCTGCCATCCCTAGAGGTGTTATTAGAAACGCTGTTATAGCTGTTATTAAGAGAGAAAGCATGCTGGTATTGCTAAGAATCGTTTATGATGCAATGGCACATAGGTTGTCTGTCATTGCTGAGTGGAACCTGTTCCTAGTTTTGTAACGGTTAACAGTAAACTAGGGCTGGATTCAATCTGTATCACGGAAGTATCGCGGAAGATCTGTGTTAAAATGTAAAGGTAATTTCCGATTGAGCTGACGTATGCAGCGTTTACCGTGAATGCTGTCTACGCTAAAGCAGGAACATTGCCCTTAACTTTAAATTGAGCTATAGTGCAGATCTTCCGTGATGCTTCTGTGATATGGATTGAATCCAGCCCCTACAGAGAGATTGTTTATGCCATAATATGTGACTTCATGGAAAAGCCGATAGGTAGATTACGGTGTTTATAGAGGCTATGATGGCGCCACATCCTGGACTGAAGCTCTTGTCATTGGTCTAGAGATGAAGAGATACTGATTCTGTTTTTTGTTGAAGAAAATGCACAGGTTTTATATGATGGTTATCTTTAGTGTATAGGAGACTAGGAGTTTGTCTCTTACAAGTCTGTTCTTATGTATCGTTGACAGGCGCTGATAATTTCTATGATGCAATTGAAGACATGATTGGCTACCGACCAAACCCATGGATGAAATGGAGCTGGACCTTTATCACTCCCGTCCTCTGTGCGGTGAGTGTTCAACAGCCCAACACAGTTACAGCGTGATCAACAGCCCAACACAGTTACAGCGTGATCAACAGACCAACACAGTTACAGTGTGATCAACAGCCCAACACTGTTACAAAGTGTTCAATAGCCCAACACTGTTACAAAGTGTTCAATAGCCCAACACTGTTACAAAGTGTTCAATAGCCCAACACTGTTACAAAGTGTTCAACAGCCCAACACTGTTACAAAGTGTTCAATAGCCCAACACTGTTACAAAGTGTTCAACAGCCCAACACTGTTACAAAGTGTTCAACAGCCCAACAATGTTAGTGTTCAACAGCCCAACACTGTTACAAAGTGTTCAATAGCCCAACACTGTTACAAAGTGTTCAATAGCCCAACACTGTTACAAAGTGTTCAACAGCCCAACAATGTTACAAAGTGTTCAACAGCCCAACACTGTTACAAAGTGTTCAATAGCCCAACACTGTTACAAAGTGTTCAATAGCCCAACACTGTTACAAAGTGTTCAATAGCCCAACAATGTTACAGTGTTCAACAGCCCAACAATGTTAGTGTTCAACAGCCCAACAATGTTAGTGTTCAACAGCCCAACAATGTTAGTGTTCAACAGCCCAACAATGTTAGTGTTCAACAGCCCAACAATGTTAGTGTTCAACAGCCCAACACTGTTACAAAGTGTTCAATAGCCCAACACTGTTACAAAGTGTTCAATAGCCCAACACTGTTACAAAGTGTTCAATAGCCCAACACTGTTACAAAGTGTTCAATAGCCCAACACTGTTACAAAGTGTTCAACAGCCCAACACTGTTACAAAGTGTTCAATAGCCCAACACTGTTACAAAGTGTTCAACAGCCCAACACTGTTACAAAGTGTTCAACAGCCCAACAATGTTAGTGTTCAACAGCCCAACACTGTTACAAAGTGTTCAATAGCCCAACACTGTTACAAAGTGTTCAATAGCCCAACACTGTTACAAAGTGTTCAACAGCCCAACAATGTTACAAAGTGTTCAACAGCCCAACACTGTTACAAAGTGTTCAATAGCCCAACACTGTTACAAAGTGTTCAATAGCCCAACACTGTTACAAAGTGTTCAATAGCCCAACAATGTTACAGTGTTCAACAGCCCAACAATGTTAGTGTTCAACAGCCCAACAATGTTAGTGTTCAACAGCCCAACAATGTTAGTGTTCAACAGCCCAACAATGTTAGTGTTCAACAGCCCAACAATGTTAGTGTTCAACAGCCCAACACTGTTACAGAGTGTTCAATAGCCCAACAATGTTACATTGTTCAACAGCCCAACACTGTTACAAAGTGTTCAATAGCCCAACACTGTTACAAAGTGTTCAACAGCCCAACACTGTTACAAAGTGTTCAACAGCCCAACACTGTTACAAAGTGTTCAACAGCCCAACACTGTTACAAAGTGTTCAACAGCCCAACACTGTTACAAAGTGTTCAACAGCCCAACACTGTTACAAAGTGTTCAATAGCCCAACACTGTTACAAAGTGTTCAATAGCCCAACACTGTTACAAAGTGTTCAATAGCCCAACAATGTTACAAAGTGTTCAACAGCCCAACACTGTTACAAAGTGTTCAACAGCCCAACAATGTTAGTGTTCAACAGCCCAACACTGTTACAAAGTGTTCAATAGCCCAACACTGTTACAAAGTGTTCAACAGCCCAACAATGTTACAAAGTGTTCAATAGCCCAACAATGTTACAAAGTGTTCAACAGCCCAACACTGTTACAAAGTGTTCAATAGCCCAACACTGTTACAAAGTGTTCAATAGCCCAACACTGTTACAAAGTGTTCAATAGCCCAACACTGTTACAAAGTGTTCAACAGCCCAACACTGTTACAAAGTGTTCAACAGCCCAACACTGTTACAAAGTGTTCAATAGCCCAACACTGTTACAAAGTGTTCAATAGCCCAACACTGTTACAAAGTGTTCAATAGCCCAACACTGTTACAAAGTGTTCAACAGCCCAACACTGTTACAAAGTGTTCAACAGCCCAACACTGTTACAAAGTGTTCAATAGCCCAACAATGTTACAAAGTGTTCAACAGCCCAACACTGTTACAAAGTGTTCAACAGCCCAACACTGTTACAAAGTGTTCAACAGCCCAACACTGTTACAAAGTGTTCAATAGCCCAACAATGTTACAAAGTGTTCAACAGCCCAACACTGTTACAAAGTGTTCAACAGCCCAACACTGTTACAAAGTGTTCAACAGCCCAACAATGTTACAGTGTTCAACAGCCCAACACTGTTACAAAGTGTTCAACAACCCAACAATGTTACAAAGTGTTCAACAGTCCAACACTGTTGTGTTGTGGTTCTGAAAACATGAGGAACCTATTGGATCAGAGTGAAGAGTACTGTAGAATGTCTCCATAAGGGACCATGTCCTAAACAATTTTTCTTGTTGTTGTTCCCAGGGTTGTTTTATCTTCTCGTTGGTGAAGTACAAGCCCCTGACCTATAACAAGGTGTATGAGTACCCAGACTGGTCCATCGGCCTGGGCTGGTCTCTGGCCCTGGCCTCTATGATCTGCATCCCCATGGTAATGGTCATCAAGATCTTCCAGTCCGACGGACCGCTCATCGAGGTACGCAAACACAAAAGATGATGCTAGATAACCTAGAAGATGTCCCAAATCATTGATAAAGGGTTAACTAGTTGTATGAATAGAAGCACTGCCTGCAAGGAAGTGCAGCAATTGTGGTAATGGCATGCGGTATACAATTGCATAACTTGTATGATATGGCACACAAGATATAAGATATCCACATAAGATATCCACATGATACAGTATACCATGTAATATGATTTTATGGCATTATATAAATATTTCTCCTCTCCTCCCCACAGAGGATTAAGGCGGTGGCGGCCCCAGTAAAGGGAGGTGCGAGTTCTCGCCCCAAAGAGTACAGCGTGAAGGGCAGCGAGCTGACCCAGCCTCTGGACCCCAATGGGAACAACGGCCTGATCAAGCCCACCCACACCATTGTAGAAACGATGATGTGAGCACTCTCTGTGAGAGGACATGCTGATTGACGTGCTTTCTATGTTGTTATCATATATTTGCTAACTTTGATAGTGGTAGAACCAGGTTTACATTGTTCTATGTATCCACACTAGGAATATTCTGGTTTGGTTTCTATGATAATGATGAAGATGAGAGCTACAGTATATATATTGTCATTGAGTTGTTGTAGTTTTTTCTCTCTGTATTTTTTATTTTTATTTTTATCATGTTGTTGTTACCGTTGTTGTCGTGGCTGTAGTGGGTGGTGATCTCAGTTCAGGTAATATTTTGAGATAGAACATGTTGTTCTATGTTAATTACCTTTCTGTTGATTGTGGAGAATCGAGAAGGTGTTTGCTGTTCGGAAATACTAGGGGAAAAAAGGTAATTTTCACTCATCACAAATACAGTAAACTAAACGTGTAACATGTTAGGTAGCAAACTATTAAGATAATTTTCTCACATTATTGTGGCAGTATCCTTGTCTGAGGTCATTTTTTATCTGTTGTCGTTGTTGTTGTTTGTTTTGAGATGCAACTGAATAAATCGTAGCTTCGGTAGAGGCGGACGCCAGCCAGTCACACCTGCTAGTAGAGTAGACATCCACACCACCTGAATGTATAGTGACAACATGCAGTGTAAATATAGAAGTTCATAACTATGGCCATGCCCAAATACTGTACAAAATGTTCCTGGAAGGATCACGTGTCCTTAGGAGGGAGGCAGGAAAGGAGGTGGGGAAAACAAGGAGGAAGTAAAGGACAAAAGGAATAAGCATTTTAAGAGTATTTGTATATTGCCTACAGTGCGTCCCAGTGCATTTATTGAAACCTCCCTTTGCACTTTATACGTTGAGTTTCACTTTTATTGTAGTGATCTCTTATGATAATGGTCCACAGGAGGCAGCTGAGGGGAGGACGGCTCATAATAATGGTTGGAATGGAGTGAATGGAATGGTATCAACCAAATAGAAACCATGGTGTTAGTGTATTTGATACCATTCCATCGATTCCGTTCCAGCCATTACTATGAGCCCGTCATCCCCAATTAAGGTGCCGCCAACCTCTGTAATGGTCGCAAGAACCTGCAGTTACATTTGCACCATGCATTTAAAGAGGAAAGTATATAGATTCAAACCTTTTTGATGTTGTTCACTTTGATATCTATCGGTTCAAACAGGAGCATTACACTCTCACTCAAGCGCTATAAATATATAAAATAAAAATAAAAAGTGGAACATTGCCATCAAACATTCTGTTTCTTTAGGACTAAACCTGTGAGAGTTGTGAGAACCATAACTTGATTGAGGTAAAAAATGTAACCTTAACAAAATGCTTTTTCTAAAAATGTGAAATAATAGTTTTTTTCTCCAGTGCACTCATTTTAATAGCAGTGATGGTCACTAAATATCTGTATCATATGAAACTACCACCAGACTCTGGGTTTTATCATGTTCATTTAGTATTTTACTTGTTTGTGAATCACATATGCCTTTTTGTATTAACCATTTTATACTGTACATCATATGAACACTGTCACTGATGATGACCTATTTTTTCTGAATACAGTCAGCAATTTGTATTTTAACGTTAAATGTTATGAGCCTGAATGAATATTTGCAGTGTGCAATATTCGTCAAAGAAATGGCCTTTACCACTCAAATTATTTGATTTCAATTTGAAAACAGATGTAAAAATACTAAAATTGATATGTCCAACATAAATAATATGAATGTTTAAAGTTCAAGTGAGATTATTTTACCCAATGCATGTACATGAACATCCACAGTACAGTGATTGGTCAACAAAATTACTAGTCCAGAGGGTGATAAATAAACCCTGTTGGAAAATCAAGTGTACCAAAGTATTTTTGTCTAACGTCCGTCCCCCTTTAAGATGCTCATTGCATCATCACTTCCTAGATTGAAAATAAACGTCTTTTTCTTTACACGTCTTGGAGTGAATTATTAATTTGTTCTGTAAAGTGCATTTAAGTAACATTCCCTAGGGCCTACTGGCCTGCTTCTCTCTTATACAGACTGCTATGGAAATACTACACACATTCACTTCTAACATGATGATAAAACATATTCTACATTCTTCCATATTCATATTTGTAATATACCCAACATTTACATATTGAAAATGACTTAAAACAAATGCATTCAAATAAAGAGGCTTTAATAACCACACAATATAAATTGTAACTTGTGTAATTATCGAAATTATGTGGGTGTTAATAGAGTAGACTAATATTTAATAAAAAAATTAAATAGTACTATTGCCATGGTGCTGACAGACACCCTGCAGGAATTGAGTGACTGTGTTTCTATTTTAACATACTTTTTCTGGTAATCACACACCCCGTCAGAATGACCAATCACAGACCACTTATGCTTGGCCACAACAGTGAAAGTTACTGATGGGCTATAAAATGTGGCAACTCTGACCCCACAGATGACCTCCACAGACACATCCCAAACATTCCTCTCAGAATTACTTAACTTTCAACAGGTCCAATGCAGCCGTTTTAATCTCAATATCAAATCCTTTATGGGTAACAATTAAAAGTACCTTACTGTGTCACGCCCTGACTCTAGGGACTGGTATTTGTTGAGTCAGGGTGTGTATTTTCTGTGTTGGGTGTCTATGTTAGTTTCTAGATCGTTTAGATCTATGTTGGCCAGGGTGGTTCCCAATCAGAGGCAGCTGTAGCTCGTTGTCTCTGATTGAGGACCATACTTAGGTAGCCTGTTGGCACTAGTGGGGTGTGGGATCTTGTTCAGTGTGAGGTATGTTATTTGTCTACCTTGGACTTCACGTTTCATTTGTTGTTTTGTCGTGTGTTCAGTACGTAAATAAATATGAATGCATATCACGCTGCGCCTTGGTCCTTCTCGTCCGTAAACGATCGTGACATACTGTGATTGTTTTCAATTAAAATGGTAACAAAAAAAAACAAAAAAAAAAGCTTCTTAGCAAAGAGCAATTTCTCAAGCAAGAATTTTGCTCGGACTGTCAGAGTGGTTTGAGCTGTTATTAGCAGAGAGGTTTGGAACTCTCTTTCTTGTTGGTCTATTAACTAATTTACCGCCTGGTGATGACACCAGGCAGGCAAAAACTCCATCCCACCAAAACAGGCAGACATTTTTGGTGGTCTTTTCAAACAGCTCTTACTCTAAAAGGGCATTATCATCACTTTCACAGTATTATTCCAACCTCATTGTGTGGAAATATACACAGTTTATTAGGTACATCTAGTACCGGGTCGGACCCCCCCTTTGCCTCCAGAACAGCCTGAATTCTTTGGGGCATGGAAACGTTGCACAATTATTATCAAGGGACCTAATGTTGCCAGGAAAACATTCCCCACACCATTACACCACCGCCACCAGCCTGTACCGTTGACACCAGGCAGGATGGGGCCATGGACTCATGCTGCATACGCCAAATCCTGACTCTGCCATCAACATGACGCAACAGGAACTGGGATTTGGCGGACCAGGCAATGTTTTTCCACTCCTCAATTCTCCAGTGTTGGTTATTGCGTGCCCACTGGAGCCGCTTCTTCTTGTTTTTAGCTGATAGGAGTGGAACCCGGTGTCGTCGTCTGCTGCAATAGCCCATCCGTGACAAGGACAGACAAGTTGTGCATTCCGAGATGCCGTTCTTCACACCACTGTTGTACTGCACTGTTATTTGCCTGTTTGTGGCCTGCCTGTTAGCTTGCACGATTCTTGCCATTCTCCTTCAACCTCTCATCAACAAACTGTTTTCGCTAACAGGACTGCCGCTGACTGGATGCCTGTCTGCCTGCTTTATATAGCAAACCACGGTCACGTGACTCGAACCATTTTCGTGACTGGCCACAGGAAAATCTAGTTTTTGACTGCACTGGGCCTCTAATCTAGTTAGTGTTAGCCAAAATGGGCATTAAGAGTCACCTCAAAGGTAGAAGGTGACACCTTGGAATGGCAGACAGTGGCGTTGAACAGTTGAGAAGTCCCTCTGGTGTTGTGGAAAACTCTGACCCTGTCGCCAGTGGCAGAAACATATGGGTGTAGCCGAGGTGGTTAGGTGCACTATGCTCATGTGATGAGTAATGTAATACCTGATTAATACTGAAAGGAATATATGACTGCTCATCTCCATCACCTTGATGATCAATACTGTTTCGTTCAGCAAGTGCTGCTTCAACAAATCACAATACATCTTGCACCACACACCCAAAATAGCCAACTATATTTATTTGAACTTGAGTCCTACTTTGCCCCCTTGGGTCGGCCCTACGGCAGCCAGTGTGACAGCTCATTGACACTTCTGGTAAACAATCTTAGGTGTCCTGTCTGCCATAAATCCATCGACAGATGGAAACCATGTTGACACCTCACCCACAAAAACGTGACGTTCACATCTACAAAGAAGTGGGAGTGTGGCGGGACTGAGACCATTGTAGATTTATGTTCAGCCTGTTACCTGGCATCAAGTGTGGGGAGGCTGGCAAAACATGGCTGGAGCAAGGTCTTTCTTTGTGGAAATAGGCATGAAATCCTTAATTAACATAACTATTCAGGAAATGGTTCTTTCTGCAAACGTGCCTTCACTTAATTTCCAATGGTAGAGGATCCGTGTAGCGTTTGGTCAATCAATATCTGAACTTGCAAAGATAATGGCTCAGGTAGAGGAATTCAAGAAAGAGAAAATGACATCCCATTCGTCATATCTTTATTTTCATAAAAAGCAGGAAATACATCTCATTAAAGAATAAAATAACATCCATTTCATGTACATCTCACAAACCAATTTCCTTCAGATTGGCTCAGACTCCCACACAAATTAAATAGCAATGCTTGGATGTAGCTGGGGGACAATGTAAACAGAAGAACTGTACAGAGAACAGATACTGCACTCAGTCACATCTTACATACAGAAACCACACGCAGAATGTCATTGCGAATAAAAACATTATACATAGGAAGGGAGACCATGTACAGACTGTGTACTGAATAATATTCAGACACACCTCAAATAAAATTTAGAAAAACAAAATAGGCCTCTGTATCAAATGGGACATTTATGTTAGAAGACAGTTTGAAAACATTTTTAAAAAAATCTAAAAACATGTTTCCTTCCTGAGGATTAAAAAGCAGTGAGTTGAGCCCTGAACGGGACAGCATGACTGCAGTCTCACTACATCTCTACACCAGCCATTACATGAAATGAAACAAATCACCTTATTTCCACTGAGGCAGCTTGGTAAGCAGGCCAGGGCCAGACACGTTATGTAAGAGCTTTATAAAACCATACAATGTCATGATAAAACTGCAACAGCTCTGGGGAAGGTTCGGTCTGACGGAGCAGGACAGAGATGGCAATTGTTCAGCGCAGAAATGTTCCGAAATTCCCCATTGTGGACAATGTGAGCTTTCTACTGGGTGGGGCATTAAATCCAATAGCTACATGCTTACCATGCTTACTAACATGGGCGGGAGAAACAGCCGTGGAGGTTCAGGAAAATACTCTAATCCGAGGCCATACCTTATTGAGAGTTGGGGCCTAAACCTCAATGGATACATGAAAATGGGTTTAAAAGGAAATCATCTCAATTGAAATGTATTTTATTCCACATTTGGCAGGTGACGTCATTCACTTAAGAGTCTGTTTGTGGGGAAACCACACCCTGTACTCCTGAGAGTTGATACTCTGGTATAATGCCTTTTGAAACATGTATACATAGGACTAGGGCCAGGAGGTTTTCCTAGTCAGGAAAAACTCCTGGCCTCATGTAGGAGATCCTGATATTGAGGGTGAAATCTAAAGAGGAGAGACGGGACCTGGAACAACAGAATCAAGTAGAGTGTGTTTATGATAAGGAACACTCCTTTAGAGTGGGTGACAAAGCTTTTCAATATAAAGAATGTGACAGTATCACCATTAGCGGTATAATACAATAAAATCGTGAGTGATAAAACATGTAAATATAGTGCATGGATCTGATTTAGGTGATCTACTAGCGTATGGATCTGATTTAGGTGATCTACTAGTGTATGGATCTGATTTAGGTGATCTACTACTGTATGGATCTGATTTAGGTGAACTACTAGTGCATGGATCTGATTTAGGTGATCTACTAGCGTATGGATCTGATTTAGGTGATCTACTAGTGTATGGATCTGATTTAGGTGAACTACTAGTGCATGGATCTGATTTAGGTGAACTAATAGTGCATGGATCTAATTTAGGTAAACTACTAGTGCATGGATCTGATTTAGGTAAACTACTAGTGCATGCAAACAAAAACAGTGTGGTTTGGTTTAAGAAATACAGTGAACTTGATTATATAAAGCTGTTGACAAGAACCTTGAGAAACAAAAACACTTATCCCAAAAAGTAATGAATTACATTTCTTCCCAGTCTATCCAGTACCTATTAACACGGTGTGAGAAATGTAATGAGAGAAAGAAACATTCTGAAATGTAACTTTTGTTGTGAACAAAGCAGGAGGTGTGATAAAATAGTCCTTGGTAAGTATTTGTCCTTCACATGACGGCCATTTAATAACACAACAGGGATAAAACGTGGACCTGAGTCAACTAGTCCATTTCCACAAACATTTTAGACTTCGGGATAGAGTTGGGGGATCTAAAATAGAAATGTTTGCAATACTTGGCAAGTAACAGTGAGGGACAGTTTAGCATTCTATCTATTTGGAGGCGCTAGCTAGCTGTTTTGTGCTTGGGGTTGGCAGTGTGGGCCAGGGAGCTGGAAGGAGAAGGCAGCCAGCCAACACATGGCTTAAATAATAGTCCAGCACAGCATGTGCCCACGTTTGTGTGTCAAGTGTGTTCACGTGTAACTGCACCAATCCCCAGCAAGAGGTCACAGAGGGTCAATTGCACACACAAAAAAAAAAAAAATGTGGTGGTGGTGGTGTCCCGAACATGCCTGCTTCTCTGAGAGGTTTGTGTTTCTCTGGGATTTCTGCAAGAGTTGAGCAACGCTAGTGTTGCCATCCAGAAGCTGTTACGTAACTACATGTGGTTTTTCCAGAACAGCCCTAGGAGCCTGACAGAGTCTCCTCTGCTCTACATCACATGAATAGACTGACTAACACTGGTCACAGTGTGAAGGAGTGTGTGTCTGTGTGAATATTCACATACACATGTATGCTCAGGTGTGAATGTGGTTTTGTGTGAAAGTGTGTGTACAAGAGATATGATAAAACAAAATGTGTGTGTAATGTGCAGTGCCTATTAGTCCATAATCTTCCACCTGGACCTTGGTCACAGGGCGATACTGTTGGTCCTGTAATATGGGAAGTCGAACAGTGAATCAGAGGGGTCCTCGCAGTCCTGAGGCGGCCCATTATCTGCCTGTGCCAGGGGGTTCCTGCTGATAACCAGGTCCAAGCTGTCTCCTGCTTCAGTGATGAGGGGGACAGTCAGGCAGCAGTCAAAGTCTCTGGTCCTTGCTCGGTTCACCTGGGACAGGAGCAGTCAGGTCAACATAACAAACAGATGTAGATACTGTATTAAAAAAAATAATGTTAGTTGAACAAAGATGTGTACCTGCAGAATGCGGTCGTAGGGTTTCAACCCAGCCTGGTCGGCAGGACCATCTGGTCGGATCATGTTGACATAGGCACCCTTCTCCAGGAGGCCGTCTGACACACTGAAGCCAAAGTCTCCACAGTCTGGGTCCTTCCTCAGGGTCACCTAAAGGACAGACAGTAAGGCCCATTCACTTGACTCGTGCAAGTCGCCAAGCTCTCCATTGGTTCCAGCACAGTGCGGGGTGTAACTTTACCTAAAACCGGAGTGCAACAACGCTGACCCCAAAGGGCCTAGCTCGCCGCAACCCTCTTGCGAAGCGCAATGCCTCCTCCGTTGAAAAGCAATGGCTCGCTCAGCACAATGCCATTCTTGCGCAAGTCATGTGAATCGGGCTTTACAGGTCACGCATCTCCACAGGCTCAGTCACTCATCATATCGTGATATTGTTTTGCAATGTAAATGACGCAGAATCTAGGATTAATGTGGGATTATGGCTGCCAGAGGTAATTACACCAATATCTACAATCACATATTCAATCTGCAATGAATGTTTGTTTTTAAGGGCGTTCAGTTTCGAAGTGCTTGTGCCCTTATTCAACCTACGGCCTAAGCCAACAGTACATTACAGCACAACAGACTTCTGTACATGTAGTGTTCAGGTCACGTCTGCCATTTCCAAGCAGTATAGGGACTGCCAAGCAGCAGTCTGAGGCATCAGAGAAGAGTCAGGAGTCAAAGCATTTGGCTCAGTGTGCGGTTTTATCTATGTTTCTATCTATTATCCCACACACTACAAATCCTGACCGGCCTGGCATCCACTGGGTCCAGTTAGACCCCAGTCATGACGCAGAGTAGCGTGCAGTGGCGTGTATTCATGGATGCGAAGGGAAGCCAGGCTTCCTTCAATTTGCAAGAGGCTGTATGTATCTCACAGGAGAACGCATCCGAATGAGCGAAACAGCGTCCCTATGTCTCTCTACGTGTAGGCCATCTATCTGATACTGTCTGGTCCAAACGAGTATGACATTGTTGCCGCCTGTAGCATTAAATGCAAGGGAAGCCAGCGAGCATTTGGTCTCCCTTGACAAAAAAGTATAAATAATTAGCCAATCAGCATTGAGCTAAACAGAGCGAGCTCAACTGTAAATGGTCCTAGCAGAAAAAAGAAAAAAAAAGTCAAGGGAAGCCAGCTTGGATTTGGAGTCTCTCCTATCAAATCGCTTTGAGAGCATACCTCATTAAGAGAAACAACTTGAATTGTCCCATCTGGTTGTGTTGTTGTCCTCTGGTGGCTAGCTAGCTAGCTACATTTGACCCTTTCCTAAATTAGCCATGGATGGAGATAGGGATTTGGACTTGTGGTTTTACTTAATTCTCTGTACTGGCCAATTATTATAACGGCAATTCTGATCCAAACATTAATTCATACATTGTTGTGCCCCTGGCCTGAGAGGATGGAAGTTCAATATGTACAGTAACTAGATGTAGAAGGCTAATGTTAACGAGCTAACATTGCCCATGAATGGAAGTTAGGCTAGCGAGCAAGCATTTTAGCTAGGTAACCTAGGACAACAAAAAAATAAAAGCGTGTACTGTATGACAGAGTGATAGACCGTTTCGTAAACATGAAAGAGAGGAGGATGGCATTGGCGTTTCTCTACAAGTAGGGTGACTCAACATGTTTTTCTACTTGCACGAACGCGTGCGCACAAACAGAAATCAGAACCATGGACAGCCACATCATATTTAGCTTATGTTAGACTAAATTGTTTCTGGTATCTTTTAGTTTTAGTTGTCACTGTGATTTGATGATGATGAAATGTTGAAGTTGAAATGGTGCTGGAATAGTGGCGGCAGCTCCTGTTTTCTTTGCGAAATGTCAGAAACGTTAACTTGCTTAACCAAGCTGTAGGTCATGTAACTGTCTGTTACATGCAATATGCGTCGCAGACTTTACCGGACTTCCCCAGTGATTTTACCAACGCACCACAGTTCAGTTAGTGAAGGGTGGGGCTCAGGGTACGATCTTCATTGGACCTAAACAGGCATATTCTCCCTGGAGACTGCCGTTTGTGCCATCATGTAGAGTAGGGTCAGGATACAGTTCACTGATCAATACCTTTACAGGGTTGTCTGCATACTCAAGTTGATAAAACGGTAGCTAGTCATGCTTTAAACCCTGCATTGGAAATCATTCCACAATCATTTGGGATTTTTGATCCATCTCTCCCCATGTACCAGAGTTAACATCAGTTCCATTTCAAATCAATGAATTCATGAAAAAACTATTGGTCGCCAAATCCTGCGAGACCTAGGTCCATGTAAAAACAGCTAGCTGGAGCTCGTCTCAGCGGTCGGCTGTGAATGCCCTCACCAGCTAGTAACTTATTCTGATTGCTTAAGTTCTGCTCACTACAGTGTTGTCCGGTTAGAACACCATGTTGAGGCCCATACTGAACACTTGGTCACCACCACACGCACACAGACACATCGGATTCCATTAACGTTCTTTATATTGTTGTGTGGTTCTAAAAAGGGAGGAATAATACAAGCATTAGGCTCCACTTATAAGAGACTAAGAAATAGATGTACATGCAATACAATAATCAAGAGAAAATTGTGGCATAATATAAACATGAATGAATGCAAAGGTATAGCAACACACATGTAGAAATGCAATAGGCTACTTATAATGCGGCAATACAAAGACATGCATGAAAAACAATAGGCTAGCATTAGCTACAAACTAACTATAACAAACTTCACTCTGAAACACTCAAAACCTAACAAATAGGCCTCGTCCTGGGTCAGACATTGCACACACCTATACATGTTCGATGGACGCACAACACTTCAAGATAGGAAAACAGCATGTTGGAGTCCATCATTACACAATACTTATTATTCTCGAGACGGCAGGTGGACAAGCTCTACCATGAGGTGTGCAGAGCAGAGCCCTGGAGTGCGTCCAAGCGCCCTGATTGGTTGGATGAACAGGTGTGAATGGGTGATTGACAGGGCTGCAGGCCAATCAGATTGAGAGGGCCAGCCTTTTGTATAGCCGCACCTGGATTTCTTTGGAAATCCACACATCTTAAAAGGCCTCTGCTGGGGGCTTAGTTCTGAAAGGGCCCTAGTCCTATCCTGCAGGACAGGCAGGGTAGAGGGGCAGAGCAGTGAAGGGACCCGACAAGATGTGGTCCAGTCCTACTGTATATCTGGCCGACCTAGAAGAGCAGCTGATATCGCGTATCAATTTAGGGGACCATGCCGGCACTGGTACACATAAGAGGCTTAGGAGCCGCCAGGGGAGGGAGGTGCACAGAGGCGCAGAGACAGCTCTGGGCAGACCCATGCAACACCACGGGTGTTGCTAAGGACCCTCTAACTCTAGCCCATTTGTTGGCGCTAAGTACGATGCTGGAGGCTGGAGGTGGTGGCTTGCCTACTGTGGTGGAGGATTGTGGCATGCTGGCCACAACTGTCATTAGCAGCTCACTGGCTGCTGCGGCTTGTGACTGCCTCACCACTGCTGAAAGCAATGGCTCCCATGGTGGAGCAGGTGGGGGCCCCTGGGCGAGGCTCATCAGGGATCCGGAGGCAGGGGCAGGCTGGGCCCCAGAGATGAAGTCTGGTGGTTGCTCAGGTGCGAGGGCTGGAGGGTCTTCTAGTCCAGGAGGTGGTCAGCCCTCCAGAATTGGAAACAGAAGGCCCCCCAGGTCAGGGAACGGTGGGGCCCCCCGGTCAAGGGGCTGAGAGCCTAGCAGGATAGGGAACTCAGGACCTGACAGGGCAGGGGACATAGAACCTACAACTGAGACTGAGGACTGCCAGCCAGGTATGGCAGGAAACTTGTAGCCTAGCGCTAGTATAGGCGATTGGGCGCTAGCTGAGGCCGGGAGCTGAGAACAGGATAGGGGCAGGGACTGCACACCTAGAGGAGCAGATAACTCAGAGCCTAGCGGTACAGGTGAACCAGGGCATAGAACTAGGGCAGGAGGTTTGGCATGTAGCACTGAGGGAGCTGACTGCTTGTCAACTGAGGCTGGGGGCTGCAGACTAACTGAGGGCAGAAGCTGCAGACCTAGTGGGGCAAAGAACCTATAGCCAGGCGGAGCAGTGGACTGAAGGCCTACTAGAGCTGGAGACATCGAAACTAAAACGTCTGAAGGCTGGGAGCCTGGACCTGACAGGGGACACCCACTCTGGACCTGACAGGGGACACCCACTCTGGACCTGACAGGGGACACCTACTCTGGACCTGACTCACACCGACACCCACTCTGGACCTGCCAGGGAGAACGACTGATAGCTAGCAGAGCAGTAGAGTTCTGGGCCTGCTAGAGGAACTGGTAACTCTGAGCCTAACCGGGCAGGAGCCTGATGATCCACCTGGGTTAGGTACTGAGGGCACACTGGTGCTGGAGACACAGACCTAGTACAACTGGGGACTGATTACATAGTGCTAGGGACCGAGGGCTGACTGTCTGGAGACAGTGAGCCTAGTGCAGCGAACTTGGGGCTTAGCAGTGCAGGAGGCTCTAAACCTGGCAGGCTAAGCAACTGCATACCAATGAAGGCAGAGGGCTACAGACCTGCAAACGGGACAGCAAACTTAGGGCCTAGCAGGGCAGGGGGCTCTAAGCCTGAACACTTTACACCTGCCAGGTAGGCAGGAAACGCAATCTCTGACCCTCCCGGGGGGGAAGGGAACTCTGACCCTACTGGGAGTGGGGGAAGGGAACTCTGACCCTACTGGGAGTGGGGGAAGGGAACTCTGACCCTACTGGGAGTGGGGGAAGGGAACTCTGACCCTACTGGGAGTGGGGGAAGGGAACTCTGACCCTACTGGGAGTGGGGGAAGGGAACTCTGACCCTACTGGGAGTGGGGGAAGGGAACTCTGACCCTACTGGGGGGGACAGACTCTGACCCTACCGGGAGGGAAGGGAACTAGAAATCTAGGTCAGGGGGGACACCAGGGGTGACTTCTGGTGGGTCACCCGAGGTGATGTGTGGCGGGTCCCGAGGCGATGTGTGGCGGGTCCCGAGGTGATGTGTGGCGGGTCCCGAGGTGAGGGGGTCCGAGGGGTCTGGTAGGTCTGGAGGTAGCGGGACCCTCGAGGCTGGAACTAGCATGGTGCTGGCGAGCCGGGGTGGATAGACCTGCACTTAACCTTGCCAGTAGTTGCAGGCTGTGGCTACATACTAGGAGCAGGCATAGAACCCACAGCTTGGCACTGGCTCCGGGCCAGGAGGCGCTCCCGACGCTCTGGTAGATACGACGTAGGCTCCAGCCGGGGGGGCCTGGAGCGACTACGATCTGTTGAGAAGCTGGGCCACCTTAGGACATAGTGGAATCCCAACAGTCCCATGGAGGTGGCAAACTCTGGCCGGGGAGGCCTGGAGTAGTGTCTCTCAGGGGAGCAGCTGGGCCAACTACGGAAGTATCGGCAGTGGTGGTGCTCCCGTGTCCATGACGATGGCTCTAGTCGGGGGGGCCTAGAGCAGTTGCGGTCAGGAGAGTAACGGCGTAACGGTGCTCCCGCGGCGGTGACTCAGGCCGGGAGGACCTAGAGTACGTCCTCCTGAGCTCTTCCTGCTCATACAGCAGTAGTCCCTCCGCAGCTCCTAACTGGAGAGTGGGTGGTCACTCCCTCACCACTGAGGAGGCATGGAGCAGGGCTTGTAGTAGTCTCTTGGATGAGAAAGTGGTGTAAGGCTCAGGTGCGTGACCGCTTCGTATGGCGGTGTGGGCTGAGGTGGGTGGTGACGGTCGTCTCGTGGTGAGACACACAAACTCCTCTTTGGGGTACCTCAACATCTCAACTATAGCAGGTCAGAATCCGTCTCGAAGGACCATTAAAAAATTGCTAGCTGGAGCTCATCTCAGAGGTCGGCTGGGAATGCCCTCACCAGCTAGTAAATTATTCTGATTGCTTAAGTTCTGCTCACTACAGTGTTGTCCGGTTAGAACACCATGTTGAGGCCCATACTGAACACTTGGTCACCACCACACGCACACAGACACATCGGATTCCATTAACGTTCTTTATATTGTTGTGTGGTTCTAAAAAGGGAGGAACAATACAAGCATTAGGCTCCACTTATAAGAGACTAAGAAATAGATATACATGCAATACAATAATCAAGAGAAAATTGTGGCATAATATAAACATGAACGAATGCAAAGGTATAGCAACACACATGTAGAAATGCAATAGGCTACTTATAATGCGGCAATACAAAGACATGCATGAAAAACATGAAAAACCTAACAAATAGGTCTCATCCTGGGTCAGACATTGCACACAACTATACATATTTCACAACACTTACATGTTTGATGGATGCACAACACTTCAAGATAGGAAAACAGCATGTTGGAGTCCTTCATTACACAATACTTGTTTCTTCTTGAAATGGCAGGTGAACAGGATCTAACTTGAGGTGTGCAGGGCGGAGCCCTGGAGTGTGTCCAAGCGCCCTGATTGGTTGGATGAACAGAGGTGTGAAGAGTGATTGACAGGGCTGCAGGCCAATCAGCTTGAGAGGGCCGGCCTTTTGTACAGGACTGAAATTCTTATTATTTTTCAGTTCTTGAATAGGAACTTTAATGCACTTCCTAAATTAACTGAATTGAGATGCCGCCTCCAATCCTGCTATGTACCTTCAGTAGTTCCAGGGCTGTAGGAGAGGTGGTCTCCTGGGGCTCCCCTGTCCCCCCGGGTGGTGTGTCCCTGGTCCTGTTGGACCTCTGCAGGTTGCTTTTGGTCTTGGGCTCGTCATGAATGGGACCCCTCTTCACAGGACTGATTCTGCTCTGTAGCACTGAGTCTTCCTGGGACCTCGTCTCTTCCAGATACAGGCTGAGAGTGCTGCCCGTCATGGATGCCTGGGAGAAGACAACAGGATTGTTAAATTATAGGTGTGTGAATAAAATAACATGATATACTGTATAACTGAATACATGCACACTCACAGCTTGACTGAATAGGGAGGCTTTGTGCCAATGTCTCCATTGATCAAAGTGGCAGCAGGTGTCTGGACGGTCTAGACAATCAGACTTTTGCATCGCTTCATTTAGTAGCAGATTGGGACAGATAGAGGGAGATGTAGCTTACCTCCAGCTCCCTGAGTATCTCCGATTGGCCGCAGGTCTCTAGGTCCTGCAGCGCCTGGGACCAGAAGCTGTCCTCCTGTTTTAGGGTGCCATGACAACTAGGGGGACTGGCGTATCTATGACAATGCAGGAACCAGAACATGAGAGGAGCCTTGCTGTCCAGAGACTGAGGTGTTTTGAGACTGGTTTGAAACAGGTGTGGCCTGCAGAGCAGCGTGGGTAATGCAGGCAATGGACTGCATGACGATGAGAGGTCCTTTAAAAACCTTTCAGGCCTCAGTGAGGGCAAGAGTAAACTCTCTCACTAGCACAGTACCAGCACAGAACAGTGTAGTCCCTTAGAATAGAAAGATTATTCATGCAGATAGTTCATCGTTTAAAAGTTAAGCCACCCAAAAAGCCTAAGGGCGTAGACAGTTTGTGGCAGTGAGGGACACAAAAGTTGAGAAGAAAATCTAGTGAAGAGTTAAGATTGAGGCAACAGACAAGGCAGAGGTGTGTCCATGGGGCCTTTGGGTGTTTTAGAGCGACAGGTTTGGTGAAGACAAAAGCCACAGAGAAAAATATGCGTTTATGTGAAACACCAGGAGCCTCGCGGGCGGTTAGTAAAGCAGATGAGAGAGAGAATACCTGAGAAAGAGAGAAATATAACAGATAGGAGCAGATAACATGGAGGAATTAAACAACTGTGGTGATTTAGAGAAAAATTCTAAAGCCAAATATTTGAGTGACATTGCAGATTTATTGGATTCACTTTCCAAATCGATAGCTGTCAGTGAAACAACACAGAGTTTTAGATTAAACCAGCCTTGAAAGATAGATTTTTTGTACCTATCTTCAACAACATTTATGATGATCATTGCTTACATACATGAGTGGAGGCATACAGAAGGCATACTTGTAGATGAAAAGGAAAAAATAACAACATTGAAAGCCACAGAACGAAACAAGATGTTTGTTGTAAAATTATTACACCTATCAAATCCATTAGCCAGATCTGTATTACAGGACCAGTCAAACGTTTGGACACACCTACAAGGGTTTTTCTTTATTTTTACTATTTTCTACATTGTAGAATAATAGTGAAGACATCAAAACTATGAAATAACACATATGGAATCATGTAGTAACCAAAAGAGTGTTAAACATAGCAAAATATATTTTATCTTTTAGATTCTTCAATGTAGCCAACCTTTGCCTTCATGACAGCTTTGCACACTCTTGGCATTCTCTCAACCAGCTTCATGAGGAATGCTTTTCCAATAGGCTTATAGAAGTTCCCACATATGCTGAGCACTTGTTGGCTGATTTTCCTTCACTTTGCGGCCCAACTCATCCCAAACCATCTCAATTGGGTTGAGGTCGGGGGATTGTGGAGGCCAGGTCATCTGATGCAGGACTCCATCACTCTCCGTCTTGGTCAAATAGCCCTTACACAGCCTGGAGGTGTGTTTTGGGTCATTGTCCTGTTGAAAAACAAACGATAGTCCCACTAAGCGTAAACCAGATGGGATGGCGTATCGCTTCAGAATGCTGTGGTAGCCATGCTGGTTAAGTGTGCCTTGAATTCGAAATAAATCACAGACAGTGTCACCAGCAAAGCACCCCCACACCATCACACCTCCTCCTCCATGCTTCACGGTGGGAACCATACATGCGGACATCATCCGTTCACCTACTCTGCGTCTCACAAAGACACAGCAGTTGTAACCAAAAATCTCAAGTTTTTATGTCTTCACTATTATTCTACAATGTAGAAAATATTAAAAAAGAAAGAAAAACCCTGGAATGAGTAGGTGTGTCCAAACTTTTGACTGGTACTGTATGTGCTTTAGGACTTGGATAAAGCACAAACAGACCCGGAACCAGGCAACAGTACCCACTGCTCATTGTAATTATGGTACTGGCACTGACCCTGTATATAGTATGCATTCTCGTGTTCCTCGTGTCTCTTCCTTTATATAATGTCCTCTCACCTTTATACTTAATACTGCTGTTTGAAAGAGCTTGGAAGTAATAATTTCACTGTACTGTTTTATACCTGCTGTATCCTGTCCACGTGACAAATAGACTTTGAAACTTGAAAATACAAATCCATTGTTATAGCCTGAAGTAGGCACTCACCCAGCAGCCTTATCCCAGTCATCCTCAGTGTATCTCCCATCGTAGAGGTGGGAGTGGTGGTTAAGGCCGGTGAGGCCAGTGGAGATGCTGTTGAGGTGGGACCTGGGCGGTTTGGTGCGTCTCCACTCATTAGGCTGGAAAGTCAAATCTGCAGCTCTGTGGAGATACGTTCCTGCACACAAGCGACAAAAACAGACATAAAAAAACATGATAACGTTCTACCCACCCAACAACGGATTTCAGGACAGTCATGTGAGCAATAATCTAAAGTGGCCTAAGCTGGTTGTCTAAACTGGTAATGACTATGCGGCCATGTTCTGTCCTCACCTTGGCTGCCGTAGTCAGCATCGATGCCGGAGCCATCCCAGGAGCTCACGGCAGAGTCCACGCTGGGCACGGTGGCAGAGTACACCCCTGAATGTTTACTGGTCTTCTGGGAGTCAGTCAGCTCATCCTCTGTGTCGCTCAGGAACCCTGCCTGCTCCGACGTCTGGTGCCCATCCGATTCTGTATGGGAACAGAGAGAGTCAGTGGCGAGTTAAGAGAGAATCATAACTCAATTATGTAATTAAATACACTGAGTGTACAAAACATGAAGAAAACCTGCTCCTTCCACGACAGACAGACCAGGTGAAAGCTATGAACCCTTACAGACATTTACATTTACATTTTAGTCATTTAGCCGACGCTCTTATCCAGAGCGACTTACAGTTAGTGAATACATATATATATTTTTTATACTGGCCCCCCGTGGGAATCGAACCCACAACCCTGGCGTTGCAAACGCCATGCTCTATCAACTGAGCTACATCCCTGCCGGCCATTCCCTCCCCTACACTGGACGACGCTGGGCCAATTGTGCGCCGCCCATGAGTCTCCCGGTCGCGGCCGGCTGCGACAGAGCCTGGATTCGAACCAGGATCTCTAGTGGCACAGTTAGCACTGCGATGCAGTGCCTTAGACCACTGCGCCACTCAGACGTCACTTGTTAAATCCACATCATTCAGTGCAGATGAAGAGGAGACAGGTGAAAGAAGGTTTTTTAAGCCTTGAGACATGGATTGTGTATGTGTGCAATTCAGAGGGGGAATGGGCAAGACAAAAGATTTAAGTGCCTTTGAACGGGGTATGGTAGTAGGTGCCAGGTGCATTGGTTTGTGTCAAGAACTGCAACGCTGCTGGGTTTTTCACACTTAACAGTTTCCTGTGTGTTTCAAGAATGGTCCACCACCCAAAGGACGTCCAGCCAACTTGACACAACTGTGGAAAGCATTGGAGTCAACATGGGCCAGCATCCTTGTGGAACGCTTTCGACAAATTGAGGCTGTTCTGAGGGAAAAAGGGGGTTGCAAATCAATATTAGGAAGGTGTTCCTAATGTTTGGTGTACTCAGTATATGTACATCTGGTGTATTAGAAGCAATTATTGGTACCATGATTGTATTAAAAAATATATATATTTACACAAAGATTGACAGTTTTCCATTCACTATAATGGGGATCCTGTTTTCTGCCAACAATGCCTGCAGTACCGCGGTCGGCCTTGAACATCCGTGGCTTATAATAAATAATAATAATATGCCATTTAGCAGACGCTTTTATCCAAAGCGACTTACAGTCATGCGTGCATACATTTTTGTGTATGGGTGGTCCCGGGGATCGAACCCACTACCTTGGCGTTACAAGCGCCGTGCTCTACCAGCTGAGCTACAGAGGACCACAATGAGAGGGGCAGTCCTTCTCCCTTGTGTTATTCCCATCTTCTAAACTGGTTTTAGGTGGTTTGAAGAACCAATTGACATACTATAGAGCCCGAGCGATATATCGTTTCACCGATATTATTGGCTGATATTGGCCTTTTACCGATATCGGCCGATAATTCCACAGATATTCGATAAAAATGATGACAAAAGGGAATCTCATTTTTATCTGAACACTTGTGGTCATTCTCATGATGTGTAATTATTGTCACAATGCAAGAAATCAACATTTGTAGCATATTTCTTGGACAATTGCTCTTTTGGATGGCAATTTATATATATTTAAGTTTTATTTGAATTGTACACATTTGCAGCTGAAAGCTGAATTGCAGCATACATATACCTATGTAAGTAAGCAAATAAAATAAAATGTAAGGTCTAGTATAAACATTACAGTCAAGCAGCATTAAGCAATCTCACAAAGTAAGGCATAAGGCTGTTGTAGTGTCTGTCCTAGTAGGGGGAAGGGTTTAGATTTTGATTGGATCAGGTAGTTCGGCCGATGACATGGCCTCTCATCTGAGGCAGCCATATGCTGTAATCCTGGGATTTTGAAAGCTTCTGGGCCAAAGGATCAGCAGAGGCAGGTGAGGCGGGACTCCAAGGTCTGTAAGCCCAGGACATTGCATGCAGAGTCGTAGAGGGTGTAGGTGGGGTCCAAGACGATTTTGGTTGCACGTCGCTGGACCTTCTCAAGCTGGTTGTGTTGGTGGGCTGTGAGACATGGGTGCCATACCGGAGCGGCGTACTCGACCACTGGATGGACAAAGCAGGCGTAGACTGCCAGAAGGTCTTCAGGGGGAGGTTGAAGTGGCGTAGGCAGTTCATCATGAAGAGCATTCAGTTCCTTTTGGTGGTAATGTCAGAGATGTGCGTGTCCCATTTTAGGTTTGCTCGGAATGTCAGGCCGAGCGCTTTGGCGCTGGACACCACCTCAAGCGTGTGACCGGAGATGGAACTCGGTGTGTAAAAATGACACTTTAATTTCCCCACTGTAATACAGCATATCGGCAGATATATCGGTATGGAATTCCAAAAAAATCATATAGATCCGGCTCTATTTAATTATGTCAATGAAATGCCTCTAACGAGAGAATATTCAGTTTGTCAACATCAAATCCAATGACTTGAGTCTTTCCTTCCATCCAATTAGAGTCCTCTAAAAAGAAGCCTCGGCATCCCCTTCCATGCATGCTTTTTAAAAAGTCACTTGATTAACAAACTTAACAATAACAGTACATACCATCTTGCCGTTTCTTGATCTTGAGGGTGACAGTCTCTCCGGCCATCTGGAGTAGATGGATGGCCTCACTCAGGGGTTTCCCCTTCAGACTCACACAGTTAATGGCCAAGACACGGTCCCCTATATGGAGGGCACCAGTCCTACAAACAGAAGACAATATTTGTATACCTTTGAAGGAGGAGGGTGCCACTGAAAACATTGTTATTTCCAAGCGTATGAGACGACAGCACATAAACATAAAGCATATTACAAACAATAGATAAGAAAGCAAGGTAACTGGTAATTGGTTGTTCAAACCACCTAAAACCAACTTAGGCATGTGATGGCATGATGTAATGTCCTCAAAGTGTATGGACATCTAGTTCCAAAATTCGAATACTTTTCTGTTTTGTGTGGCAACACTAAGGGTACCGCATGCCACTTTGTGGCACGCCTATACCGCCTAGGGAAACACTGTCAGGGAAATAGAGCTGTTTTGAATATAGGTGATTCTATTGGAACTTGCTGTCAAACTCCTCTGACTATCGTTGTTATGATGCCAATAACAGTCATTGATTTCACAATTTCATGAATCAAATCTTATGGAGAAGAAACAATTTTCCTGATATTTTTTCCCAAGGCAGAGGCATAGGTGCCAATGGCATAGGAGAAGAAGATCTGATTTTTAATTTATTTAATTTATTTCACCTTTATTTAACCAGGTAAGCCAGTTGAGAACAAGTTCTCATTTACAACTGCAACCTGGCCAAGATAAAGCAAAGCAGTGCGATAAAAACAACAACACAGAGTTACATATGGGGTAAAACAAAACATAAAGTCAAAAATACAACAGAAAATATATATACAGTGTGTGCAAATGTAGCAAGTTATGGAGGTAAGGCAATAAATAGGCTATAGTGCAAAATAATTACAATTAGTATTAACACTGGAATGATAGATGTGCAAGAGATGATGTGCAAATAGAGATACTGGGGTGCAAATGAGCAAAATAAATAACAATATAGGGATGAGGTAGTTGGGTGGGCTAATTTCAGATGGGCTGTGTACAGGTGCAGTGATCGGTAAGGTGCTCTGACAACTGATGCTTAAAGTTAGTGAGGGAGATAAGAGTCTCCAGCTTCAGAGATTTTTGCAATTCGTTCCAGTCATTGGCAGCAGAGAACTGGAAGGAATGGCGGCCAAAGGAGGTGTTGGCTTTGGGAATGACCAGTGAGATATACCTGCTGGAGCGCATACTACGGATGGGTGTTGCTATGGTGACCAATGAGCTAAGATAAGGCGGGGATTTGCCTAGCAGTGATTTATAGATGGCCTGGAGCCAGTGGGTTTGGCAACGAATATGTAGTGAGGACCAGCCAACAAGAGCGTACAGGTCACAGTGGTGGGTAGTATATGGGGCTTTGGTGACAAAACGGATGGCACTGTGATAGACTACATCCAATTTGCTGAGTAGAGTGTTGGAGGCTATTTTGTAAATGACATCGCCGAAGTCAAGGATCGGTAGGATAGTCAGTTTTACGAGGGCATGTTTGGCAGCACGAGTGAAGGAGGCTTTGTTGCGGAATAGGAAGCCGATTCTAGATTTAACTTTGGATTGGAGATTCTTAATGTAACTCTGGAACGAGAGTTTACAGTCTAACCAGACACCTAGGTATTTGTAGTTGTCCACATACTCTAGGTCAGACCCGTCAAGAGTAATGATTCTAGACGGGTGGGCGGGTGCCAGCAGCGTTCAATTGAAGAGCATGCATTTAGTTTTACTAGTGTTTAAGAGCAGTTGGAGGCTACTGAAGGAGTGTTGTATGGCATTGAAGCTCGTTTGGAGGTTTGTTAACACAGTGTCCAATGAAGGGCCAGATGTATACAAAATGCGTAGAGGTGGATCTGAGAGTCACCAGCAGCAAGAGTGACATCATTGATATACACAGAGAAAAGAGTCGGCTCAAGAATTGAACCCTGTGGCACCCCCTAGAGACTGCCATAGGTCCAGACAACAGGCCCTCCGATTTGACACATTGAACTCTATCTGAGAAGTAGTTGGTGAACCAGGCGAGGCAGTCATTTGAGAAACCAAGGCTATTTAGACTGCCAATAAGAATGCGGTGGTTGACAGAGTCGAAAGACTTGGCCAGGTCGATGAAGACGGCTGCACAGTACTGTCTATTATCGATAGCGGTTATAATATCGTTTAGGACCTTGAGCGTGGCTGAGGTGCACCCATGACCAGCTCGGAAACCGGATTGCATAGCGGAGAAGGTACGGTGGGATTCGAAATGGTCGGTGATCTGTTTGTTAACTTGACTTTCAAAAACTTTCGAAAGGCAGGGCAGGATGGATATAGGTCTGTAACTGTTTGGATCTAGAGTGTCACCACCTTTGAAGAGGGGGATGACCGCAGCAGCTTTCCAATCTCTGGGTATCTCAGACGTTACGAAAGAGAGGTTGAACAGGCTAGTAATAGGGGTTGCGACAATTTCGTCGGCTAGTTTTAGAAAGAAAGGGTCCAGATTGTCTAGCCCAGATGATTTGTAGGGGTCCAGATTTTGCAGCTCTTTCAGAACATCAGCTGTCTGAATTTGTGTGAAGGAGAAGCGGGGGGGGGGGGGGGGGGGGGGGGGGGGGGGGGGGGGGGGCAGGGGGGGATGGGCAAGTTGCAGCGGAGGGTATAGAGCTTGTGGCCAGGGTAGTGGTATCCAGGTGGAAAGCATGGCTAGCCGTAGCAAAATGCTTGTTGAAATTCTCGATTATTGTAGATTTATCGGTGGTGATAGTGTTTCCTAGCCTCAGTGCAGTGGGCAGCTGGGAGGAGGTGCTCTTATTCTCCATGGACTTTACAGTGTCCCAAAACTTTTTGGAGTTAGTGCTACAGGATGCAAATTTATGTTTGAAAAAGTTAGCCTTTGCTTTCCTAACTGCTTGTGTATATTGGTTCCTGACTTCCCTGAACAGTTGCATATCGCGGGGGCTATTTGATGCTAATGCAGTACGCCACAGGATGTTTTTGTGCTGGTCAAGGGAAGTTAAGTCTGAGGAGAACCAGGGGCATCTGTTCTTAGTTCTGTATTTTTTGAATGGGGCATGTTTATTTAAGATTGAGAGGAAATTACTTTTAAAGAACAACCAGGCATCCTCTACTGACGGAATGAGATCTATATCCATCCAGGATACCTGGGCCAGGTCAATTAGGAAGACCTGCTCGCTAAAGTGATTTAGGGAGCGTTTGACAGTGATGAGGGGTGGTCGTTTGACCGCGGACCCGTTACGGACGCAGGCAATAAGGCAGTGATCGCTGAGATCCTGGTTGAAGACAGCGGAGGTGTATTTAGAGGGTAAGTTAGTCAGGATGATATCTATGAGGGTACCCATATTTACGGATTTAGGGTTGTACCTGGTAGGTTCGTTGATAATTTGTGTGAGATTGAGGGCATCTAGTTTGGATTGTAGGATGGCCGGGGTGTTAAGCATATCCCAATTTAGGTCACCAAGCAGTACGAACTCTGAGGATAAATGGGGGGCAATCAATTCACATATGGTATCCAGGGCACAGCTGGGGGCTGAGGGGGGTCTGTAGCAAGCGGCAACAGTGAGAGACTTATTTCTGGAAAGGTGGATTTTTAGAAGTAGAAGCTCCAACTGTTTGGGCACAGACCTGGATAGTATGATAGAGCTCTGCAGGCTAACTCCACCCCCTTTGGCAGTTCTACCTAGATGGAAAATGTTGTAGTTGGGGATGGAAATTTCAGAATTTTTGGTGGCCTTCCTAAGCCAGGATTCAGACACTGCTAGAACATCAGGGTTGGCGGAGTGTGCTAACGCAGTGAATAACTCAAACTTAGGAAGTAGACTTCTGATGTTAACGTGCAGAAAACCAAGGCTTTTACGGTTACAGAAGTCAACAAATGATAGCTCCTGGGGAGCAGGAGTGATACTGGGGGCTACAGGGCCTGGGTTAACCTCTACATCACCAGAGGAACAGAGGAGGACTAGAATAAGGATACGGATAAAGGCTTTAAGAACTGGTCTTCTAGTGCGTTGGGTACAGAGAATAAAGGGGGCAGATTTCCGGGCGTTGTAGAAAAGATTCAGGGCATTATGTACAGACAAGGATATGGAAGGATATGAGTACAGTGGAGGTAAACCTAAGCGTTGGGTAACAATGAAAGAGATAGCATCACTGGAGGCACCAATTGAGCCGGTCTCGGCGTGTGTGGGGGGTGGAACAAAGGAACTATTTGAGGCAGTTTGAGAGGGACTTGGGGTTCTACAGTGAAATTGTATAATAAGAACTAACTGGAACAGCAATAGGCAAGGCATATTGACATGGGAGAGAGGCATAAAGCAATCACAGGTGTTATTAGAGAGAGCTAAGACAACAACTGGTAATGGCGATAAAGTTTGGGCTGAGGCTAAACAGAATAAACAGGACAGGGTACTGTGTAAAGGAACAGTCCAGCAGGCATCAGCTGTGCAGCTGAGTGATCATAAGGTCCAGTGAACAGCAATATGTGAGTCCGAGAGCAGTTCAAATTGGTGCTTCAGCACAGCGAGCAGGAAGCATGGTTGTAGTTTGCGTGTGCTAGCAGGGCCGGGGGTAGCAGATGGATCTTCGTGGCCGTCGCAACGGGAAGCCTGTTGAAACCACAGACGATTACGTCGGCAGACCAGTCGTGATGGATCGGCAGGGCTCCGTGTCGACTCTAGGAGGTCCCGTCCGGTTGACAGAGAGGTAGATAGCCGGGAGATGTGCTTGACTCAAGGCTAGCTCAAGGCTGATTAGCCAACAACAACGTTCATATGGTTGCAGCTAGCTAGTTGCGATTATCCAGTGCTAAAGGTCCAATGATTCAGTGATTCCGGCAGAAAATCCGATAGGTTCTGGGTCGATAACTCGCTGTGCTGACAGTGCAGACTGGCCAATAATAGTCCAGACTAGAGCTGGCTGGTAGGTAGTGCAGGCCATGGACAATGGAGAACATGCCGCTAACGGTGGCTAATAGCAAGTAGCTAGTTAGCTGGTTAGCTGGCTACTCCCTTCCGGTAGACAGAGAGGTAGATAGCCGGGGCTAGCTCAAGGCTAACTGGTGCTACGGGGGCAGTGGTGATTAGCCTACAGCGACATCCATTCGGTTGCGGCTAGCTAGATCCGGTGTTAGGGTCCAGTGATTCAGTTATTCCGGCAGAAAATCCGATGTTCTGGGTGAAAACCGCTGACGGTGGCTAATAGCAAGTAGCTAGTTAGCTAGTTAGCTAGTTAGCTGGCTGGCTAGTTTCAACTGGAGATTTTAGATAAAAGTGAGTAAATAATAGAATCCGTTCCACATTGAGTGAGGCTGGTTACAGGAAAGTATATTTAATAGAAGGATGAAAAGTGTGATAGGGAAATATATACATGAAATACCTAAAAAATACAAAAAACTGGCTATTTACATGGACACACAAGAGAACACGACCGCACTGCTACGCTATCTTGGAACATTGATAGCCAGCATCAATCCACATCTAGGAACACCACATGATTGAACACACATGAACACAAACCCAAACCCACACCCAGATTCTGACAACATTAGAAACACAACATGAACATAAACATGCACACACAGTTAAATGATAACCCCTGGGTTTTACGGGGAAAACACTGCAGCTGACCAGTCACTCCTTCACAGCTCTGTTCTCTTCTCTGAAGCACATGCAGATTTGGAACCAGGCTAGGTCTGTGAGAGGTTTTGCTGAGAAAGCAACTTCCCGCTATCCTGGTAACCTCGTGTTTGAGCCCACTAACCGTAATAATAAAGTTGAAAAAAATTAACATACAGTACCAGTCAAAAGTTTGGACAGACCTACTCATTCAAGGGTTTTCCTTTATTTTTACTGTTTTCTACATTGTAGAATAATAGTGAAGACAACAAAATATGAAATAACACATGTGGAATCATGTAGTAACCAGAAAAAGTGTTAAACAAATCAAAATATATTTTGGTGGTCCTCTGTAGCTCAATTGGTAGAGCATGGCACTTGTAACGCCAGGGTAGTGGGTTCGATCCCCGGGACCAGCCATACGTAAAAATGTATGCACACATGACTGTAAGTCGCTTTGGATAAAAGCGTCTGCTAAATGGCATATTATTATTATATTATTATTATATTTGAGATTCTTCAAAGTAGCCACCTTGATGACAGCTTTGCACACTCTTGGCATTTTCTCAACCAGCTTCACCTGGAATGCTTTTCCAACAGTCTTGAAAGAGTTCCCACATATGCTGAGCACTTGTTGGCTGCTTTTCCTTCACTCTGCAGTCCAACTCATCCCAAACCATCTCAATTGGGTTGAGGTCGGGTGATTGTGGAGGCCATGACATCTGATGCAGCACTCCATCACTCTCCTTCTTGGTCAAATAGCCCTTACGCAGCCTGGGGGTGTGTTGGGTCATTGTCCTGTTGAAAAACAAATGACAGACCCACTAAGCGCAAACCAGATGGGATGGCGTATCGCTGCAGAATGCTGTGGTAGCCATGCTGGTTAAGAGTGCCTTAAATTCTAAATAAATCACTGACAGTGTCACCAGCAAAGCACCCCCACACCATCACGCTTCACGGTGGGAACCACACATGTGGAGATCATCCGTTCACCTACTCTGCGTCTCACCAAGACACGGCGGTTGGAACCAAAAATCGCAAGTTTGGACTCATCAGACCAAAGGACAGATTTCCACCGGTCTAATGTCCATTGCTCGTGTTTCTTGGCCCAACTAAGTCTCTTCTTCTTATTGGTGTCCTTTAGTAGTGGTTTCTTTGCAGCAATTCAACCATGAAGGCCTGATTCATGCAGTCTCCTCTGAACAGTTGATGTTGAGATGTGTCTGTTACTTGAACTCTGTGAAGCATTTATTTGGGCTGCAATTTCTGAGGCTGGTAACTAATGAACTTATCCTCCACAGCAGAGGTAACTCTGTCTTCCTTTCCTGTGGCGGTCCTTATGAGAGCCAGTTTCATCATAGCGCTTGATGGTTTTTGCGACTGCACTTGAAGAACCTTTCAAAGTTCTTGAAATTTTCCAGATTGACTGACCTTCTTAAAGTAATGATGGACTGTCGTTTCTCTTTGCTTATTTGAGCTGTTCTTGCCATAATATGGACTTGGTCTTTTACCAAATAGGGCTATCTTCTGTATAACACCCCTACCTTGTCACAACACAACTGATTGGCTCAAACGCATTAAGAAGGAAAGAAATTCCACAAATTAACTTTTAAGAAGGCACACCTGTTAATTCATGGGGACTACCCCATGAAGCTGGTTGAGAGAATGCCAAGAGTGTGCAAAGCTGTCATCAAGGCAAACGGTGGCTACTTTGAAGAATCTCAAATATAAAATGTTACTACATGATTCCATATGTGTTATTTCATAGTTTTGATGTCTTCCCTATTATTCTACAATGTAGAAAATAGTAAAAATAAAGAAAAACCCTGGAATGAGTAGGTGTGTCCAAACTTTTGACTGGTACTGTATTTGCCTTTTTCATCCTATTTATCGAAAATTGGTGGAATTATCGGACGAGATCGAGATATTGGTAAAAGGCCGATAATATTGGTGAAACAATATATTGGTCGGGCTGTAATAAGAAGGTGATAAAGGCTATCAGAGAGTGCTGATATCTCCCCATCTGTTTCAGAGGCTTTTCTGTATTGTTGTGACCTTGAAACTGCCTGGCTGTCCAGTTTGACCAGACAGTAACAAAGAGCTGACTGATAACCAAACAACAGACTAGACTGCTTTTGTTTATTTACATATTTTACACAGTGAGGCTTTGAGGGCTTGCTGTTTCCACAGATAACCACTAGAGTGGCCTTGGCCCCAATGGGCAACACAGGCCAATGATTGACAGTAGCTCAAACTCCCACCATCACAATAGTCTGTAGGGTCCTCATCTCAGTCATACATCTCAATCATAACAATAGTCTGTAGGGTCCTCATCTCAGCCATACATCACAACCATAACAATAGTCTGTAGGGTCCTCATCTCAGCCATACATCTCAACCATAACAATAGTCTGTAGGGTCCTCATCTCAGCCATACATCACAACCATAACAATAGTCTGTAGGGTCCTCATCTCAGTCATACATCACAACCATAACAATAGTCTGTAGGGTCCTCATCTCAGCCATACATCACAACCATAACAACAGTCTGTAGGGTCCTCATCTCAGCCATACATCACAACCATAACAATAGTCTGTAGGGTCCTCATCTCAGCCATACATCACAACCATAACAGGAGAGTGGAGGTGCATCTCAATAGACCAACAGTCTAAAGAGGCCTCCTCTATCTAAACTGACATTAAATAATTGTATAGAAAACCCAGACAGAAAGCAGATCCCTGAGAAGTAGGCATCCTCTATATTGCTTTCACCTCTCCATACAGATCAGTACCGATGAAGCAGAGCAGACAAGGAAAGGAAGGCACTTTTGACAAATGAAATGTGTGCAAAATCCCACCTATGGAGCCAGTCTGTAGCCTCATCACCCGTTTACCACTATATAATAGGAGAGTCAACCTCATGCCCCTGACCCCTATCCCCTGGCCCATGACATCTCACCTTTCGGCCAGGCCCTTCTTGGTAAGGCCTGAGATGACGATGGGATCAAAGGGCTCCTCTGTGCCTGAGATGGTGATACCCAGCGGGCCGTTGTAACGCTTCAGCTCCACCGTGTAGATAATGGAACCAGACATCTCCAGCTCATCTGACAGGGACAGAGAGAGCACACACACACACGCTACACTCAAACATGTATAAATATGACAGTTATTACATAAGGGATGAACTAGTCTAGCTCAAATCTGGGTCACATCGAAACTGGCTACCACACAACGAGAGACATTGTGAGACACAAATAAAACATGTATAAGCAGACATTTTGTAGGACAAATATAGCAGCCACATGACATATACCACGTCACCATTTAATTTTACAGTTATTTTTCAGATGGAATTTTATCAAGTATTTGATGGTATTTTACAGAGAAATATTTGATAAGAGTGGGCATTACAGTACAATTAGCCATCACAAATTGTAACTTCCTTGTACCAAATGGTATGTAATGTTATTTATACTAGAAAGAAATGTATAGATAGTCTGAAGATGTTTCTACTGGGGAATTCAACCTAATTGGACAGAAATGTGTTATTTACATTTTCATTTTATTCATTTAGCAGATGGTCTTATCCAGAGCGACTTACAGTGAGGGAAAAAAGTATTTGATCCCCTGCTGATTTTGTATGTTTGCCCACTGACAAAGACATGATCAGTCTATAATTTTAATGGTAGGTTTATTTGAACAGTGAGAGACAGAATAACAACAACAAAATCCAGAAAAACACATGTCAAAAATGTTATAAATTGATTTGCATTTTAATGAGGGAAATAAGTATTTGACCCCCTTTCAATCAGACATTTTTCTGGCTCCCAGGTGTCTTTTATACAGGTAACGAGCTGAGATTAGGAGCACACTCTTAAAGGGAATGCTCCTAATCTCAGCTTGTTACCTGTATAAAAGACACCTGTCCACAGAAGCAATCAATCAATCAGATTCTAAACTCTCCACCATGGCCAAGACCAAAGAGCTCTCCAAGGATGTCAGGGACAAGATTGTAGACCTACACAAGGCTGGAATGGGCTACAAGACCATCGCCAAGCAGCTTGGTGAGAAGATGACAACAGTTGGTGCGATTATTCGCAAATGGAAGAAACACAAAATAACTGTCAATCTCCCTCGGCCTGGGGCTCCATGCAAGATTTCACCTCATGGAGTTGCAATGATCATGAGAACGGTGAGGAATCAGCCCAGAACTACACGGGAGGATCTTGTCAATGATCTCAAGGCAGCTGATTGAAAGGGGGTCAAATACTTATTTCCCTCATTAAAATGCAAATCAATTTATAACATTTTTGACATGTGTTTTTCTGGATTTTTTTGTTGTTATTCCGTCTCTCGCTGTTCAAATAAACCTACCATTAAAATTATAGACTGATCATTTCTTTGTCAGTGGCCAAACGTACAAAATCAGCAGGGGATCAAATACTTTTTTCCCTCACTGTACAGGAGCAATTAGAGTTAAGTGCCTCGGGGATTCGAACCACTGGCCTTTCGGTTACTGGCCCAATGCTCTTAATCACTAGGCTACCTGCCGTCTCTCTCTTCTAGACACAACTCTCCATGCAAATAAGCTTCAGGACTGCACATTTATTTTTGAAGCATGACAATGTGTTTGTTCATCCTACCAGCGTTGTCCTCGTCCTTCTGGATCCGGAGCTTGACCATGTCCTCTGCCTGCTGCAGCACGTGCATGGCATCTTCCATGGTGCAGTTCTCCAGACGCACGTTATCGATGGCCAGCAGCCTGTCCCCTGGCTCCAACGTGCCCGTCCTATTAGCAGGAAGGGGAGAGCAGGAAATGAAACCCGATGAGATAAAACATCAAATAACACTGTGTATGTTTGTACCTGACATTTGCTTTGCATCTCAAATCTGCTTATACTACGGCCCAGAGTTGTTCCTGTTAAAGGGATAGTTCAACCAAATTACAAATTGATTGTGAAGCTCAACAAAGTCACTTAGAGGTTTTTAAAGGGATTTGTATTTACTTCCCCAGAGTCAGATTAACTTGTGGATACCATTTTTATGTCTCTGCTTGCAGTTTGAAGTTAGTTGCTAACTAGCGCTAGCGCAATTGCTAACTAGCATTAGCGCAGTGACTGGAAGTCTATGTTATCTGCTAGCACGCGCTAACGCTAATTAGCATTGGCTCGCTAAACTACCTCTAACTTCATACTGGACACAGAGACATAAAAATGGTATCCACAAGGTCATCTGACTCTGGGAAAGTAGATAAAGGGCCTCATTGCCAAAATCCCGAAGTAACCCTTTAACATGATGCCTGAAAAATTATAATAATCGGTCCCATGACTTGAATGGGATTTGAGCCGCTAAAATGGTAGCATGTGGAAATGGTGCCATGGAAACTAAACCAAAGCATGGATTGCGGTCATACCTTGTCCATAGACTGCTTACAGGGTAAGGAAACCAATATGTTATTTTGTAATTTGGGTGAACTATCCCTTTAAGGTCACATGGTTGGGAAACACTCTTGGTTCTCCTCATGACTAGTATCATTGCATTTCAGACTTGCCAGTTGAAACGAACCCCAGACTTGGGACAGTAAAGGAAGTCATTTGTTTGAGGAATCTAACCACTGGATGTTTCTTTGCAGACCTTATCAGCATGACTCCTCCATATGATTGGGATGCTGGACATACCTGTGGGCTATGCTTCCTTTCCTGATATCAGAGATGACGAGAGGTTTGTCGGGTCTCTTGCTTGCTGTTCAGACAGAAAGACACCATTAAATTAAACATTCATAACATCCAGAGATAATAGAAAGGCAGGGAATAGAAACACACATTTATCAGGAGTTGACTGTTGCCCAAATTATTTTGATTTGCTCTGGATCCCTGCATGTTCCACTTTAGTGCACACAGTCCCAAATCAATGCATGTATCACAAGTCAACTGATGGCCTGCCCTAGTAGCTTCAATAACTGATTGCCTGCCCTACTAGCTTCAGTAACTGATTGCCTGCCCTACTAGCTTCAGTAACTGATGGCCTGCCCTACTAGCTTCAGTAACTAATTGCCTGCCCTAGTAGCTTCAGTAACTGATGGCCTGCCCTAGTAGCTTCAGTAACTGATTGCCTGCCCTACTAGCTTCAGTAACTGATGGCCTGCCCTAGTAGCTTCTGTAACTGATTGCCTGCCCTACTAGCTTCAGTAACTGATGGCCTGCCCTACTAGCTTCAGTAACTGATTGCCTGCCCTAGTAGCTTCAGTAACTGATGTCCTGCCCTAGTAGCTTCAGTAACTGATGGCCTGCCCTACTAGCTTCAGTAACTGATGGCCTGCCCTAGTAGCTTCAGTAACTGATGGCCTGCCCTACTAGCTTCAGTAACTGATGGCCTGCCCAACTAGCTTCAGTATCTATGACACGTGGAGTTCCAGGTCTCCGGCAGCCTCTGGAACTGCCGTTCTGTCGCCAACAAGACAGAGTTCATCTGAGCCTATGCTACCCTTCAGTCCCTCGACATCTTGGCGCTGACGGAAACATGGATTACCACAGAAAACACTGCTACTCCTACTGCTCTTTCCTCGTCTGATCATGTGTTCTCGCATACCCCAAGAGCATCTGGTCAGCGTGGCGGTGGCACAGGAATCCTCATCTCTCCCAAGTGGACATTCTCTCTTTTCTCCCTGACCCATCTGTCTATCTACTCATTTGAATTCCATGCTGTCACAGTCACTAGCCCATTGAAGCTTAACATCCTTATCCGGTTCCCTTGGAGAGTTCATCAATGAGCTTGACGCCTTGATAAGTTCCTTTCCTGAGGATGGCTCACCACTCACAGTTCTGGGTGACTTTAACCTCCCTACGTCTGCCTTGACTAATTTCTCTCTGCCTCCTTCTTTCCACTCCTTTTCTCTTTTGACCTCACCCTCTCACCGTCCCCCCCTACTCACACGGCAGGCAATACGCTTGACCTCATCTTTACTAGATGCTGTTCTTCTACTAATCTCACTGCAACTCCCCTCCAAGTCTCAGACCACTACTTTGTATCCTTTTCTCTCTCACTCTCCTCCAACACTACTCACTCTGCCCTACTCAGATGGTAATGTGCCGTCGCAACCATCGCTCTCTCTCTCCCGCTACTCTCTCCTTTTCCATCCTATTATCTCTTCCCTCTGCTAAATCCTTCTCCTTCCGATCTCCTGATTCTGCCTCCTCAACCCTCCTCTCCTCCCTTTCTGAATCTTTTGACTCTCTATGTCCCCTATCATCCCGGCCGGCTCGGTCCTCCCCTCCTGCTCTGTGGCTTGACGACTCATTACGAGCTCACAGAACAGGGCTCCGGGCAGCCGTGCGGAAATGGAGGAAAACTAGACTCCCTGCGGACCTGTCATCTTTTCACTCCCTCCTCTCTACATTTTCTTCCTCTGTTTCTGCTGCTAAAGCCACTTTCTACCACTCTAAATGTCAAGCCTCTGCCTCTAACCCTAGGAAGCTTTTTGCCACCTTCTCCTCCCTGCTGAATCCTCCTCCTCCCCCTCCCTCCTCCTTCTCTGTGGATGACTTGTCAACCATTTTGAAAAGAAGGTTGACGACATCCAATCCTCATTTACTAAGTCAAATGACACCGCTGGTCCTGCTCACACTGCCCTACCCTATGCTTTGACTTCTTTCTCCCCTCTCTCTCCAGATGAAATCTTGCGACGGCCGGCCGCCCAACAACCTGCCCGCTTGACCCTATCCCATCCTCTCTTCTCCAGACCATTTCCGGAGATCTTACCTCACCTCACCTCGCTCATCAACTCATCCTTGACCGCTGGCTATGTCCCTTCCGTCTTCAAGAGAGCGAGAGTTGCACCCCTCCTCAAAAAACCTACACTCGATCCCTCCGATGTCAACAACTACAGACCAGTATCCCTTCTTTCTTTTTTCTCCAAAACTCTTGAGCGTGCCGTCTCTAGCCAACTCTCCTGCTATCGCTCTCAGAATGACCTTCTTGATCCAAACCAGTCATGCTTCAAGGCTGGTCATTCAACTGAGACTGCTCTTCTCTGTGTCACGGAGGCTCTCCGCACTGCTAAAGCTAACTCTCTCTCCTCTGATCCTTCTAGACCTATCTGCTGCCTTTGATACTGTGAACCATCAGATCCTCCTCTCCACCCTCTCCGAGTTGGGCATCTCCGGCTCTGCTCACTCTTGGATTGCGTCCCACCTGACAGGTCGCTCCTACCAGGTGGCGTAGCGAGAATCTGTCTCCGCACCACGTGCTCTCACCACTGGTGTCCCCCCAGGGCTCAGTTCTAGGCCCTCTCCTATTCTCTCTATACACTAAGTCACTTGGCTCTGTCATATCCTCACATGGTCTATCCTATCATTGCTACGCAGACAACACACAATTAATTTTTTCCTTTCCCCCTTCTGATAACCAGGTGGCGAATTGCATCTCTGCATGTCTGGCAGACATATCAGTGTGGATGTCGGATCACCACCTCAAGCTGAACCTCGGCAAGACGGAGCTGCTCTTCCTCCTGGGGAAGGACTGCCCACTCCATGATCTCGCCATCACGGTTGACAACACCATTGTGTCCTCCTCCCAGAGTGCAAAGAACCTTGGCGTGACCCTGGACAACACCCTGTCATTCTCCGCTAACATCAAAGCGGTTGAATGCACCAATTTGTAAGTCGCTCTGGATAAAAGCGTCTGCTAAATGACTTAAATGTAAATGACATCACTAACATACTCTCTGTACTACAGAGAATTACTGTCCTTTATTGTTTTTCCATGCTCGTTAAAGTGTGAAAGAGGTGATGATAAATGCTTGTAGACCACTATTATTCATCAAACTTAATGAGGCGGTAGCTCTCATGACAGTCTAGGCCACAGTTATCAATCACAGAGAGATATGCAGACCAAGGGTCCTTATGTAGGGCTACGTCGCCCCCTGCCGTTTGCATCTGGTAACTCACCACTGATGGTGATGCCAAGTTCCACTCCTCTCCTCTTGGGCAGTTTGACATGGAATGTGCCACTACTGGGAACCACTGATTCTAATTGGGGGGGGGGGGGCATGAAAGAAACAGATTGATTACAACATAAATAACAAACATCACAAGCAGGCTACCTCCCCGGTACTCCGCCCTGCACCTTGAGACTAATGCTCCGTGTAAACTCAACAAAAAAAGAAACGTCCACTCACTGCCAACTGCGTTTATTTTCAGCAAACTTAACATATGTAAATATTTGTATGAACATAAGATTCAACAACTGAGACATAAACTGAACAACTTCCACAGACATGTGACTAACAGAAAGGCCCTCAAAATTGTCAAAGACTCCAGCCACCCTAGTCATAGACTGTTCTCTCTGCTACCGCACGGCAAGCGGTACCGGAGTGCCAAGTCTAGGTCCAAAAGACTTCTCAACAGCTTCTACCCCCAAGCCATAAGACTCCTGAACAGCTAATCATGGCTACCCGGACTATTTGCACTGCCCCCCCACCCCATCCTTTTTACGCTGCTGCTACTCTGTTAAGTATTTATGCATAGTCACTTTAACTCTACCCACATGTACATATTACCTCAACTACCTCAACTAGCCGGTGCCCCCGCACATTGACTCTGCAACGGTACCCCCCTGTATATATAGCCTCCCTACTGTCACTTTATTTTACTTCTGCTCTTTTTTTTCTCAACACTTTTTTTGTTGATGTTTTATTTTTACTTTTTTGTTTAAAATAAATGCACTGTTGGTTAAGGGCTGTAAGTAAGCATTTCACTGTAATGTCTGCACCTGTTGTATTCGTCGCATGTGACCAATACAATTTGATTTGATTTGATTTGATTTGAATTGAATAATGTGTCCCTGAACAAAGGGGGGGGGGATCAAAATCAAAAGTAACAGTCAGTATCTGGTGTGGCCACCAGCTGCATTAAGTACAGCAGTGCATCGCCTCCTCATGGACTGTACCAGATTTGCCAGTTCTTGCTGTGAGATGTTACCCCACTCTTCCACCAAGGCACCTGCAAGTTCCCTGACATTTCTGGGGGGAATGGCCCTAGCCCTCACCCTCTGATCCAACAGGTCCCAGACGTGCTCAATGAGATTGAGATCCAGGCTCTTCGCTGGCCATGGCAGAACACTGACATTCCTGTCTTGCAGGAAATCACGCACAGAACGAGCAGTATGGCTGGTGGCATTGTCATGCTGGAGGGTCATGTCAGGATGAGCCTGCAGGAAGGGTACCACATGAGGGAGGAGGATGTCTTCCCTGTAACGCACAGCATTGAGATTGCCTGCAATGACAACAAGCTCAGTCCGATGATGCTGTGACACACCGCCCCAGACCGTGACGGACCCTCCACCTCCAAATCGATCCCGCTCCAGAGTCCAGGCCTCAGTGTAACGCTCATTTCTTTGACGATAAACGCGAATCCGACCATCACCCCTGGTGAGACAAAACCGCGACTCGTCAGTGAAGAGCACTTTTTGCCAGTCCTGTCTGGTCCAGCGACGGTGGGTTTGTGCCCATAGGCGACGTTGTTGCCGGTGATGTCTGGTACCTGCCTTACAACAGGCCTACAAGCCCTCAGTCCAGCCTCTCTCAGCCTATTGCGGCAGTCTGAGCACTAATGGAGGGATTGTGCGTTCCTGCTGTAACTCGGGCAGTTGTTGTTGCCATCCTGTACCTGTCCCGCAGGTGTGATGTTCGGATGTACCGATCCTGTGCAGGTGTTGATAAACATGGTCTACCACTGCGAGGGAGATCAGCTGTCCGTCCTGTCTCCCTGTAGTGCTGTCTTCGGCGTCTCACAGTACGGACATGGCAATTTATTACCCTGGCCACATCTGTAGTCCTCATGCCTCCTTGCAGCATGCCTAAGGCACGTTCACAGAGATGAGCAGGGACCCTGGGCATCTTTCTTTTGGTGTTTTTCAGAGTCAGTAGAAGTTTTCATAACTGTGACCTTAATTGCCTACCGTCTGTAAGCTGTTAGTGTCTTAACGACCGTTCACCATGTTCATTAGTTGTTTATGGTTAATTGAACAAGCATGGGAAACAGTGTTTAAACCCTTTACAATGAAGATCTGTGAAGTTATTTGGATTTTTACAAATTATCTTTGAAAGACAGTTTCTTTTTTTGCTGAGTTTATATAGATAGTCATTGAACACTGGTCACCTCATTCTGTTTATATACTGTTATATACACTGTACCAGTCAAATGTTTGGACACACCTACTCATTCAAGGGTTTTTCTTTATTTTTACTATTTTCTACATTGTAGAATAATCTGTCATCTGATGCAGCACAACAGTCTGTAAGGTCCTCATCTCACCAAACATCTCAACCATAACAACAGTATGTAGGGTCCTCATCTCAGCCATACATCACAACCATAACAGGAGAGTGGAGGTGCATCTCAATAGTTACAATGTAGAAAATAGTAAAAAATAAAGAAAAAACCTTGAATGAGTAGGTGTCCAAACTTTTGACTGGTACTGTATATACTGTATTCTCCACATACTGTAGCCCATCCTAATATACCTACTGTACATACAGTGGGGAAAAAAAGTATTTAGTCAGCCACCAATTGTGCAAGTTCTCCCACTTAAAAAGATGAGAGAGGCCTGTAATTTTCATCATAGGTACACGTCAACTATGACAGACAAAATGAGAAAAAAAATCGTGAAAATCACATTGTAGGATTTTTTATGAATTTATTTGCAAGTTATGGTGAAAAATAAGTATTTGGTCAATAACAAAAGTTTCTCAATACTTTGTTATATACCCTTTGTTGGCAATGACACAGGTCAAATGTTTTCTGTAAGTCTTCACAAGGTTTTCACACACTGTTGCTGGTATTTTGGCCCATTCCTCCATGCAGATCTCCTCTAGAGCAGTGATGTTTTGGGGCTGTCGCTGGGCAACACAGACTTTCAACTCCCTCCAAAGATTTTCTATGGGGTTGAGATCTGGAGACTGGCTAGGCCACTCCAGGACCTTGAAATGCTTCTTACGAAGCCACTCCTTCGTTGCCCGGGCGGTGTGTTTGGGATCATTGTCATGCTGAAAGACCCAGCCACGTTTCATCTTCAATGCCCTTGCTGATGGAAGGAGGTTTTCACTCAAAATCTCACGATACATGGCCCCATTCATTCTTTCCTTTACACAGATCAGTCGTCCTGGTCCCTTTGCAGAAAAACAGCCCCAAAGCATGATGTTTCCACCCCCATGCTTCACAGTAGGCATGGTGTTCTTTGGATGCAACTCAGCATTCTTTATCCTCCAAACACGACGAGTTGAGTTTTTACCAAAAAGTTATATTTGGTTTCATCTGACCATATGACATTCTCCCAATCCTCTTCAGGATCATCCAAATGCACTCTAGCAAACTTCAGACGGGCCTGGACATGTACTGGCTTAAGCAGGGGGACACATCTGGCACTGCAGGATTTGAGTCCCTTGCGGCGTAGTGTGTTACTGATGGTAGGCTTTGTTACTTTGGTCCCAGCTCTCTGCAGGTCATTCACTAGTTCCCCCCGTGTGGTTCTGGGATTTTTGCTCACCGTTCTTGTGATCATTTTGACCCCACGGGGTGAGATCTTGCGTGGAGCCCCAGATCGAGGGAGATTATCAGTGGTCTTGTATGTCTTCCATTTCCTAATAATTGCTCCCACAGTTTATTTCTTCAAACCAAGCTGCTTACCTATTGCAGATTCAGTCTTCCCAGCCTGGTGCAGGTCTACAATTTTGTTTCTGGTGTCCTTTGACAGCTCTTTGGCCATAGTGGAGTTTGGAGTGTGACTGTTTGAGGTTGTGGACAGGTGTCTTTTATACTGATAACAAGTTCAAACAGGTGCCATTAATACAGGTAACGAGTGGAGGACAGAGGAGCCTCTTAAAGAAGAAGTTACAGGTCTGTGAGAGCCAGAAATCTTGCTTGTTTGTAGGTGACCAAATACTTATTTTCCACCATAATTTGCAAATAAATTCATTAAAAATCCTACAATGTGATTTTCTGGAGAAAAAAATTCTCAATTTGTCTGTCATAGTTGACGTGTACCTATGATGAAAATTACAGGCCTCTCTCATATTTTTAAGTGGGAGAACTTGCACAATTGGTGGCTGACTAAATACTTTTTTTCCCCACTGTACCATTTTCCAAATTATATACTGTCTATACACACCACACATTTATATTCATATTCTGGATTCTCACATGCTCACTGTAATATATCTACTTTGGATTGTTATTTCTTGATTTGTTGTTTAGATTTTTTGATTATTTGTGTATTTGACATTCTACTGCAATGTTGGAGCTAGTACATAAGCATTTCACTGCACCTGTACAACATCTGCAAATCTGTGCACGTGACCAATACATTTTGATTTGATTTGAGAAGCTATTTCAACTTGGATGAACAAAGGTTAAACTAATGAAAAAGGCTATACCTGCTACATCAAACTCAATCTCCAGGGTGACCTTATTGGCCAGAGCGGCGTCTCGCAGTAGCTGATTGGCCTCCTCCAGTGTTCCGTCCTCTGTAGGGATTCTGTTGATGGACAGGAGTCTGTCCCCCACCTGCAGCAGCCCACATCTGACGGCACAGAGAATAGTTAGAGTACAATGGAGGGAGAATCTTTTTGTTACATAGTTAGAAGAGTACAATAGGGGAAAATTGGTAATTCTATGTGGCATTCAGCATATTTTACAGGGAATGTGGCCTTTATACAGTTAGACATTTAACCAAATTGAACGGTTGTTATGAACAGTTTTTCCTAATACTTCTCTCGTTTATGGCCCATTTCCCAGACGAAGCCTACTCCTAAACTAAAGACCATGAGAGTCCTGCTGTAAAGCGATAAGAAACATTATCCTGACAACGTACTACTACTAATACAGAGCTATCTGGTTCTTTCCTTTCATGACTCTGCTTTATATTTCAGAGATAAGTGGGTTATGGTGAACATATTTCAACTCCACTTTGACCTTAACTCACTGATAACTGCTATCAATAAACCACTGAGCCACACTGTTAACCGCTATCAATAAACCACTGAGTCAGGACCCTGAAGGGCACAATCCTACCTGCAATCAACCCTTGTGTTAAATTGAACAAAGCTAGTCCCTCCTGTCCCGTTCTGGCTAGGAGCAATGGGAAACCTTTAAGTAGATTTCTTCTATTACCAGAAAAATAGCTTTGACTCCAGTGACCGTGGAATAATGGATCAATATGTCACCTAAGTTGAACAAATGTCAATCACTTCTCTGATAAGAAAATTACTCTTCACCTTGCTTGACCTTAAATAAAAAGGGCAAGGGCACAAACTTCAACTTTATGTTACACATCCCACACACACACATATTCAGATGGATGCTTACTTCCATGATCACATCATTAGGACACACACATAGCAGCACTGTCAACTAAGATTTATTCACTAACCACTGCAGTCCATTAACCTTGCGTCAGTGCTGAGACGAACATCACAATAGGATGTTCTGCTTGAGTCACTCCCTCCCAACGGCGGGAACCTTTAAATGGTATTAGACCACCCAGGGGACATGGCCTTCTGTTGTTCATACAGACACTATCATTACTCTTACAAGACAAGGGCAGAAATAAAAATGCTTTTTAAAGCAAGGCTAAAATAAACTTTTACAATGTTCAAGTGTGACGTGAGACAAACAAACAAAGTAGATTAGAATTAATTAACTTGCTTCTCACAGATTCTAATACCACTGAAGTTATTACCATTACCTCAAAGCAAGGTGCCTTATGGAACTGCTAGGACATAGCAGAGCTAACAGTGACATCTTGGGATAGGAGACCCAGATTAGTATTCCTCAAAGAAAGCAGTGACTCTCCTCATCACTCCTGATGACACCCTACCGTCCTCTGAGTGACTAAGACATGGCCCTAAGGTCAAGGTCACTCCACACTGCATAGTACGTCTCTGTGCGGGAGGCTGTGTGTGTGTGTGTGTGTGTGTGTGTGTGCGTGTAACCTTTCGGCAGGGCTGTCAGGCTCGATGAAGCGGATGACTGCGGGAGCGGACAGGGTCTCTGTGGCAAAAACACCCCCCTGCAGCTGAACCCCGAACCCTGTGAGTGGATCCCCCCTCAGGATGACCTCGCTGGTCTCCACATGAACAACCTGCCCCCCAGGGCCCACTGAGCTGGATGCTAGGGACACTGGGAGAGGGGGAGGATAGCGTGATAAATTGAGAGAAAGGGGAGGAATGGATGGATAGATGGAGCGAGAGAGCGAGAGAGCGAGAGAGCGAGAGAGCTATCAGCCTTTCCATCAGTCATCTCAGTCCACGTCAGTGATCCATCATTTGAGCAGTCACGCCTTTAATGAGGGGAGGTAGGTAAATTCTCCAACTATTCTAAAACCCTGTTATGAATACACATTTGTTTTAAAAGCAGTCCACAATCCACATACGTGAGCTCTTGTGCTCCTTCCTCCGCTGGCGTCTCTTGTGTGTGGTGCTTCGGGGGCTGGTGGTGGGGGCGGCGGGGGGGATGGGGCAGGGTAGGGTGCTGCTGCCCTGGCTGCTGCTGTACCCTGAGGTGGCTGTGGAGGAAGGGGAGAAGCCACCACACACCAGAGCTGAAAGGACACATGCTCACGACATCAATGCAAAGAGAAATCCCCTTCAAGGTAGAATAATGCAACTCACCACTTGACCTGTAACTCCACACTGCACGTAGGCTACATGCGATGCTAATACACAGTCAATGATATCGCAACATTATCATTGGGATCAGAGGATCATAAACCGAAAAAAAGACAGATGATCAACAGCAACTTCCAAAATATATACATGTAGCAAGGAAAAGGCTATATACTGTACTATACCCAGCAGCATATTCACACATTCTAACTTACATGTGCAGTGGTCCTGCTGGTTGAGTGGGTGGCTGGGACTGCTCCATGTCTTGCAGTGTTGGGTGTGGCTGTAGTTGACAGTGGGGTCCCAATGGTGAAGGTTGCTCTTCTCCACTTTCACTGTGGCCACAATGAAACAAAAAAATATTTAAAAGTTGTTTATGAGGAAAATCACTCTCTCCTCAGGCACGGCAATGTGCTTCTAAATTCTGCCCATGAAATCCTGCTTTAATCTCCATGTCTACATTTTCACCACACTACACAGAGCCTGCAGGATAACACCAGGCAAGTAATTTATATTTGATGTTTTCTTCATGTTACGCTAGATTGAATCCTGTGGCATAATGCATTTAATTGAATTAATTGAATGGAGCAAAGAAGGACAGAATGGCTGAGAAATGTTATCTTACTTTTACTAACAAGCTTCAGCAAAGCTGAATGCAGATTGGAGAACATTTTACAATTTCACTTTGAAGAAAGCAAAATAAACTGGGTTTGTAAAAACACTGGCAAGTCAGTCAGAACAGACTCTCATTGAGCTAATACTGCCTTGAGTGAAGAGAGGACATGCCATGTGAATCTGCCTTCATTGAACACAACTGAAACCCGAAAGGCTGATTGCAGATGATGCCTCATGGATAAGATATGTCCCGCCTCTCTCCTGATTGGCAGGCCAATTGACCAATTGAGCATGTGGGCTGTCAGTGTCAAACCTGAGGCTTTTTCGGTTGGGTGAAAAGTTCATGGGATTGGAGATAGATGCCACATGACACAGAACAATGATTGGTCTGAAATGTTCCACTCTTATGACTGCATTTACAGTGTGATGGCTGTGTCCCTAGATGTTTACTCCCTTTACAAATTCTTTATATGCTTTAATGCTGTAAAGCGCAGGTTGTAGCTGAAAGATACAGTATTGGCTATTCTTTTCTCAAACCCACAATCAATGTAGTAAAACCAAATCATTAATGAAACATTCAAGGGAAAGATGTGGCGCTACACTCCACACTTAAATGTGACCAAACCTTACAGCTATATTTAACGGGGAGTATTACACATGACTGTAATCCTTAGTGTTCTATTCGTACGGTCTTAATCTGTGACAGCCTCCCTCCTCACATGGAAGAAGGATTTGCAAGAAAGCCATGGATGTCTCACAGATCCAGGTCACCTGGTTAAGTCCAAGACATTGTAGTATGTCTTTGAAAGCATGTAGGAAACTCCCAAGCCTTTTTCAAACGTCCACAACGTTCGTCTCAGGTAGAAGTTGTCTTAACCCTTTTGTATCCCCTATGCCTAACCATAAGAAGAGTGACAAGATGTGACCCTGGCTCAGTAGTTAGGGAAAACTTCCATCCTACTCTGTGGTCCTGTAACCCTTTTGCTCATGCAGCGTAGAGCTCTCTAAGAACTCTATTTCCTATCTTTACTGAGGAATACTGTAAAAACAGCTTATCTTTTAGTTGCCATATCAGTCTTATTAAATCCCAGCGAGGATTAGACAAATTGCATTTTATGATAATGTCTAATACCCAAAGGGAATGTATCATTAAAATATAATCTCATCATTGTGGCATTTCATTTCAATAATGACTCTACATCTAATCCAACTTTGAAGGACATGATAAATGACAGTAATTTTATAGGCACAAATAAAACTCACTGAAACACTTTCTTTTCACTATCTTGAGTACATACATTAGTGTGATACAGTGTAATATGATAATCCATGTCGACGATGACAGATAACAATATGTAATCCAAGTCCATTGGGTAGTGGGTGTCTCCATAATATAATGACTCAGCCATAAAATACGTACACTAATGCTAAGACGCCCATCGCAGATAAGACTAAGCCACTGTAGTTAACACTAAGACACAGCATAGTTGTACCACATTTCAGGCTTCACAATCTTTCCCAACCTCACACACTAAGAAACCACCTCTGACCAAAGGCTCTGTCAATCAACTGTTAGGTGTTCCTTTCTACCTGTTAATTCTTACATGGATCAAACTATTTAAACTAAGGCTGTTTATCATGTACAGTGCATTCGGAAAGTATTCAGACCCCTTGACCTTTTACACATTTTGTTACGTTACAGCCTTATTCTAAAATTGATTAAATTGTTTTTCCCCCTCATCAATCTACACACAATTCGCCATAATGACAAAGCAAAAACAGGTTTATAGACATTTTTGCACATTTATTAAAAATTAAAAACGTAAATATTACATTTACATAATTATTCAGACCCTTTACTCAGTACTTTGTTGAAGCACCTTTGGCAGCGATTACAGCCTTGAGTCTTCTTGGGTATGACGCTACAAGCTTGGCACACCTGTATTTCGGGAGTTTCTCCCATTCTTCACTGCAGATCGTCTCAAGCTCTGTCAGGTTGGATGGGGAGCATCGCTGCACAGCTATTTTCAGGTCTCTCCAGAGATGTTCGATCGGGTTCAAATCCGGGCTCTGGCTGGGCCACTTAAGGACATTCAGAGACTTGTCCCGAAGCCACTCCTGTGTTGTCTTGGCTGGGTACTTAGGGTCGTTGTCCTGTTGGAAGGTGAACCTTTGCCCCAGTCTGATGTCCTGAGCGCTCTGGAGCAGGTTTTCATCAAGGATCTCTCTGTTCATCTTTCCCTCGATCCTGACTAGTCTCCCAGTACCTGCCGCTGTAAAATATTCCCACAACATGATGCTGCCACCACCATGCTTCACCGTAGGGATGGTGCCAGGTTTCCTCCAGACGTGACGCTTAGCATTCAGGCCAAAGAGTTCAATCTTGGTTTCATCAGACCAGAGAATCTTGTTTCTAAAGGTCTGAGAGTCCTTTAGGGGCCTTTTGGCAAACTCCAAGCGGACTGTCGTGCCTTTTACTGATGAGTTGCTTCCGTCTGGCCACTCTACCATAATGGCCTGATTGGTAGAGTGCTGCAGAGATGGTTGTCCTTCTGGAAGGTTCTCCCATCTCCACAGAGGAACTCTTTAGCTCTGTCAGAGTGACCATCAGGTTCTTGGTCATCTCTCTGACCATGGCCCTTCTCCCCCGATTACTCAGTTTGGCCGGGCGGCCAGCTCTAGGAAGAGTCTTGGTGGTTCCAAACTTCTTCCATTTAAGCGTGTGTTCTTGGGGACCTTTAATGCTGCAGACATTTTTTGGTACCCTTCCCCAGATCTGTGCCTCGACACGATCCTGTCTCAGAGCTCTATGGACAATTCCTTCGACCTCATGGCTTGGTTTTTACTCTGACATGCATTGTCAACTGTGGGACCTTATATAGACAGGTGTGCGCCTTTCCAAATCATGTCCAATCAACTGAATTTACCACAGGTGGACTCCAGTCAAGTTGTAGAAACATCTCAAGGATGATCAATGGAAACAGGATGCACCTGAGCTCAATTTCAAGTCTCATAGCAAAGGGTCTGAATACTTATGTAAATAAGATATTTCAGTTTTTTATTTTTTATAAATGAGCAAAAATGTCTAAAAAACTGTTTTCACTTTGTCATTATGGGGTATTGTGTGTAGATTGATGAGGATTTTTATTTACTTTCTGAATGCACTGTACATGTCATCAGTGCTTTGTAAATGAATAATTTTGAAAAAATAAATAAAAATAAACTGTTGGCCCAGATAGAAGCCTGGAAAAAAACACAGCATGAGGTGTGTGTGTGTGTGTGTGTGTGTGTGTGTGTGTGTGTGTGTGTGTGTGTGTGTGTGTAGCTTGTCAGTATGCATAAACGGCCGGCGGTCTACCCCAGGGTACAGGGCTCGTAGCCTCCAGCCCTCTCCACACTGATTCACAGCATACGGGAGGAGGCAGCTCACCCTCTGCAGTCCCTTTACAGCAGCAGCAGAGGGAACTATGTAGGGTTTTCTTCTGCTGGGTTACATATGTAGAAAACAACCTAAACACTGCATAAACAAAGGACTGTGAGGAGGGGAGGAGAGGACGCCTTGGAGAGTGTTGGCATACTGACCTGTGTCTTGAGGTCTCATGGGAAGTCTGCTCTGATTGGCTGGCAGGATCTCCAATTTGACAATGTCAGAGGTTTGGGCCAACAGCTGCGTGGCCTCCATCAGGGAACAGTGCTCAGTACTGGTCCCATCTATACACAGGAGGAGATCACCTATATGCAATGCCCCACACCTGAGAGAGAGAGGGGGTAGGAAAGGGACAGACAGAGAGGGATTTGAAAGGAGAAAAGCATATTACATTTAGTCTAAAGCTATTCTCATGCAAAATACAGTATGGTCTCTTTGGTAAGCAAGTAAAAAATGTAGACATTGTACGTGACAGGAGGCTTGGCTCACCTCTCCACCACACTGGCCTGTTTGATCTTGTCGATGACGATGACCTGTTTGTTCCTGTTCACTGCGGTGGCCAGGCTGACACCCAGGCTGGCTGCAGGACACTTCACTATCTCCACCAGCAGGGGGCCAGAGGCCTGCTGCACCGACTCTGAGAGACAGACAGACATACACGGCATTAAGGGTAATGTCGTTAGTACTGTAGTGAATTGACGAGATTGCTTGGTGTTGGGTTAAGGTTGCTACAGTACAGTGATGAAATCAGTGTCTGAGTACTTAGGAAAATGTTGGAAATAGTAACTCTACATTATCATCTCCACATTATCTCCACATTTACTTTCTCTTCATTATCTCTTCTCTCTAAATTGAACACCCCATTATTTTATTTCAGGGGACATTTGGTTTGTTAATGATGCTTTCCCACTATATTCCAAACAAGGATATTCCCATTTACCTCACCTCAACCCACCTCACTTAACATTAAACTATGGCAGTACAGAGGTCAAGCTGTCTCAGCTGATGGTATACAGTATGAAGCATCCTATCCAGTGATAACTGAGAACTGACAGAGCTAGGGGATAGGGGCGCAACAGAGAAATTCAGGCACACTAGATTGGGAACTCTCAGGGAAACGTTAGTTCGTCTGAGATCTTGTCTAGGACTCGAGTCCAACCTTGCACTGCCTGGGGAGTGTCACCGTACTAGAGGAGTGTCCCAGACCTATGCTGACAAACCCAGGCATGACTGTCACTGACTTACAGCTTTTTCCTTTGATCATCCTTGAGACGTCACTACAATTCGATTGGAGTCCACCTGTGGCCAATTCAATTGTTTGGACATGGTTTAGAAAGAAATACACCTGTCTATATTACTTTAAGAAGGTCAGTCAATCTGGAAAATATCAAGAACTTTGAACGTTTCTTCAAGTGCAGTCGCAAAAACCAAGCGCTATGATGAAACGGGCTCTCATGAGGACCGCCACAGGAAAGGAAGACCCAGAGTTAACTCTGCTGCAGAGGATAAGTTAATTAGAGTTACCAGCCTCAGAAATTGCAGCCCAAATAAATGCTTCACAGAGTTCAAGTAACAGACACATCTCAACATCAACTGTTCAGAGGTGACTGCGTGAATCAGGCATTCATGGTCGAATTGCTGCAAAGAAACCACTACTAAAGGCCACCAATAAGAAGAAGAGACTTGCTTGGGCCAAGAAACACGAGCAATGGACATCAGACCGGTGGAAATCTGTCCTTTGGTCTGATGAGTCCAAATTTGAGATTTTTGGTTCCAACTGCCGTGTCTTTGTGAGACGCAGAGTAGATGAACGGCTGAGCTCCGCATGTGTGGTTCCCACTGTGAAGCATGGAGGAGGAGGTGTGATGGTGTGGGGGTGCTTTGCTAGTGACACTGTCAGTGATTTATTTAGAATTCAAGGCACACTTAACCAGCATGGCTACCACAGGATTATGCAGCGATACGCCATCCCATCTGGTTTGCGCTTACTGGGACTATCATTTGTTTTTCAACAGGACAATGACCCAACACACCTCCAGGCTGTGTAAGGGCTATTTGACCAAGACGGGGAGTGATGGAGTGCTGCATCAGATGACCTGGCCTCCACAATCCCCCGACCTCAACCCAATTGAGATGGTTTGGGATGAGTTGGACTGTAGAGTGAAGGAAAAGCAGCCAACAAGTGCTCAGCATATGTGGGAACTTCTATAAGCCTATTGGAAAAGCATTCCTCATGAAGCTGGTTGAGAGAATGCCAAGAGTGTGCAAAGCTGTCATGAAGGCAAAGGTTGGCTACTTTGAAGAATCTAAAAGATAAAATATATTTTGCTATGTTTAACACTCTTTTGGTTACTACATGATTCCATATGTGTTATTTCATAGTTTTGATGTCTTCACTATTATTCTAAAATGTAGAAAATAGTAAAAATAAAGAGAAACCCTTGAATGAGTAGGTGTGTCCAAACTTTTTACTGGTACTGTATATCTGGGGAAGGGTAGAAAACAATTTCTAGAGTGTTGAAAGTTTCCAAGAGCACAGTGGTCTCCATCATTGGGAAATTGAAAAAATATAGAACTACCCAGACTCTGCCTAGAGCTGGCCGTCGACCAAACTGAGCCACCCAGCAAGAATGATCTTTGTCAGGGAGGTGACCAAGAACCCAATGACCACTCTGACCGAACTACAGAGTTCCTTGGCTGAGATGGGAAAACCTGCCAGATGGACAACAGTCTCTCCAGCACTTCACCAATCTGGGCTTTACGGGAGCGTGAGCAGACGGAAGCCACTCCTGAGAAAAAGGTACATGACAGCACGCACAGAGTTTGAAAAAAGACACGTGGAAGACTCTGAGAGGATAAGGCAAAATATTATGTGGTTTGATGAGGCAAAAATGTAACTCTTTGGCCTGAATGCAAAGCGCTATGTCTGAAGAAAACCAGGCACAGCCCATCACCCGTCTAACACCATCCCTATCGTGAAGCATGGTGGTGGCAGCTTCATGCTATGGGGATGGTTTTCAGCAGCAGGGAATGGGAAACTGGTAAGGATCAAGGGATCAAAGAATGGAGCCAAATACAGACAAATCCTTGATGCGAACCTGCTTTAGAGTGCAAACAACCTCAGACTGGGGCAAAGATTTACGTTCCAACAGGACAATGACCCCAAGCATACAGCCAAAGAAACGCTGGAATGGCTTCTGAACAAAAATATGAAAGTCCTTGAGTGGCCCAGCCAAAGCCCAGACTTGAATCCCATTGAAAATCTGTGGAAAGACTGCTGGTCCCCATCTTACTTAACAGAGCTTGAGAAAATCTACAAGGAAGAATGGGAGAAAAATCCCCAAATCCAGATGTGCAAAGCTGATACAGACATACCCAAGACGACTCAAAGCTGTAAGCTTCTACAAAGTATTGACTCAGGGGTGTGAATACTTACGTAAATATTTCTGTATTTTATTTTCAATACACTTGTAAACATTTCTAAAAACATGTTTTCACTTCGTCATTACGGGGTATTGTGTGTAGATGGGAGAGATTAAAAAAATATTTGAATTCAGGCTGCAACACAACAAAATGTGGAATAAGTACATTTACATTACATTTTAGTCATTTAGCAGACGCTCTTATCCAGAGCGACTTACAGTTAGTGAGTGCATACATTTTTCATACTTTCTGAAGGCACTGTACATATTGGAGGAGAACAGACTGAAGAGCTATTTTACATTTGACCTTGCCAAACTGACGCAAGCTCTCGATCCTCAACATTCTGCATCCTTCTGTGGGGCTCATTCGGGGGCAGGAACGTCTGTCTATCTGTCTGTCTGTCTGTCTGTCTGTCTGACTGACTGTGAAGCACTAGTGCTAATTAGGGTATATGAAAGATCTCTGTTTTTGCTTTTTTGCTTCATTTAGAAGAATAAAACCGTTCTATCCAACATGCAAAATGAAAGATTAAAAAACAATCCTAAACCTCTGGGTGGTTTGTCTTACTTCCATAAGATATAGAGTCGACTTCTGTATTAGAATCAGTAGAGTATATATTGTTTTATTGTATGTACCTGCTGTACCATTCCTACGAAGTGTTGACATGTTTTGGAGCCGTGTGAATCCCAAAGTGGCGGCTTGTGCGCAGCTAACACTCGCTCTAATACATTCTTGTGGAACGGGCGCATTATTTACCCTCAGAGTGATGTTGCCTTGCCTGCCGTATTCTCACATATTCCCCCTCCGCCCAGCGTGTGTGTGCTCACCCATGACAGAGACGTCATACTCAATCAGGAACAGGGCATCCTGGCTACACTGCATCAGCATAGTGAGGGCATCAGCGTGCTTCTCTCGGTTTAAGGGCATCCCGTCCACGCTCAGCATGCGGTCACCAGCCTTCAGTGTGCCCTCTCTAGTAGAGAGACAGAGAGAGAGAGAGAGAGAGAGAGAGGGGAGAGAACCCTAACCCTTAAGTGTGTGTAAAGGAGAGGGCAGTGAGTACAGGCACTCTGTCCACACAGACACATCACATGGTCACCATCTTTCTGTTTGCTGTCTCTAGGAATAGAGGTGTTTTGGACATTGCAGTACAGTCATCTTTAGCCAACAAACAGCTCCCAATGTCCTCTCTCTGGTAAAAGATAGATTCTACCTCTGACCTCTCAGGAAATGAATTAACATAAATTAATAAACATAAATAATATCTATATATTCTCTCATGGTGTATAGTACACTCACCATGTCAATGTTTTCTTTATACGATGTATATACAATGTATGTTGCCCTCAATATTCTGAGAAATCCTGGACAGAAACAGTGCAGTACAGCATTCAGCTAGCTAGTCCCTAGCCTTAGGATGAAGCTTGCTCTTTATACTGTTAATGTGGATATAACATTAATGCATGACTGCATTTCCATAGGTCTGGGAGGCAGGCATCACTACATCTTTTCAATAGCATTTGCCATTGAAACAAATGGCAAAGAGCAAACCAAGTCCAGCAAGCTCTACAGATTGCACACAGATCCATACACTGAAAACGAGGCACTCCAGAGCTTCTTAATCACTTACTCATGTGAAATTACTCATAAGGGGCACACACACACACACCTCTGCATGTCTTTACCTATCAGCAGGACCCCCGGGCCGTACGTAGGTCACTACCAGAGGACGAGACCTGTGCCAGTCTTCATGGAACCCTCCTAGAGAAGCAGAACACACACACACACACGATCAGGTTCAATCTTTCATCCTCTGCCACCCTTCATTATACACACTGTGCATTCTAACAGACTGAATGATGCCCACCTCTCATGACGAATCCAAAGCTGTTGCCCTCCTTGTATAGGCACACCTCTATGGTCTTAGCTATGACACCTGAGGGAGCGTTCTGGACTGAAAATAGAGAGGGGGAGAGAGAGCACAACTGTCACATTCATGATTCACATTCAGTGTTTTAACCTTAGTTTTAATTGCTTTATCTTCATTTTTTCCCCCTCTCGTTTGCTGTACAGGGTCCTTGGGTTTAGGGTTAGTGTTAACTGCCAATGTGAGTTGCGACCCATTGCTGGGTTGCTGTTTTGGTCCTTATGGGTCAAAACGGGATCATCCAGTGAAGGGAGGACGGCTCATGGCTGGAACAGAATGAATGGAAAGGTATCAAAGACATCAAACACATTCCATTCATTCCATTTGGGCCATTATAATGAGCGTGTCCTCCGATTGAAAATGACACCAGCCTCCACTGGGATTATGATTAGTTTGTTTACTTGCTGGGTCACAGTCCAGAAATAGATTGACAACTACTGTACTGGAATAATGTCCCATTATGAGAAGACAACAACAGAGACAATTGGAAGCTTTTTCAGCCAAGAACAAAGGCAAGCTATGTTGACCTTATCTGCACTACCGTAGATGTTATTTGAAAATATATGGATATTATAGAACTACTATAATAGATGCAGGCCTATACACACTAGAAGTGCTCATACCAAAGGGAGGTAGTTCGTACTCCACTTCCAGAACCACACGTTCCCCTATGTTCTTCAGCAGGCTGATGATCTCATCGTGGCGGAGCTTGGACAGGTTGATGCCATTCACAGACTTGATGTAGTCTCCCACATTCAGCTGGTCACTCCTACAAGGAGCGATAGAGGCACTCAGATAGATCTACAATGCAGCACATCCCCAGCAGAGAAGATTGAAGATGTTGCTTGAAGAGTTTTTCCTGACCATGTCACTTAGCCAGGGAATAACTCTGGGTTGGTTGGGTCACATGTTTAGGAAGAACTCCTGGCCCCCTAATGATAGACTCTGAAAACAACATCTAATCTCCTGATTCATGGCTTCAGAACGTTGTTGTGTATCTTCATCACTGTCCTGTCATGACCAATGTTTGGCATCTTTGCAGCAGATAGTCTGTCTAATTATAATACTATGCAAATAGACGCAACGCTTGAATTCTCCAGACAGACAGACAGACAGACAGACAGAGATGAGAGACATGTTTCACATGATGTCTCCCATGTGACATTGTGAGTCAACACGATGCTCATTTGGATACTAACTAAATAGATGTGCTGCTCTGCTACACCTCTGGGCTACTGCCAATCGCTACAGTGACTCAGGACACACATATCAGCATGAGCCTACCAAACACGGTCATACGCTCTCATCTCAACATAGATTTATTCTGAATATGAGACCAACCGAGTCGACCAGGAAACAGGCCAGTGGTGTAATGGTTATAATAGTAGTGAGATAAGCTGTTAAGCAATATCATGATTTTCATGTCTAGTCGGTCGACCACATTCTATACTGAGACACTTCTGTGGTGGCAGAAAGAATGTAATTTTCCAGTATTTAATGTGTGTGTGTGTGTGTGTGTGTGTGTGTGTGTGAGAGTAATAAAGATGAGAGGCTGCAGTCACATGCCGCTTAGTCACTCTGAAGCGTGAGAGAGCTTTCCACTGCATTTTTTTTTTTTGTGGCTGATATAAGGATAAATTATATTAATTGAATGTTAATTCAAGTATCTTTACTGAAATAACATCGCTCCACACTCCAAAATATAAACATTAAACCATTATGAATACGAAGTAATTTGTGAGGCAATTAAATAAAGCAGGTAGTCGCTTAAAATGTTATTTCTACATTAACTTAATACAAATTAATTCACTGTAGTAAGATGTAATTTAATTTAGTTTGTGTGATTCACGAGTAGGTGGGAACATCCATATTTATCTTGTTTATTAACATAGGAGTCCCTCTCCTAGACTGTGCTCTGGTGGAATATCTGTTCCAGGTTCCACATCACCCAGTAAACAGCTGATCTCCTGCAGCGTTTATGATCCCCAGGTTAGGGTGAGATGGTGTATTACAGTGTGGATGGTGTGGGTAACACATGCAGACAGCTCGCTGCGGTTGCCAGGTTAAGGATGTGTTATCCCAGTGGAGATCTCACCTGGCAGCTAGCCCACCTGGCCGCAGGTTTGACACTCTGGGCTTGCCGTCCTTATCGCACCCCCCGGAGATGGTGAGGCCCAGGCTACTGCCCTCCCTCTTCATCAGGTCCACGGTGGTCACGCCCCGGTAGTCTTCTACACACACACACAGGGACACACAGGGACACACAAGGACACACAGGAACACACAGGGACACACAGGGACACACAGGAACACACAGGAACACACAGGGACACACAGGGACGCACAGGGACACACAGGGACGCACAGGGACGCACAGGGACGCACAGGGATGCACAGGGGGACAGAGGAATGCACAGGGACACACAGGGACACACAGGAACACACAGGGACACACAGGGACACACAGGAACACACAGGGACACACAGGGACACACAGGGACGCACAGGGATGCACGGGGGGGACAGGAATGCACAGGGACACACAGGGACACCAGGGATGCACAGGGACACACAGGGACGCACAGGGACGCACAGGGACGCACAGGGACACACAGGAACACACAGGGACACACAGGGACACACAGGGACACACAGGAGGAACAGTGGATGTACAGAGTCACAGTCAGCATCCATCTGGGACACAGTCTGTTTGTCTGAACAGTTACAAACACGTCTTCATTATCTCTGCCTCTGACGTTCTGTTTCTTTCTCTACCCCTCATTATCTCTCTCTGTTTGACTCACTTTCTCTCTCTCCTCTCTCTCTCCCCCTCCCTCTTCTCTCTGATGATGGATGTCATGGATAGGGGATGGTGTCAGCTCCATATAAACGGATGGATGTCATGGATAGGGGGATGGGGTCAGCTCCATATAAACTCAGTACATTCACCATAATGGGATGGAATTCAGTGAATTAATTGAAAAAATAAATCTTGACAGAAAAGGAACATTTTACTGATTCGTAAATGAACAGAATTTAGGTTAAATGGGCTTCTGATGGATAGCTAGTCGTAGTGCCTTCAGATGCTGTAGTTTATTGTGGAGGTTATGTGCGTGGTCCCATTCTGTCTCTGGCTCTGGCCACATTGTGCTGTGCTGTTAAATCATGCTAAATGAAGTCCACAGAGGGAGAGGACTCCTTTAGTCTACAACGACAGGTATGCTACATAGGCATATTTCCTCCTTATCTAAGCACTACAGCACAAGATATTCAAAACAGTGCTACATCTATCAACCAACGCAGCGCAGGCGTGATGGAACATGTGTGATCAAACAATTCCATTGAAAAGCATTACTCCTTCAGATATCCTTACATCTTGGAGAGAGTAAGGCTGAAAATATTGGACATGGTACCACAGAGGAGAAACAGTGGAATCACTGAAAGTCACAGTAAGGTGTAACCCCACTGTACCTGCAATACTGCGTCTCCTGGAGGCATGGTCGGTCCCTCCAGAGTCCTTGCTGCCCTTAGAGTAGGGCCCGTCATCTGGAACAATGAAAGGAACATTTGGTGAATAGTCTGGATGTTTGGAGAACTACTACGGTATCTGAGGAATGTGTCTCCTGAGAGAGGAGAGGGAGGAGGGGGGAACCTGACACCAACACATCCCCTGGCCATATGCTGATAGCTGCCAGGGCCTTGTTTAACCCTTTGATCCCCATTAGAGGGAGTGTGGACATTAGAGAGAGGTACAACAGGAAGAAACTCCTCCAACAAGCTCTGTTTCCACGGTAACATAGTGGGAGGGGTCAAGAGATCAAGACAGCTAGTTTTAGTGTGAGACAGAAGCCACACAGATAACCCCTATTAGACACATTAGGAGTAAGGGGAATTTGCCCCAATAGACGCGGATCTGAAGATAATGTTGCCATGTTCTACCTAATGGTTAAAATTTAGATTTGGAGGAGCTGATCCTAGATTTGTGTCCACAGGCATCTTCTACCTGCAGCGAAACATTATGTCTGCACCAAGATGGTGCGTACAGTATACGTTAGAGCTGGGAAATACTCTTGAGGGAACATGTTGTTGTTAATGGATTGTTCAGGCATGTGGAGAATACAACCATTTTCAGTAATGTACAACAGCTGCTACAGAGGAAACCAGGAAATGTTCTATCTGTTCCTCTATGATCTTCTCTTTACAGTGGGAGCCATTTCTGCCACAGCAGCACTGGGCCCAGATTAGCAGTGGCCCTGCCCTGCCTGGCTGTTTGAAGCTGGATACAGCAGCGTCGGTATGTCAGCATTCGTGATGATGAGAAATCTGACGCTGCACTTCCTTAATCCAGTCCACTGAGGACTACCTTTTCAACCAAGTGATTTAAACAGCATATTACACACTTACAGTGACTTGCAAAAGTATTCATCCCCCTTGGTGTTTTTCCTATTTTGTTGCATTACAACCTGTAATTTAAATGCATTTTTATTTGGATTTCATGTAATGGACATACACAAAATAGTCAAAATTGGTGAAGTGAAATGGAAAAAATGACTTGTTAAAAAAATTTATATAAGATAAATAACGGAAAAGTGGTGCGTGCATATGTATTCACCCCCTTTGCTATGAAGCCCATAAATAAGATCTGGTGCAACCAATTACCTTCAGAAGTCACATAATTAGTTAAATAAAGTCCACCTGTGTGCAATCTAAGTGTCACATGATCTCAGTATATATACACCTGTTCTGAAAGGCCTGCAACACCACTAAGCAAGGGTCTGCAACACCACTAAGCAAGGGGCACCACCAAGCAAGCGGCACCATGAAGACCAAGGAGCTCTCCGAACAGGTCAGGGACAAAGTTGTGGAGAAGTACAGATCAGGATTGGGTTATAAAAAATATCAGAAACTTTGAACATCCCACGGAGCACCATTAAATCCATTATAAAACATTGGAAAGAATATGGCACCACAACAAACCTGCCAAGAGAGGGCCGCCCACCAAAACTCACGGACCAGGCAAGGAGGGCATTAATCAGAGAGGCAACAAAGAGACCAACAATAACCCTGAAGGAGCTGCAAAGCTCCACAGCAGATATTGGAGTATCTGTCCATAGGACCACTTTAAGCCGTACACTCCACAGAGCTGGGCTTTACGGAAGAGTGGCCAGAAAAAAGCCATTGCTTAAAGAAAAAATAAGCAAACACGTTTGGTGTTTGCCAAAAGGCATGTGGGATACTCCCCAAACATATGGAAGAAGGTACTCTGGTCTGATGACTCAATTTGAGCTTTTTGGCCATCAAGGAAAACGCTATGTCTGGCGCAAACCCAACACCTCTCATCATCCCGAGAACACTGGTGGTGGCAGCATCATGCTGTGGGGATGTTTTTCATCGGCAGGGACTGGGAAACTGGTCAGAATTGAAGGAATGATGGATGGCGCTAAATACAGGGAAATTCTTGAGAGAAACCTGTTTCAGTCTTCCAGGGATTTCAGACTGGGACGGAGGTTCACCTTCCAGCAGGACAATGACCTTAAGCATACTGCTAAAGCAACACTCGAGTGGTTTAAGGGGAAACATTGAAATGTCTTGGAAGTCCAATTGACAATCTGTGGTATGACTTAAAGATTGCTGTACACCAGCGGAATCCATCCAACTTGAAGGAGCTGGAGCAGTTTTGCCTTGAAGAATGGGCAAAAATCCCAGTGGCTAGATGTGCCAAGCTTATAGAGACATACACCAAGAGACTTACAGCTGTAATTGCTGCAAAAGGTGGCTCTACAAAGTATTGACTTTGGGGGGGTGAATAGTTATGCACGCTCAAGTTTTCTGTTTTTTTGTCTTATTTCTTATTTGTTTCACAATAAAAAATATTTTGCATCTTTAAAGTGGTAGGCATGTTGTGTAAATCAAATGATACAAACCCCCCAAAAATCCATTTAAATTCCAGGTTGTAAGGCAACAAAATAGGAAAAATGCCAAGGGGGTAAATACTTTCGCAAGCCACTGTAAAGGTCCAATGCAGCTGTTTTTATGTCAATATCAAATAATGTCTGGGTAACAATTAAGTACCTTACTGTGACTGTTTGCAATTAAAATGGTCAAAAAGAAACAAAAATAGCTTCTTAGCAAAATGCAATTTCTCAAGCAAGAATCTTGCTAGGACTGTCTGGGAGTGGTCTGAGAGAAGGGCCTAATTGGAGGAGCCTAATGGGAGGGATGTGTAAACTGAAAGCTAGCTGCTATTGGCAGAGAGTCGGGCAAACTCTTGCTCCAAAATAATAAATACATACAAAAGCACTATTCATATTATTGATTGAACGCCGATTTTCCACTCACTTGCTGAGTTATATCTACAGTACAATGCTACATGTAACACTATTGGTGATGAAAAACGAAATGCTAATTTAGTGATATCCTGTTGTTATGCCATAGGCAGGATTGTCATGATGACATGTGCAGGGTTGGGTAGGTTACTTTCTAAATGTTATCCGTTACAGTTACTAGTTACCTGTCCAAAATTGTAATCAGCAACGTAACTTTTGGATTACCCAAACTCTGTAATGTAATCAGATTACTTTTTGATTACTTTCCCCTTAATAGGCATTAGAAGAAGACAAACATGAATATTACCAATTGAATGGCACCTACATGGATGTTGCATTTTACTTTATGCATTATGTGTTAATACTAATTGTAATTATTTTGCACTATAGCCTATTTATTGCCTTACCTCCATAACTTGCTACATTTGCACACACTGTATATATATTTTCTGTTGTATTTTTTGACTTTATGTTTTTTTACCCCATATGTAACTCTGTGTTGTTGTTTTTATCACACTGCTTTGCTTTATCTTGGCCAGGTCGCAGTAGTAAATGAGAACTTGTTCTCAACTGGCTTACCTGGTTAAATAAAGGTGAAAAAAATAAAAAAATAAAAAAAATATGTAGGCTTCTAACCCATTGCTCTATACTTCAATACAGATAATACAACGATTAGGCTATATATTTACATAAAAAACCAATGTCTGTCAGATTACCAGTCATTCCAATTAATTAAATACCCCTTGATCTTCAAGAATAGGACTTGGAAATATGGAAATATAGATTAGTCTAATTGTTTTACCTGAACATAACCCAAAAACTAAGGCCTACTCTGTTGTTGTCATGGAGGACTGATTGGGCTCATTGCTTCAAAACATGGTTGAAAAAGAAATGCTGCTCTCATGGAATGGCATGCTTTGAACACTACCGAAAAGTGCTAGCCTATTTCCATTGCATGTGAAAAATTAATGCCATTTGCTGCATTTGCTATAGGCTTATTGTTTACATTTTTGTTGGTGACACCATAGAATTAGGAATTAGAATACTTTGTTTTTATTTATATTATTTAACCTTAATTTAACTAGGCAAGTCAAAGATCTCCTGCGGGGACAGGGGCTGGGATAAAAAATAAACAAAATAATGTAGGAGAAAACACACATCATGACAAGAGAGACACCACAACACTGCATAAAGAGAGACCTAAGACAACAACACAACATGGCAGCAACACACCATGACAACACAACATGGTAGCAACCCAACATGGCAGCAGCACAACATCGTAGCAGCACAAACATGGTACAAACACTGTTAGGCACAGACAACAGCACGTAGGGCAAAAAGGTAGAGACATCTTTAATAGGATCTCTATGGGTGACACTTTGAGATCTCAATCATTTGCAGCTGTTGGAAGTCTATCAAAAGTGCGCGAGTTTCGGCCTTTGGACTTTTTTTTTTGAGAGCCCTACTCGTTTTTGACAGTATGTATGGAGCACTATACCACAGAGGAGTTAGGAACTCCCTCAAATTTTTATTCCATAGGCTGGGATCCGCACTATGCAGCTGTTGCAAGAGCGCATTTTTCACTGGCTGTCTCTGTCCACCGGTCCCATTAACAATGATTGATGGACAACTTAGCCTACATTTCTTCAATTCAACCATTATCGGGGTAAAATACACCTATACATTTGTGAACGGCCATCCACAACAACCACAATCAGTAAGGCGCGAATAATTGAGAGAGCAGCAACGTGATTCACATAGTCCTAATTGCTATGTAGATATCAGTAGGCTAATAGGCCTAAGTGATATCCGTATCACCCGTAGGCTAAACCACTGCTGTCGTAATACCTCCAAGCGCTTGTTCAAGTTGGTCATAATATAATAATAGTCTTTGATGCCGACAGCAGTCGCACCATTGGAGGACATACTGTAGCTTGCACTGTAGCCTACAAAAACCTATTCCTGCTCTTTAACCTGCGATCCATCAAACACATTTAGTGTGTCATCATAGGCTACGTTTATACAGGCAGCACAATTCTGATATTTTTTGTTCACTATTGGTCTTTTGACAAATCACATCAGATCTTTTGACATCAGATCTTTTTCAGAGCTGATCTGATTGGTCAAAAGACCAATTAGGGAAACATTTATCAGAATTGGGCTGCCTGTGTAAATGCAGCCATAGTAGTCTCTGCCTTGTGGTCAGACTTGCTCAGGCAGAACAATCTTAAACTTGTGCATTTTTTCAATGCTGATTTGAATGTCATTGAGAAAACATAAAGGTGTCAAAGTATTTTTTCGCAAACATCATTTCTGCATTTAAAAGTAACCCTAGAAGTAGCCTAATCATCTATTTTTTCAAAAGTATCTGTAATCTGATTACAATAGTTTTGCTGGTCATGTAATACAGTGAGGGGAAAAAGTATTTGATCCCCTGCTGATTTTGTACGTTTGCCCACTGACAAAGAAATGATCAGTCTATCATTTTAATGGTAGGTTTATTTGAACAGGGAGAGACAGAATAACAACAAAAGAATCCAGAAAAATGCATGTCAAAAATGTTATAAATTGATTTGCATTTTAATGAGGGAAATAAGTATTTGACCCCTCTGCAAAACATGACTTAGTACTTGGTGGCAAAACCCTTGTTGGCAATCACAGAGGTCAGACGTTTCTTGTAGTTGGCCACCAGGTTTGCACACATCTCAGGAGGGATTTTGTCCCACTCCTCTTTGCAGATCTTCTCCAAGTCATTAAGGTTTCGAGCATGACGTTTGGCAACTCGAACCTTCAGCTCCCTCCACAGATTTTCTATGGGATTAAGGTCTGGAGACTGGCTAGGCCACTCCGAGACCTTAATGTGCTTCTTCTTGAGCCACTCCTTTGTTGCCTTGGCCGTGAGTTTTGGGTCATTGTCATGCTGGAATACCCATCCACGACCCATTTTCAATGCCCTGGCTGAGGGAAGGAGGTTCTCACCCAATATTTGACGGTACATGGCCCTGTCAATCGTCCCTTTGATGCGGTGAAGTTGTCCTGTCCTCTTAGCAGAAAAACACCCCCAAAGCATAATGTTTCCACCTCCATGTTTGACGGTGGGGATGGTGTTCTTGGGGTCATAGGCAGCATTCCTCCTCCTCCAAACACGGCGAGTTGAGTTGATGCCAAAGAGCTCCATTTTGGTCTCTTCTGACCACAACACTTTCACCCAGTTCTCCTCTGAATCATTCAGATGTTCATTGGCAAACTTCAGACGGGCATGTATATGTGCTTTCTTGAGCAGGGGGACCTTGCGGGCGCTGCAGGATTTCAGTCCTTCACGGCGTAGTGTGTTACCAATTGTTTTCTTGGTGACTATGGTCCCAGCTGCCTTGAGATCATTGACAAGATCCTCCCGTGTAGTTCTGGGCTGATTCCTCACCGTTCTCATGATCATTGCAACTCCACGAGGTGAGATCTTGCATGGAGCCCAAGGCCGAGGGAGATTGACAGTGCTTTTGTGTTTCTTCCATTTGCGAATAATCGCACCAACTGTTGTCACCTTCTCACCAAGCTGCTTGGCGATGGTCTTGTAGCCCATTCCAGCCTTGTGTAGGTCTACAATCTTGTCCCTGACATCCTTGGAGAGCTCTTTGGTCTTGGCCATGGTGGAGAGTTTGGAATCTGATTGATTGATTGCTTCTGTGGACAGGTGTCTTTTATACAGGTAACAAACTGAGATTACTCTCTTTAAGAGTGTGCTCCTAATCTCAGCTAGTTACCTGTATAAAAGACACCTGGGAGCCATAAATCTTTCTGATTGAGAGGGGGTCAAATACTTATTTCCCTCATTAAAATGCAAATCAATTTATAACATTTTTGACATGCGTTTTTTCTGGATTTTGTTGTTGTTATTCTGTCTCTCACTGTTCAAATAAACCTACCATTAAAATTATAGACTGATAATTTCTTTGTCAGTGGGCAAACGTACAAAATCAGCAGGGGATCAAATACTTTTTCCCCTCACTGTAGATTATTATTTTTATTAAATTTTTTAGATACATGTACTCCCCAACCCTGGACACATGTGTGGGTGTTATTGCTGTTCTGTGTTGTTGTCTGCACTCAATTAACCCTTCATCCACTTTGGTATCATGACTAATCTGAGCACGCCCCCATTCTCATCGACGGGGCTGTAGTGGAACAGGTTGAGAGCTTCAAGTTCCTTTGTGTCCACATCACCAACGAACTATCATGGTCCAAACACACCAAGACAGTCGTGAAGAGGGCACGACAAAGCCTATTCCCCCTCAGGAGACTGAAAAGATTTGGCATGGGTCCTCAGATCCTCATAAAATTCTACAGCTTCACCATCGAGAGCATCCTGACTGGTTGCATCACCGCCTGGTATGGCAACTGCTTGGCCTCCGACCGCAAGGCACTACAGAGGGTAGTGCGTACGGCCCAGTACATCACTTGGGCCAAGCTTCCTGCCATCCAGGACCTCTATACCAGGCGGTGTCAGAGGAAGGCCCTCAAAATTGTCAAAGACTCCAGCCACCCTAGTCATAGACTGTTCTCCCTGCTACCGCACGGCAAGCGGTACCGGAGGTTAATCATGGCTACCCGGACTATTTGCACTGCCCCCCCACCCCATCCTTTTTACGCTGCTGCTACTCTGTTAATTATTTATGCATAGTCACTTTAACTCTACCCACATGTACATATTACTTCAACTATCTCAACTAGCCGGTGCCCCCGCACATTGACTCTGCACCGGTACCCCCCTGTATATATAGCCTCCCTACTGTTATTTTATTTTACTTCTGCTCTTTTTTTCTCAACACTTTTTTTGTTGTTGTTTCATTTTTACTTTTTTCGTTAAAAATAAATGCACTGTTGGTTAAGGGCTGTAAGTAAGCATTTCACTGTAATGTCTGCACCTGTTGTATTCGGCGCATGTGACCAATAAAATTTGATTTGATTTGATTTGATAATCATCCATCATGCATAATATCACATCACCCATAACTAAATTCACATCATCAATATTCAATGGGGCCAGCCTCTGGTCAAAAAGGGAAAAATTATATATTTTCATTATTTTCATGCACTGAACTAATTTGCACAAAGACAAAATAACATGGGGTGTATCTCACTAGTCTTAAATGGTTCTTCTCCTTGCCTGTTTTCTTTCATCTGGTGCAAACAACTACCTGGTACTGGTAGGTACTGTATCAATCATTGTCTTTCAGCTTTCCTATATTTTCAGATCAGTGCATTTGAAGGAAAGAGACTAGGAGAATATATGTATTTTGAGATGCACTCCATATCATTGTGGAGATTGATAAAGCCACATGTTAACTGTGAAAAATCTGCAGAAATAATATAAAAATCAAACATATTGAGAGTTGACAAAAACAAAACTCAAGGGTATGTAGGAATGTGCATACTATGATAATGTATCACCTTCTATTCACTTCCTTGCACAACTATCCTGTTGAACAGCCTTAGATCATACGCGCACGGCGGCCACACGCGCACACACGCGGGCACACGCATGCACACACACACAGTTAGTGTGACACATCAAAGACACATTGGGACAGGCAACAGCGTTGTAATCCCCCAGCTTCCCAAGGGCCCTGACAGTCCAGCAGCTGTCATTGCAGTCAAAAGGCAACGTTTGCTCTGGGTTACAAAGACCCCACGCGCTACTCCTGACTGGATCCCACTATATTTTACATACAGCCTCTCTAGCACCTAGCCATTTGCACCAGTTTAGAAACACCATTAGTGATCCTGACAGGCCAATCATAGACTAAATATGTGACTGATTTAATTGGTTTAATCAATTTAGCAGCCAAAACAAAAAGCTCCCCTGGCCTGAGCAACAACAATTAACTGGGTATGGCACAGCACGATTCTGCTGGTAGAAGCATGCTGTCTTGGCAGAGGGAATACTCAGCTACTGTCTGTGGCTCAAGGATCAAGAGCAGAACTGCAATAACATACACTGAGATCTGCAAACAGGACTGTACTTACAACATTACTGAAAGTAAAAAAACTATAGTCACCCCCATGTATTTCTGCAGAGTCAATTAACTCTGAATGTAATTCAGGGCACCGTATGCTATCTCCCTCAGAACCAATCAGAATGTAGGTTAAATGTGGGGGCCGCTCTGATAATGGGTATGAAATCAAAATGCTATTTTCAGAGGTAAAACATTATTTATAAACTGGGCTCCAGTAGACCCAGTTTGCATTGCTATATCAGCCCCCATTTCAGACTGCAGCCTGATATTTAGTACTGTCTGGCTTTAATCAAATGGCATTTACGTCTGCTGTGCCTTATTAGCTAAGTAATAAATATACTGTAAGTAAACTGGTACTTGACAGAGCTGTCATTCAAAAAGTTTAATAAATATCAAACAATCTGAATTAATCTGTGTACAAATGTAGGAAAAAGTTATCACATTCCCAGATTATCAACTAATTTCTAATGACAGAAGGCTGACAACCACAGGTACAAAAGCAGGAAGTTGATGCTCCTCAGTTGAACAGCATGCATCACTACACTCTATAGTAAATACTATTACAGGTGTTAACGATAGTCATAAATCCATTACTATGACAATTACACTACTAGGGTGTAGCACTAGAGTATACTGTAGCACATATGACATACATTACACACTAACTACACAGCTACAGTACATATAGCTAGCTATATGATGTCTGTGATATTCATTCATATGGTTCCAGTCAGAGTTTAAGGCAGTCTTACCGATGCTGCTATTCTTCGCCTCTCTCCTCAGACCACACAGCATGTCTGCAGTCCTGTCAAAACATCCGACTTGAGAGGAAAGTAGCTGTTCTGTTGTAGTGGCCAGCGGACCCAGCGAGCTGCCCCTGGGAATAATGTCTGTCTGTCTGTCTGTCTGTCCTCAAATACTGTCTGTCTGTCTGTCCTCAAATATTGTCTGTCGGTCTGTCCTCAGAAACCCAGTCTTCTTCTCTTCATGTCACTGGTCTAGTTGAAGCATATCTTTATTTATTGCAGATAACAAAGCCTGATCCATGTTTTTGCCCATTAACTGTTTAAGCTTGGTAACAAACAGTTATCTTCTTGCTGTAATAAGTAATTCCCACAGACAGACGGAAAGCAGGGCACTAAATGATCAAAGCACCAAAGGAATCCTCATCTCTCCTTCTATTCCTCCCACCATGCTGAGGTTCCTTTAGAGGTATTCCTGGTTACTCTTCCTATTCCAGAGGATTAATCATCCCCCTCATTCACACACTCACATACCAGCTCACACACACCAACCGTCACACACACACACACACAGCCTCAGTGAGTGTGTCGGAGAGGGTCTCTGCCAGAGGGGTGTGATGAAGCAATCACACACCCTCCCCACACACGACACAGTCACACCCCCTGCACACACGCGCATGCATGCACACGCGCACAAACACAAACAGTGCATACACACTCACTTTCTCTCTCTCTCTCTCTCTCTCACACACACCCACACACTCCCTATAGTCAAGAACACAATCAATGCCACCCCCACATCCAGTGTCGCTTTGAGCCCATACAATATCAGCCACACATTTCCCACACTAGTCGACACATAAGCAGTGACCATCTTACTGTACCAACATAGTTATCCCACCCACCCACACACACACTGGCTAGCTAATGCCTGCAGCTTTTCCCCTCACATGCATTCAATTCCACCTCACATTCCATAGGCTCATCACAGTGATTATTATCTGCTTATACAAGAGCATCACTACCAATAAATGTATATGCATGCCGCTACAAAGCCAAAAGAGACTGTGATTTCTCTGAACTGCTGACCATAGAATTCTGTCCTTTATATCAGCCATTTGGCTGCAATGGATATAAATCAAACCAACGATATGCTTTCTCTCTTTCAATCTGTGGAGTGCTGAACATCTCATGTTCCCTTTTCTGGGTGAGAGGGCTCTTTGCCCCACTGCCTCTCTGCTGCTGTCTGCCATCCACCCAGACACATACAGAGAGGGGTTAACATGGCCGCTGACTGACTGAGAGCCACACCTGTCTGTCCATTTGTTACCCTCACATGCTCACCACTCCCCCCCCCCCCCCCCCCCCCAATCTGTTGCCCTGCATTAAGGCCTGACAATCCCCCCCAAGGAACTTTTGTCATAGTCTGAGAGTAGGGAAATGGCGTCAAAGACCACACAAAAGTACTAAACAACACTGACAAAAATGTCCACACAGATGTGCTCAAGTACAAATAAATGTGTGAGTAAATTAAGTCTTCATGTGCCGTGCAAATACATCCTTGAGCCCAAGAACGCATAGATTCATAGAGTCTATGATGCATAGCCCTGACCAGAGATACATCAAACAATTACAAACAAACGCTCCCCGTGTTTCTCTTCATTGTAGCATGTCACCTAATTAGTCGGCTCTTTCCAGTGGACACAACACTCTTTGGCGTAGATAATTTCCTCAGAGAGTTTCGTCCTTAATACCCCATTTACTCTGTGGTGTTTCAGAGCAAAACTAATTAATTTCTTACAGAATAAAGAGGAACAGGAGACACAGAGCTGTGAGTTGGTCTGATAAAAACACAGGGGAACACACTAGGCAACAGAATTAGGGTAATTATGTATAGCAGTAGAAGCACACCCACTCAGTGTAGTTCTGGGCAGTTGAAAACATTCAACATATAGACCAGAGAGAACAAATTACACATTCAATGCCAATAAACGGATTTAATAGTGAGTCAATATATATTTTTTAACATTATGCTTGAAAGCAATATGCAATCGATTTTAGATTCAACACACAATTGGTTGTTTAAAATGTGTATAAAACAGTGCTATTGCCTTACACTTGAAACTTCCATTATGATATAGTGCTTATATAGAACTAAGACAAATTAGATGTAACATTCTCACTTGACAAGTACCTGAGTGAAATAATAACCTCTCATATAAGGATTGAAAGTACAGTAAAGCTATAATATTAAATATTCCCCATCCAAGGCTAGCGCAGTACATTTTCTACCATGCTGCAGTTGATCATACTGCCATCTTATGGCTATCAGTTGTAGTTGCAAATAAAACTCCCAAATGAATGCATTCGAGATTAAAGAGATTTGAGTCAACACACAGATCACAGGATTACTTACAAGATGGGCCAGGTGCGGTGAACATGACACAGTCATAATTCAGGGAGACATGGTCACATAATCACAGTACAATGTTCACCTGCAAGGTACGCCAAACGTCAACCAAAGGTAAAATATGGCTCTATCTGAGGAAAACTACTTAATCTCATGTTTAAAATAGGTTATCCTATTAATAGATTTTGACAAAACAGAATAGCCATGAGAAGTGAAATTCTTATGCAAATCCCTTAGAAATAAACAAGTAATTCATAGGTGATCATTCCACTACTACCCTTAACTACCGGGATCTCACCCCTATCATTTTGGAGGAATGTCAGCTCTCAAACTTGGCCCACTGTCATTCAAAAAGGTTCATCTCTTTCATTACTAGCAGATACTGGTTTACATTAGGCATATACAATCCTGCTGCACCGGTGCACCCTCTCAGGACTGTAAAACACATCCTCAGGCTGAAGCAGTACACACAATACAATAGCAGTAGATAAAAACCCAATGAACTTCAGGCCGTTTGGATTTGATAAAAAAGTAAGAAGAAACAATGTATGCTTTCTAATCGCATTACCTTTGGTCCTCCCTCTGATGATCCCGAGTCGACACCGGAGTGAAAAGGAGAACATCCTCCTCTTTCCTCCTCCTCCCCACGCTCATCCTTTCCTCATGGAATCTGTCTAAGAGAAGGCCAGGGTGAAGAGCTTTGGGTTGGCCGTGCATCCCTTACCACATATCACTCTGCCTGCCATGTTCATTCTCTAGTCACTGGAAGTATAAACATAATTACCTTTCTCCTTTCTATTGCTCTCTGTTTACCTCACACTGTTTCTTCTAGCTCTGTCCTGATGTCTCCACAATCCCCACCCTAACTGGAGGAGTTCCAACATTCTCAGGTGTGTCTGAATCAGCCAAAAAACACAAGACGTAGAATACGGACAAAAAGGATCCTAGGAAAAATAAAAGATCATGAATATGCATAAACCTATGCATATTTATAACCTATCAGTGTCTGTCTCTCTTGCAACACACACACACGTGACGTTAAAACTACATGAAAACAAAAACCTGAAGATGCAAACCAATACTATTCATTCCAGGTATGATAACATAAATATAATGTATGTTATTTTGTGTTTGCTTTGCATCACTGGCAGTGTATTTTACATGAACAGATGGATGGGAGCTAAAGGCTGCAGAGATGGCACAGCCTGCCTGCCAGAACGCAATGGAAACTTTCACCCCAGGAGGCTGGCGGTAGACGACACTGGCTATTTATTCATGCTACCCAAATCATAGCATTTCAGAGTTGCAGAATGAATGTGCATGATTAACGAGCAGCATCTAAACCCAATTGTGCATTTTTGTAATTCTAACAATACTGTATGCGGTTGTCTGCATTAAATTACTTAAATGTATGAGGCCCAAAATACAGCTGTTATACGCAGACAATACATTAAAGTAATTTATGTGTAGAAGAAAGCAAACTGCTTCGGTTTCATCTAATACATTCAGCATATTCTTCAAAGCTATGTTAATTCTTAAATTAGAATATATTTTCAAATTAATCAAGATTAATCTTGATTGGAAAGAATCTGGTTTTGGTCTCTTCCGATGGGTTTTAAACCATTGGCTAAATTGGTTAAATTTATATCGCGTTCATGATGATCGAGTAGTTCGTTTTGATTGCCAGACATGACAAAAAAAATCAATTAACATTTCCTTCTAGATCTTCAAATATCCCAAATAGTATCCAACCATCCATCGTCTTTGAGCCTCATAATAAATCACTGTTGTGAACATATCAGATGGAAGTTGCAGATGTCTAATTTTTTCATACAAGTCTCCATTGTTTTTGTTCTAGATCCTGTTGTCAGAACGTGGATAAGGAGCAGCCTGGATCATTACAGGGTGTTGGCAAGGATGCCAGCATGACAGGCTGAAGGACAACAAACACACTGATGCATGTGCTTGGGCCAAGTACAGTGCTATCCCATAGTTACAGTCTAGACGCTTGTCTAAAATGCCCATTGTGCTGCAGACAGATCACAGGACACCAGTGCGATATTGAAATATTCTACAAAACAAATGTGGTCTGACAGTATTTTTTTGGGGTTGTATTGTAAGACTAGATTTCTCAGATGAGCTCCTGCATTGCACAGCTTCCGAGATATTACTTTACCATAATTCATACAGATACAACCAGGTCTGATCTATAGTACTCTTAACAGGTAGGACTATATGTAAGATTGGGTGTGAAAAAGTGTTACTTGAATAAAAACTTTGAGCTAACCAACGGAAGTCCTTCATAGCCCCCTTCACACAAAGGTGCACTGGAACGTTACACCTTCAATTGTTTATCAGAGAAATCTCAGAACCCGCTGCACCAATGCTAACTCAGCGGTGCAGGCCCGACATTATACATCGGGTTAGGGCCAGGTAGGGCCTGTTTTTTTCATAACTAGGGTACGGGCAGGGCTTGGGTATCACATTTTGAAGCTGAGTCATTTGCTCGTGCTCCGCTGTGCAGTACAGCAATATCTGACTAAGATCATAACATTGTGTCTGAAGTGCTTCAACCTCGTCAAATATAGGACAGATTGTTTCACAGAAAATTATGTTCCTTGAGTTGGGAGTTTAGTGACTAAAAGTAGCTAACAACACTCATGTCTCTACCCTGAGCAGCCCAAGCAGAGCCATTGCTATGGTTACTCAGAGCTGCCACTAGCAGAGCGCATGCAGGGAGCAAGTGACAGACAGGAGTAGCTAATGGATTTACTAACTGAGGAGGACATATCTGATTTGGGGCAGGTCCGGGCCTTACATTCGGCAGAAGCAATCGGCCCTTGGTAGGGAACGTCACCAGCATGGGTAGAGGGCTCGGGCTTAAAAGTAATGCCCTTGTAGGGCTCCACCAGTGCTTCAGATCCACTCTCTACCCTTTACCCCCAGTGTGAACGCCCCTCTTATGGATTTAAAAGTGAGGGACTGGTGTCAGGAATCTCCCTCACCCATGCTTTCATCCATTGCTTTTAAATCCTTGAGGGGGGCATAAACAAATACACACTATGGGAGAACGGGTAGAGAATCTGAACACAACCTAGCTTTTCAAAAGTTCCAGAATAGTAAAGAAATTGTAGAGAGAATGTACATTAAAACATCTGTTTTATTGAGAAAATAATGGCTGGATCACTCGTTCTCCTCGCTGCGGAGTCTGGCATTGGGGTTGGTGATCTTTATGGCCAGCTGGGCTGCTCTCTCCACAATCAGCTTCCTGTTCTTGGAAGACACGTTGTGGGCGATCTCAGCAGCATGGGTCCTACGGAGAGAGGATGGTTAGAGGCAACATAATTACCAAATACCGTACACACTGGAGACTGAATGGCACAGGGAGAGAAGGAGAGGATTGTTTCAGTGAGACAGTATTATTAAGTTACTATGAGCAGCGCGGTGCAAGACTTTGCTCTCATAGTTCCACTAAGTATCTGCATGTGTACGGGTGTCCTTCACGCTGCTTCAATTCGATAGCTATGGGACCAACACAGAAGAGAAATGTAACCTTGTGCTTCAACACAGTTGTTGTGAAAATGGGCACGCTGTTGCCGTTTGCTTCATGCATTGCTGACTTACATTTACATTTTTAGTCATTTAGCAGACGCTCTTATCCAGAGCGACTTACAGGAGCAATTAGGGTTAAGTACCTTGCTCAAGGGCACGTCGACAGATTTTTCACCTAGTCGGATCGGGGATTAGAAACAGCGACCTTTCGGTTACTGGCACAACGCTCTTAACCACTAAGCTACCTGCCGCCCTATTTTACCAATTAGGTAAAGTTTTCATATGTGGGCAACGTTTGGATATTCAACCACACAAGCACTATTCTTTTGTCTTACTCTTACATTTGACAACAAGTAAAAAAGAAACTCTACACCACAACCAAACAGTTGTGGTGTAGACTGAAGTAGGCTTGGGCTGTATAACGCAGTGTTTCCCAACCCTGGTCCTCGAGTACCCCCAACAGTACACATTTTCATTGTATCCCTGGACAAACACACCTTATTCAACTCACTGAGGGCTTGATGATTAGTAGACAAGTTGAATCAGGTGTACTTGTCCAGGGTTACAATAAAAATGTGTACTGTTGGGGGTATTCGAGGACCAGGGTTGGGAAACACTGGTATACCGTATATACAGGTGTATTTGGAAATAGCCACAGGATGTTTCTTCAATACTGTTGAAACTATTTATTTGAAGTTTAATACATTTTCATATTTGTAGCTATTTTAAGTAAATACCTGCAGTCAACTTGTGCAATGCGTTAGGAGATAAAGCAGATCACCTTCTTATTAAACCGTCACATTATGAAGCGGACTTAGTTCCCCAGCACAGTTGAGCCAGTCACGTGTTTGTTTGTAAATAGCACAACAGGAGAAAGCGGGAGCAGGTGAGTCCAGCTGTGTATTGACAGGGGTCACGTTTTATGTATAAAGTCAGTGTTTTTTTGCTTCAATAGCATGGTCAGGGACTTGCAACTATAGTTTTCTGTCACAGAAAATACACTGAACAAAAATATAAACGCAACATGTAAAGTGTTGGTCCCATATTTCAGGACCTGAAATAAAAAATCCCAGAAATGTTCCATATGCACAGAAAGCTTATTTGGCTAAATTTTTTTGCACAAATGAATTTACATCCCTGTTACTGAACATTTTCTTTGCCAACATAATCCATCCACCCGACAGGTGTGGCATATCAAGAAGCTGATTAAACAGCATGATCATTACACAGGTGCACCTTGTACTAGGGACAATAAAAGGCCACTAAAATGTGCAATTTTGTCACACAATGCCACAGATGTCTCAAGTTGAGGGAGCAAGCAATTGGCATGCTGACTGCAGGAATGTCCACCACAGCGGTCTCCAGAGAATTTAATGTTAATTTCTCCACCATAAGCCGCCTCCAACGTCGTTTTAGAGAATTTGGCAGTATGTTCAACCAGCCTCACAACCGCATGTAACCACGCCAGCCCTGGACCTCCACATCCGGCTTCGTCACCTGCCGGATCGTCTGAGACCAGCCACCCGGACAGCTGATGAAACTGTGGGTTTGCACAACCGAATAATTTCTGCACAAACTGTCATAAACTGTCTCAGGGAAGCTCATTTGCATGCTCGTCGTCCTCACCAGGGTCTTGACTGGACTGCAGTTCGGCGTCGTAACCCACTTCAGTGGGCATATGCTCACCTTCGATGGCCATTGGCACGCTGGAGAAGTGTGCTCTTCACGGATGAATCCCGGTTTCAACTGTACTGGGCAGATGGCAGACAGCATGTATGGCGCAGTGTGGGCGAGCGGTTTGCTGACGTCAACGTTGTGAACAGAGTGCACCATGGTGGCGGTGGAGTTATGGTATAAGCAGGCATAAGCTACAGACAATGAACTGCATTTTATCAATGGCAATTTGAATGCAGAGATACCGTGACGAGATCCTGAGGCCCATTGTCGTGCCATATATCCGCCGCCATCACCTCATGTTTCAGCATGATAATGCACGGCCTCATGTTGCAGGGATCTGTACACAATTCCAGGAAGCTGAAAATGTCCCAGTTCTTCCATGGCCTGCATACTCACCAGACATGTGGGATGCTCTGGATCGACGTGTATGACAGCGTGTTCCAGATCCCGCCAATATCCAGCAACTTCCCACAACCATTGAAGTGGGACAACATTCCACAGGCCACAATCAATAGCTTGATCAACTCTATGCAAAGGAGATGTCGCGCTGCATGAGGTAAATGGTGGTCACACTAGATGAGTGGTACGCTGATCCACGCGCCCACCTTTTTGTTATTGGTATTTGTGACCAACAGATGCATATCTGTTTCGCCAGGCATGTGAAATCCATAGATTAGGGCCTAACGAATTAATTTCAATTGACTGTTTTCCTTATTAACTGTAACGCAGTAAAATCTTTGAAACTGTTGCATGTTGCGTTCATATTTTGGTTCAGTGTATAATAAAAAATAATTTTTAGATCTGTGTTTACAAAAAGCAGCAAGATATTTCTTAGGATTTCCTTTTTTTCCTGCATGGAAAATGCAGAATTATGTGTTAACACGACCCCTAGCTTAACGTGCTAAGTAAGTGTTAACACGACCCCTAGCTCAACGTGCAAGCGAAGTAAGTGGTTGAATTAATAAGGTGACAGGGCATCATATTGTTTTCGCTTTCTGCCGTGTTTGAGAAGGCAAAGCCCTTTGGATTCGTTATTTGCTTGCTCCCACTGCCATCTTGATTTCCTTGCGTTTTTTCTCCTCTTCGTTGTCAGCTCCTCCTCTTCGCCGAACAGAGCAGGCAGGTTGCCCTAGCGACTCCAGACTCCACACAGACAGCGTGTAGACATGCTGCTGGAGAGCCAGTACTGCATGCTTCAAAACATTGTTCATTTGCACAATGTCTTTCGTTCACATTTGCTTGCTAATGTCCAAACTCAACAAAAATGACATTTGGGTAGCTCCTACCTATATATGTATAACTTTATGTGCTGGATTGACCGTCTTTGCAATTTGTTTATTTTCATTTGCGCGCGTTAGCATATTTAGCTAGCAGCCTCCATAGAAATTCGCTGTTACTTCCGCTAATTTTGTTAGCATTCCGGTAATAGATGTCCAATGATCATTTGTGTTTTCTTGGCACCCCCTTGTGTACTAAACCGGTAATACCATATATCCCAGCTTGAGAGAAGGACGGTATGACGATATGAAAGTGTGGATACCGCCCAACCCAAGACTGAAGGGCACTAAGGACGTCAAGGCTCCTATGCACAATGAGGATAAAACCAGGTCAAAAACCTCCTGCGGCCTGAGGGATAACGTGGCCAAAATGTCTAGACCTGACAACGGAAGGCTTCATTTAAGACAATCTATCTTAACATTTCTGGTATTCTATCTAGGCTATCATTCATGTATAAAGGGCCACGTTCAGTTGCCAAACGTTCTCGAACGTTGAAGATAGAAAATGCCATGAAAATAGTCGACGTGATTCCTTATTCTACATGTCAGAGGCGTGTTTGTTCTACGTAACATATTTCTATCTGAACGTACCAAAACATTGCGTCCTTCTGAACGCGCCCCAGTTAGCACCTCCATTTCACAAAGTTTTCTTCCAGGGGTATTAGTACAGGTCTAGAACTGTGGGTCCCCAGGACTAGAAAATCAATGCAATCTACTGGATTTATGAGGGTCTACCCGAGGTAAGCACAGGGCATACTTGATGATCCTTCCATCATAAGGCGAGTAGAGGTAATAATAATAATAAGCCATTTAGCAGACGCTTTTATCCAAAGCGACTTACAGTCATGCGTGCATACATTTTTTGTGTATGGGTGGTCCCGGGGATCGAACCCACTACCCTGGCGTTACAAGCGCCGTGCTCTACCAGTTGAGCTACAGAGAGGTGATTTAAAGATCATGTCAATTCTGCTGCACCTTGCTCCTGACCCTTGTGGATGTGCATGACCCAAGCAATCCTCTCTCCACGAAGACAATACCCTCTCTTCTATATAATACCCCCTGTAGCTTTGCATGTAATGCCCTATGTAGTATGCTTCATACTTGTGAGTGGAATCAGTTAAATAGGAGGCGACCTAGAAATACCCCCATGAGGAATAATATTGGCCTTTAGGTACCTTTAACTTGAAGATAAAAACTACAACAAAAACTACCCAACAAAACGTACTTGTTGCTCATCATGAGGACCTCGAGCTCCTTGATGTTGTGCACCAGGAACTTCCTGAAACCAGAGGGCAGCATGTGCTTGGTCTTCTTGTTGCTACCATAACCAATGTTGGGCATCAGCATCTGACCCTTAAACCGCCTGCGGACCCTGTTGTCAATACCCCTGGGTTTACGCCAGCTTTTCTGGAGGGGGCAAGAAAAATACGTTAGTTACATAGAACCGCAGTTAGAATCAATGTTCCTTCTAACTACTCTGCTTGAGGGAGATTAATGTCATTTGCCTCCCTGCAAGTGTAATGTTTGAAAAGCCTTGCTTCCGCCACAAATTACACGATATGGAACCTTACATTAATAAAGGGAGAAGTGTCATCTTTGATATGCATTTAGCAAATGCTCTTACCGTGATCTTGACATATCTGTCAGACTGATGGCGAATGAACTTCTTAACCCTCTTCTTGACAATCTTTGGCTTGGTAAGAGGTCTGAGGGCTGCCATGGTGACCTGAGGAGGAGGGGGGGGGGTGTAATTAGTTAACATTAAACACTAGCAACAATTACCACTGGCAAAACAGTTCCATCAACATTTATAGCATATCAAATCACCCACAATCAGTGGTTGTGTAACGTTAGCTACAGTAACATGACTAGTTAGTTCAGCCAACAACTCGTATTGTTAGAAACAAGCTACCAGTAGTTGGCTCATACAAGCCATTTAGATTTCCCCTGTATCACAACGGCAAGTTACAGGTAGCTAAACTGTGTAAACACATGACGCCGTAAATGTCAAGATGATATGCATTTGGAACATGTCAATCCCATCGAAGCAGGCAGCAAGTCTGTTCTACAGCAATCAACATTGTTGGAAGGCATGTGCTTGGCCAACTAGCGCGACCTAGTTGACTGTGTTGTGTCTGGCAATATGATAAATAGCTAGCTAGCTTGTGTGATATGAATTTCAGTAAGCGTCTAACACCTTAGCGTTAGCTATAAAAACCATGCAAAATCAAAGCGTCAATTTATTTTATTGAACACGTGTCGGCACCACTTTATGGACGTAGTTACTAGTTAGATAACTAGCCAGTTATGTTATTGGAAACAGCAGTGTGGAAAGGTAGCCAGCTAGCCACTGGGAAAGCAAGCCGTTCAAAACCATGGCATTTGAGGGCCTTAGAAATGTGCAATGCCTATAATATTGTGATAACTTGTGAAACTTCAATTTACATAGGTGGATATTGATCTACATATATGTTATTACGTCTTCTAAATCGGTAGATGGACATAGATTTAGATAACTCACCCGCCTGTTTAATTTTAAGAAGGCGACGGCAACGGCGGAAGGGAAGAAAAGGGCTTCCGGAAAGACCGCAAGGTGTTATGGGTAGTGTATTAAATGAGATAAATTAAAGTATGTAGCTAGTGTAGGCACTAGGCTGAATAACTGTTCTTATTCATGCCAAATTGAGGACATCTCCCTCAAAATTACTCATTGTGAGCAATTAGTCACGTATAAATGATTGTATGTTCATTGTTTCCCATGAATGTTTTCTCTGTGAGGCACTCATACGCATCATCACTGTCATGGGGTTGCTGGTTTCTCAAGAATCTGATCCAAAATCCGCTTCCAGCACCCAAACAATTGTCATTATCATTGTTAGCAATAAACCGAAACTGATCCAAGACCAGTATCCCAAATACTACCGGACTTCCTCAACACGAAACTTAACGAAGAGATGGGTCATAGCCTGAATCGAAAGTGTGAAACGTTATTGTGTGAAGGGAAAATTGCGTTTTTGGTGTTTGATCAGATTTGTTAAAAAAAGAGGAAGAGTAGCGAGTCCTTAAAAGTTTAACTACAGAGAAAGGGGACTTTTTGGATGACTTTAATGATTTATGATAATCTTACAAAAATCACATGCAAGGGTGGGAACCTATAAAGGGAACACTCAACTCTCGCTTATATTATTTATTTGAATGTTGTGAAAGCTTAGGTGGAAATGGAGAGTACCCCGATTCTAAGGTGAGAAAACGTAATTTGTGTAAAACTCACTAACAAGACTAGTTCATGTCTGTATGGAGATTGAGAATGTGGTTATGTTCCATGGTATTAGGCCTAGCCTATATACCATATATTTTCAAAACATATGAGAGCCAATACAGTCCTCTGTGACGATGCAATCAAATGTACATCTTGATAGAAAGTAAACTTGACATTGTAGTCTGTAGCAGCTCACATTGCTCAGCTACTTTAACTTTACCTGTTATATTTTCATAGCGGCTATGGATCTTATGGCACCGCCAATCCTGGATATGCATCAACAGCAGAAGGAAGTCCAGGTGATACCATGATTCCATCTCATCATCCAATGTTTATTTATTGTGTTGAATTATTGGCCTATTAGCCTATCTACTAGTTGTATTTCAACCTTAGGAATAATAGCCTCTGTCGTGTGAATACCCACACCATTGTGGGACTTTTTGAACATTTTAAAAACTTCATAAAGTATTTGTTTATAGCCTGATGCTGTAATGATTAATTTTCAATTCAAAGTAGGTTCAAAAGGCCATATGTAGAGCTCTCTGCTGCTGTGAATGATGACATCACATAATTTAAACTCAAGACAAGTAGACCTTGACGAGTTCGCTCGTCAATTCCTCTCTGACAGAAGGTCCTAGGGTGAAATATCTTGAATCAGATGACGGTAGAGTGCAAGATACACACTTTGTTTTTACCAGAAGTTGAACTCTTCCCTTAATTATAGAGCCGAAAAGGAGGCAATATGCTGTTTTCTGTCCCTAGGGACTGTCGTAAAAGTGCAATTGTCTGATTTTACAGTAGGTATGAGGTACTTTGCTGCATATGCTTCTGTTTTTCCGACACCAAACCCACCACTGGTGTGCGTGGCCAAAGAGTTCTATTTTCATGTCCTTGGGCCATTGCACCAACTGGAGTTTGCTAAATGGCATTGGCACTTGGATTGGAACCGGTGCTATGGTCAGATGAGAGGGAAATAGAGCTCTTTGGCCACACACTAGTGGTCACTGGTGTTTGGGGTGGAGAAACAGAGGCATAGGCAGAAAAGTACCACACACCTACTGTAAAATATGGTGGTGTAAGGTCAACGGCATTATGAACTTTACCACGTACCAGGACATTTTAGGCAAAAACTTGGTTGCCTTTTCCAGGAGGCTGAAACTTGGCCGGAAGTGGATCTTCCAGCAAGATAATAACCCCAAGCACACATAAAAACCACAAATATATGGTAAATTGACCACAAAATCAACATTTTGCAATGGCCATCTCAGTCTCCGGACTTGAAATTCATCTAAAACCTGTGGTTTGAATTGAAGAGGGCAGTCCATAAGCGCAGACTAAGGATATTAAGGATATGGGAATATTCTGTATGAGGAATGGTCTAAGGGTGTTTTCACACTTGGTCCCTTTCAGCCATTTTTTTGTGTAGTGTGAACACTCCAAAGGAACTCAGATCCCTCAAAAGAGCCCCTGAAGCGAAACGAACTGACACCAACCTCAAGAGGTGGTCTGAGTTTGGGTCGCTTGAATTCCGCTGTCTGGTTCCCTTTTTTTAGGACAATGTGAACACAAAGCTCCCCAGGTTTGCTTGTCATTATTCCTGCACCACACTATAGACTACTGCAACACCATTTCCCCTGCCAAAACCCCTCACATTGGTGCTACAAAAGAGATAAGATGATGATATGCAGGTTCGTGAAAGAAAAAAAACGTGTGCTGTTTTTGGATATCGATTAGCGATTCTCAAGGATGCACAGAAATACCTAAATATGTGTGTACTGACATGATGTTCAGATTATTTGTTTGTAATATGTTATCTATAGGCTAAGAGAGCTTTAATAAGCTCTTTATTTGATTGTGGGGTTTGAATAGTGTGAGAAGACAACATATTTGATGAGAATCACAACATAGACTTGATTTTGTATCCTATCTCTTAAAGGGGCAGTAGCCTACATTGGATGTACAATTTTCAATTACATCATTATTTAATCTGCAGTTATTTATTATCTTACCAATAATATTGATATGTTAATAGTATCTTCTGATTGCAATTATTATGGCTAATTTTTTTACTAAATGCAATCTATTAGCTTCCAAAATGTAAGTAGATATATCTAGCTGTCCGACAGCGTGTTCTGATGGAATGGCTTGTCCTGTACTTTATAAAAACCCAGAGTGCATTGAGTGAATGTTGGAAAAAGATCTTGGTTCCTGTTTTAAACACAGCAATGTGAATGCAAAGAAGACTCGGACCACAAAATACAGTGGCTTGTGAAAGTATTCACCCCCCTTGGCATTTTTCCTATTTTGTTGCCTTACAACCTGGAATTAAAATTGATTTTTTGGGGGTTTGTATCATATGATTTACACAACATGCCTACCACTTTGAAGATAAAAATATTTTTTGGGTGCGAAACAAACAAGAAATAAGACAAAAAAACAGAACTTGAACGTGCATAACTATTCAACCCCCCAAAGTCAATACTTTGTAGAGCCACCCTTTGCAGCAATTACAGCTGCAAGTCTCTTGGGTTATGTCTCTATAAGCTTGGCACATCTAGACACTGGGATTTTTGCCCATTCCTCAAGGCAAAACTGCTCCAGCTCCTTCAAGTTGGATGGGTTCCGCTGGTGTACAGCAATCTTTAAGTCACACCACAGATTGTCAATTGGATGGAGGTCTGGGCTTTGACTAGGCCATTCCAAGACATTTAAATGTTTCCCCTTAAACCACTCGTGTTGCTTTAGAAGTATGCTTATGGTCATTGTCCTGCTGGAAGGTGAACCTCCGTCCCAGTCTGAAATCTCTGGAAGACTAAAACAGGTTTCCCTCAAGAATTTCCCTGTATTTAGCGCCATCCATCATTCCTTCAATTCTGACCAGTTTCCCAGTCCCTGCCGATGAAAAACATCCCCACAGCATGATGCTGCCACCACCATGCTTCACTGTGGGGATGGTGTTCTCGGGGTGATGAGAGGTGTTGGGTTTGCGCCAGACATAGCGTTTTCCTTGATGGCCAGAAAGCTCCATTTTAGTCTAATCTGACCAGAGTACCTTCTTCCATATGTTTGGGGAGTCTCCCACATGCCTTTTGGCGAACACCAAACGTGTTTGCTTTTTTTTTTTTCTTTAAGCAATGGCTTTTTTCTGGCCACTCTTCCGTAAAGCCCAGCTCTGTGGAGTGTACAGCTTAAAGTGGTCCTATGGACAGATACTCCAATCTCCGCTGTGGAGCTTTTCAGCTCCTTCAGGGTTTTCTTTGGTCTCTTTGTTGCCTCTCTGTTTAATGCCCTCCTTGACTGGTCTGTGAGTTTTGGTGGGTGGCCCTCTCTTGGCAGGTTTGTTGTGGTGCCATATTCTTTCAATTTTTTAAATAATGGATTTAATGGTGCTCCGTGGGATGTTCAAAGTTTCTGATATTTTTTTATAACCCAACCCTGATCTGTACTTCACAACTTTGTCCCTGACCTGTTTGGAGAGCTCCTTGGTCTTCCTGGTGCCGCTTGCTTTGTGGTGTTGCAGACTCTGGGGCCTTTCAGAACAGGTGTATATATACTGAGATCATGTGACAGATCATGTGACACTTAGATTGCAAACAGGTGGACTTTATTTAACTAATTATGTGACTTCTGAAGGTAATTGGTTGCACCAGATCTTATTTAGGGGGCTTCATAGCAAAGGGGGTGAATACATATGCACGCACCACTTTTCCGTTATTACTTTTTTAGAATTTTTTGAAACAAGTTCTTTTTTTCATTTCACTTCACCAATTTGGACTATTTTGTGTATGTGCATTACATGAAATCCAAATAAAAATCAATTTAAATTACAGGTTGTAATGCAAAAAAATAGGAAAAACGCCAAGGGGGATGAATACTTTTGCAAGGCACTGTATGTGAAGTGAACTGGCAAGGGCAGTGTGAATACAAAGAGAACAGTTATTTTGCTTATTTTATTTTTTACCCCAGAGAGGATTGAGATCGGTTATTTTAAAGAGGAGTATATGTGAAAATACCATTACCTCTCCCAATGTGTTCTCCAATCTCATAAAACATTTTAGAAAAAGGCTCAGTGTTGCAAGGGGAGGGTGCTGGAGTATTGAAGGGTGTCAATAAATTAAAAAGGATGACTTGTTAAACAAAATCTCTTTCTCTGACCAATTGTGTTAGTATATAATAATATAATTTTCAATTTTGTTTAGCATACAATATATCTCACTATTTGAATTATTTATTTGATAGTCTTTTTTGCTCATCTTTGTCAAGGGTGCCAAATATTTTGGAGGTGAAAATGTTAAATATGTACAATATTGGAAAGTATTTTCAGGGTTAGATTTCAAAACCATCTGGATATAAAGCTATAGAAAAGTAGATATCTATGTGAATTAGTAACCAAAGCAGTAACATGAAAAATATTTCCAAGAGAACCAAGGGGATGAATAATAATAATAATAAAAAAAGGTGTACCTTTGATAAGAAAGGTCAAGGAACTGTAGCTCATATGGACGGAGTGTAAGCTATTGAAATTTAGACCTAGCACAGGAAATATCCATGTAAAATCAGTTAAATAAAAAAATGGCAATTCTAATGGGTGTACTGTGGACAAGGGAGGTCAGACCTAAAGTGTTTTTAGATGTATAAGTAATTTGAACTAAAAGCTATTGAAAATTTGATCTGAACGAGAATTAATAACCACAGCTGTAATGGGAGAAATATTTGTAGAAAATTAAAGGAGAGGAATTTTAAAAAAATTACCCCATCACACTTGAAACCCATCGTACTTGTCGGTAGACCTATAGCTCATATGGACAGTGAGCTAATGAAAATTAGACCTATCACAGGAAATATTCATGTAAAACAGTTAACTGAAAAATGGCAGGGGAGGAATTTTGTAAAAGTAATTAGCTTTGATAATAGAGGTCAGGGAACACACCGCACTTGTCTTTAGATCTCTAGCACATGTGGATCAGAAGCCATAAAAAAACTATAATTCTGACCGGAAATATTCACAGTGACTTTGCTACAAGTGATTTTAGCTCTCTAGGTCATGCAAGTAGGCTACAGTAGGTTGCATACGAGTGAACAATTTCATAGGCCTATTTGTTTTTTGGAGCTCATATTTTTAGATAAAATCCATAAGAAATAAACAAGATACTTTTTTCATATAAATGTTGTGGGGAAAAAACATAAAGTTGGTTTAAGATCTGTAGATCATAAAAAATAAAATCTATAAACACCAGGGTCGGCTGATTAAGCTTTTAAGACGGTCCCTTAGCATGAGTGCTTTACCAACATACTTTTTATTTAACCCTTATTTTTACCAGGTATAAAAGGCTCTGCATGGTCAAGCTGACATCTGAAGTGGCCATACAGCATTTACTTTGATGCAGACTTCAGGACTTTCATACTTTTTGGCTTAGTGGAGCAGAGCTATTCTCAAAGAAGTTGTCAAGGAAGCATTTGTCTTTATACAGGACCTCCCGCCCTCACCTACGGTTAGCCAATCATGTCAATGCAAAGCTATATGGAGCTATCAAAGGCAATTTATGCTTGATCCGAAATGTGGTTGGAGGCAATTGCGGAGCCTCAGGAGGCATGCAGAGGTCAAATCAAGCTCAGTACTGCATCCCAATGCACCTCTCAAATTTTGTAACAAGGTGGAGGGCTCCATTGCTCCGCATTGACATGATTGGTTGATTTTAGGTGGGGGCGGTACATCCTGTATAAACACACTTCCTTTACAACTTCTTTCACAATAGCTCTGCTCTGCTAAGCGCAATAAGTACGAAAGCCCTGATGTTTGCAGAGGCGGTATTGTAAAAATGCTGTATGGCCACTTCAGTCTTAGGATTGACCATTCAGAGCCTTCCAGCATTGTTACAAAATTTGGGAGGAGAAGCTCAATTTGGCCTCTGCATGCCTCCAGAAGCTCCGACATTTCATCACACCCTCCATATGGAGGCTCCGACCACATTTTCGGATCAAACATAAATTGGCTTGTAAGTCACATTTTGAAAACCGAACAGAAGGAGGAAAAACAATTACTGTAACTAGCTCTCGATCGCCATCTGATTCTAGATATATCATCCTATTACCTTCCGTCGAAGAGGTATTAACGAGCAAACTCCGAATATCAAACCAATATACAAACTGAAAACAAAATGTATTGCAGTACACTATTGCATGTGCGCTCCCTCCGCACTATTCACTTTTTGACAGCTAAAGCCGTAGTTTGGTCTTATAGTTTGTCAACTTCGTCCTGGGAGAACATTTATTCAATCGTTAAATTAGCTGCAAATCAATATATTTTTAATATGGACAATACTTTGGAGAGACTGACTGATTTAGTCTTCAAATATGTATGTGTAGGCTACCTTTTCAACCGTGTCTGAGTGTCACCTAGGAAACGGGTAACAATTTCGTGATGTTCTAAATGTTATTTTATAGCAACCAATACGTTCGACAACAACTCGTTTATTTTCCCACCTTTATGCACTGGCAATGCGGATCAGGGGTCAATTTGATGTTTAGTTCAATACAGTCAGGCATGGGGCCACACCAGTAGATCTTTAAAGTGTGGTTTCATCATTATTTTAAGCAGTGCTTGACTTGGGCTGGAGCTGTCTGGAACGCCATACCGGCACTTCAATTTTTTGGGGAATTGAGTGCCATCTCCTCTATAAAAACAAAGTAGCCTATCGCTATTCACACACCGAGGCAAAAAAGGTTGATCAAAGCGGAATGAAGGCGGGATCTTCATTGAATAGAAATGGAGAGTGGGCATTCATTTCCTGATTCCGTTTTGTTCATGTTTATTTTTGCCTTTAGTCTGTGAATCTGTGAGTGACAGTAGGCTGTTCGAGATTGCGCAGATTGAAAATGTGCCAGCCTGAATGACATGATGCGCTGTTCCAAGTTGCCAAATGAGGGTTTGCAAGGTCATGGAAATTGTTGTTAATGTAATTCATGAAAGCACACTTCTAAATATGATCAATCAATTATAAAACTGCATATCAGTCATTATCGGAATGACCCTTCATTGCATGTCCGTGTGTGCCAGTGCTAGTGGGCCGTTGCTCGAGGAGAGAGAGCGCTACATTTCAGCAGCAGGTATAAAATAATAACAGACAGACTAACTAGATCGCCAATTCAAAACATAACTTGTAGCAGTTATCTCGCTGGTTAACTATAGCTAACTAAGCGTTCATTTCGTTGTTGCCTTTCCACCGGCACTGTAGAGCCTAAATAAATCTGCACCGTTGGAAACCTGGCATTCCACTCTATTAATAAACAGTAGCCATGTAATTACGACAACGTAAAACATTTTAAAGAATAGCCTAATTGACAAATAACTTCCTGTGCATAGATCTCCCCCGAAACATGAATATTTGAGCCTTCAATGAAAACCTCTAGTTGGATACTTTTCTTTGAAGTAGCATACCTTATCCATTTGGTCCCTGATTTATTGAATGAGGAAATAATTTTATAAAGACAAAAGTATTTGGTTGTAATGTTGAAAAAGCCATGCCTGCACACCCAGGAGCTCACCAGATGGAGGGTTGACCACATGTTGACATGTGACAAAAAATGCAGCTCTATGTGGGGGGCTAAGTGCCTTCATCAAGGGCACAATGGCAGGAGGTGGTAGGTCTACATGGGATCAGACAGAGCAGCTTTACAGTGTCAATAATGCTTACTTTTTCATGTAGGCTAAAATAATAGTCATAAAAATGTGGTTAAAATTCATGGAGAAGTAATGGAAAATATGTATAAACCGTTAACAGTGAATAATCAGCGGTCTCTATAGCATAATGTCTTTTGTGAATTTCGGTGGATAAAGTCTAATGGACTGACTTGGAAAAAGGCATCTCCTGCGCTTCTTCCATCCCAAGTCAAGCACTGATTTTAAGAGATTTAAGCTGGTTCAAATGGCAACAATTATACACTACCAGTCAAAAGTTTGGACACACATACTAATTCAAGGGTTTTTCTTTATTTTTACTATTTTTTACATCTTAGAATAATAGTGAAGACATCACAACTATGAAATAACACATGGAATCATGTAGTAACCAAAAACGTGTTAAACAAATCAAAGTATGTTTTATATTTGAGATTCTTCAAATAGCCACCGTTTGCCTTGATGACAGCTTTGCACACTCTTGGCATTCTCTCAACCAGCTTCATGAGGTAGTCACCTGGAATGCATTTCAATTAATAGGTGTGCCTTCTTAAAAGTTAATTTGTAGAATTTCTTAATGGGTTTGAGCCAATCAGTTTTGTTGTCACAAGATACAGAAGATAGCCCTATTTGGTAAAAGACCAAGTCCATATTATGGCAAGAACAGCTCAAATAAGCAAAGAGAAACGACAGTCCATCATTACTTTAATGCATGAAGGTCAGTCAATAAGGACAATTTCAAGAACTTTTCAAGTTTCTTCAAGTGCAGTCGCAAAAACCATCAAGCGCTATGAAGAAACTGTCTGTCACGAGGACCACCACAGGAATGGAAGACCCAGACTTACCTCTGCTGCAGAGGATAAGTTCATTAAAGTTACCAGCCTCAGAAATTGCAGCCCAAATAAATGCTTCACAGAGTTCAAGTAACAGACACATCTCAACATCAACTGTTCAGAGGGGACTGTGTGAATCAGGCATTCATGGTCGAATTGCTACAAAGAAACCACTACTAAAGGACACCAATAAGAAGAAGAGACCTGCCTGGGCCAAGAAACACGAGCAATGGACATTAGACCGATGGATATTTGTCCTTTGGTTTGGAGTCCAAATTGGAGATTTTTGGTTCCAACCACCGTGTCTTTGTGAGATGCGGTGTGGGTGAACGGGTTTTCTCTGCATGTGTAGTTCCCACCGTAAAGCATGGAGGAGGATGTGTTATGGTGTGGGGTGCTTTGCTGGTGACACTGTCTGTGATTTATTTAGAATTCAAGGCACACTTAACCAGCATGGCTACCACAGCATTACGCCATCCCATCTGGTTTGGGCTTAGTGGGACGATCATTAGGAGAGTGATGGTGTGCTGCATCAGATGACCTGGCCTCCACAATCCCCCGACCTCAACCCAATTGAGATGGTTTGGAATGAGTCGGACGGCAGAGTGATGTAAAAGCAGCCAACAAGTGCTCAGCATATGTGGGAACTCCTTCAAGACTGTTGGAAAAGCATTCCAGGTGAAGCTGGTTGAGAGAATGCCAAGAGTGTGCAAAGCTGTCATCAAGGCAAAGGGTGGCTATTTGAAGAATCTCAAATATAAAATATATTTTGATTTGTTAAACACTTATTTTGGTTACTACATGATTCCATATGTGTTATTTAATCTTTTTGATGTCATCACTATTATTCTACAATGTAGAAAATAGTTGAAATAAAGAAAAACCCTTGAATGAGTAGGTGTGTCAACTTTTGACTGGTAGTGTATGTATGTGTCACTTCACCAGGGCAGTGGGACAAATCGAATTAAAGGCAGTCTATTCAGGAAGTAAACTTAAATAACTATTCAAAATGAGAAAAAAACGCATCTATTTTCAATGACTTCTCAATAAGCTATTTATTTCAAACGTTTTTCCATTTTATAATTTTTATTAAAATCACTTCCTGAATAAACTGCCTTCAATTCGAATTGACCCCAGCCCTGCTCGTCACTCCTGAATCTGAACTGGTTTGTTTGTTTTTTCTCAGCAATGTTTGCCCCGCCTGCGTCCGACTTCCAGGGGCCCAGCGCTCCTCCAGCCAGTACGTTTGACAGCGTGCCAGGATATGAAGGGACAGTGGCCGGGGGCGGAGGTATGTGACTTGAGGACCATGGTCCTACGTTTCCTGCCAGTGACCTTTAGTTTTATTAGCAAACAAGTCGCTTACCACACCAGCGCTGTTCCTTATGGTTGGTAATTTCCATATAGAGTAATAACTACCTAATAACAACCATGTTGCTTTGAATTGAAAGCCCTGAGTCCTTCTTATTATGTTTGACTGTTTACTGTAGGTGGGTACCTGCCCCCACCCATGCCATCTTACCCAGCCCCTCAGCCTCAGCCTGGTCCCGCACAATCAAACTGGAAGTAGGTGTTCAATACAATTGCCATCATTCTGTCTCATAGTCATAAACATTTTTCTGCATAGCTGTCCTCGCAAACTATCTCTAATCAATGACATATTAAGGGGCTGTAAATTAACCATTGATAGTAAAGGCTGTAACACACCTCACCTATGACCTCGCACAGCAAGCAGTACCAAAAGGCTCCTAAACAGCTTCTACCCTCAAGCCATAAGATTGCTGAACAGTTAATCAAATGGCTACCCAGACTATTTGCATTGACCCCCTTATTTTAATGTGTATTTATGTGTTCTTATTTTTGCACTGACTCTCTTGTACAGGCTCTGTACACTCACTGGACTCTAACCACACACTCACACACACTACACTGACACTCCCACATACACACACACACACGGACACACACATAAGCCACACACACACATGCATATTGACGCCACACATACACACATACATACAGTACATACATACATTCACATCCCTTCATACTCTTCACATACGCTGCTGCTACTCTCTGTTTATTATCTATGCATTGTCACTTTACCCCTACCTACATGTACATATTCCCTCAATTACCTCGACTAACCCGTACCCCTGAACATTGACTCGGTACCGGTACCCCTTGTATATAGCCTCTTTATTGTTATTTTATTGTGTTACTATTTTTCATTTAATTTATTTAGCACATTTTTCTTACTTACTTTTTAAAAACTCTGCATTGTTGGTTAAGGGCTCATAAGTAAGCATTTCGCGGTAAGGTCTACACCTGTTGTATCTGGCGCATGTGACAAATAAAATTTGATCTGATCAGCAATGATACTTATCTGAGTTGACCCTTGTATTTTATGTTTACACTGTCTCTATGCACACTCACAGGACAAAACACACATAACATGCACACACATTTATATTGACTCTACACACATGCACACACTCACATACAATCATAGTTTACGCTGCTGATACTCTGTTTATCATATATCCTGATGCCTAGTCACCTTACCCCTATACATCTCTACCTCTCACTCCAGTATCCCTGCACATTGTAAATATGGTATTGGAACTGACCCTGTATATAGCTTCTTACTTTCTTGTGTTCTTATTTTTATTTCTTGTGTGTTTTTGTTCTACCTTATGTTATTTTTACTGCTACATTGATATTGATTACAGCATTGTTGGGTTTGTACTGTAGCTTGCAAGAAAGGCATTTCTCTGTACTTGTGCACGTGACATTAAAACTTGAAAACAGGTTTATCTTAGGAGGTACTTGCTTAACTAGACTACCAGTGATGACAGTTGAACTGAGACTCAATGTGTACACTTTCAATTGTGTAGTTGTCTAACAAATATGCTGATTTATCCTCCACAGTATCCCATCGATCACTGAAGACACTGCTCGGGAGGCCTTTAGCCAGTATGCCTCCACTAAGTGCTGTTACAGTTCAGCACCAGTTAAGGATGGCGTGATAACCAACATGGAGGCATACAATACATACAGGGTAAGATTGAATGTTTTTACCCTTTCTAAAAAAATGATGAGGAATTTTGGCATCCTGTTTGGCTTTTCTGTTTTTTTCCTCTCCTCTGCTTCAACTTTGATGTAGATCCCTCCAACTTCCTGTTATAATCACACCTTTTTCAGATCTCTACAGAATTGTAACGACCTGAGTGTTAAGGAGGGAGAAATAAAAGCTATTATTTATTCTGTGAATCTTTGATTTTGAGTATTAATGTTGAATATTGACAACTGGTTAGTTTGGGGTTGAAACTGACTACCTATGCCCTTCTGTAATTGCACCCCATGCTCCCCTTCTAAAAGTGGTCCCTTTTAGTTTGATTAGAGTGACTGGCCCAGACCAGAGAATGTGAAAAATACACACTAGATGGTGCTAAAGTTTCAAATATAATGTATGTATCACCAACTTTGAACATCAAATCTTTGATGTAATTTTCCTGCTTTGTTTCGCCCTTCTCAGTATCGCCTGGAAACCTTTATTGAGTCAAGAACCACTGAATGGAGTCAGCAGCCATACAATGGTAACTAATATTGCTGATTTCAAATTACCCTATTTATTTATTGTGTTATCTAAATGTCCAGTTCCACTGTTGTATCTGCATTTATTCATATCTTATTTTTGTTTTATTTATTTGTTTTAGGTCAGCCAGTGGATGCCTATACCCAACCACCACCTGGGCCCTGGGATATCCCTGCCAAAGTCTCCACCTTTTTTCAGGATGACAAACAAGTCATCAAAGTTCCCAACACCTCATCTGTCAAGGTATGTATTTCTCTGTTGATTAAAGCATGGCAGACAATATACTGAAATATATATATATATATATATATATATATATATATATATATATATATATATATATACAGTGGGGGAAAAAAGTATTTAGTCAGCCACCAATTGTGCAAGTTCTCCCACTTAAAAAGATGAGAGAGGCCTGTAATTTTCATCATAGGTACACGTCAACTATGACAGACAAACTGAGAAAAAAAGATCCAGAAAATCACATTGTAGGATTTTTAATGAATTTATTTGCAAATTATGGTGTAAAATAAGTATTTGGTCAATAACAAAAGTTTCTCAATACTTTGTTATATACCCTTTGTTGGAAATGACACAGGTCAAACGTTTTCTGTAAGTCTTCACAAGGTTTTCACACACTGTTGCTGGTATTTTGGCCCATTCCTCCATGCAGATCTCCTCTAGAGCAGTGGTGTTTTGGGGCTGTCGCTGGGCAACACGGACTTTCAACTCCCTCCAAAGATTTTCTATGGGGTTGAGATCTGGAGACTGGCTAGGCCACTCCAGGACCTTGAAATGCTTCTTATGAAGCCACTCCTTTGTTGCCCGGGTGGTGTGTTTGGGATCATTGTCATGCTGAAAGACCCAGCCACGTTTCATCTTCAATGCCCTTGCTGATGGAAGGAGGTTTTCACTCAAAATCTCACGATACATGGCCCCATTCATTCTTTCCTTTACACGGATCAGTCGTCCTGGTCCCTTTGCAGAAAAACAGCCCCAAAGCATGATGTTTCCACCCCCATGCTTCACAGTAGGTATGGTGTTCTTTGGATGCAACTCAGCATTCTTTGTCCTCCAAACACGACGAGTTGAGTTTTTACCAAAAGTTATATTTTGGTTTCATCTGACCATATGACATTCTCCCAATCCTCTTCTGGATCATCCAAATGCACTCTAGCAAACTTCAGACGGGCCTGGACATGTACTGGCTTAAGCAGGGGGACACGTCTTCCACTGCAGGATTTGAGTCCCTGGCGGCATAGTGTGTTACTGATGGTAGGCTTTGTTACTTTGGTCCCAGCTCTCTGCAGGTCATTCACTAGGTCCCCCCGTGTGGTTCTGGGATTTTTGCTCACCGTTCTTGTGATCATTTTGACCCCACGGGGTGAGATCTTGCGTGGAGCCCCAGATCGAGGGAGATTATCAGTGGTCTTGTATGTCTTCCATTTCCTAATAATTGCTCCCACAGTTGATTTCTTCAAACCAAGCTGCTTACCTATTGCAGATTCAGTCTTCCCAGCCTGGTGCAGGTCTACAATTTTGTTTCTGGTGTCCTTTGACAGCTCTTTGGTCTTGGCCATAGTGGAGTTTGGAGTGTGACTGTTTGAGGTTGTGGACAGGTGTCTTTTATACTGATAACAAGTTCAAACAGGTGCCATTAATACAGGTAACGAGTGGAGGACAGAGGAGCCTCTTAAAGAAGGAGTTACAGGTCTGTGAGAGCCAGAAATCTTGCTTGTTTGTAGGTGACCAAATACTTATTTTCCACCATAATTTGCAAATAAATTCATTAAAAATCCTACAGTGTGATTTTCTGGAGAAAAAAATTCTCAATTTCTTTGTCATAGTTGACGTGTACCTATGATGAAAATGACAGGCCTCTCTCATCTTTTTAAGTGGGAGAACTTGCACAATTGGTGGCTGACTAAATACTTTTTTTCCCCACTGTATATACTGCTCAAAAAAATTAAGGGAACACTAAAATAACACATCCTAGATCTGAATGAATGAAATAATCTCATTAAATACTTTTTTCTTTACATAGTTGAATGTGCTGACAACAAAATCACACACAAATTATCAATGGAAATCAAATTTATCAACCCATGGAGGTCTGGATTTGGAGTCACCCTCAAAATTAAAGTGGAAAACCACACTACAGGCTGATCCAACTTTGATGTAATGTCCTTAAAACAAGTCAAAATTAGGCTCAGTAGTGTGTGTGGCCTCCACGTGCCTGTATGACCTCCCTACAACGCCTGGGCATGCTCCTGATGAGGTGGTGGATGGTCTCCTGAGGGATCTCCTCCCAGACCTGGACTAAAGCATCCGCCAACTCCTGGACAGTCTGTGGTGCAACGTGGCGTTGGTGGATGGAGCGAGACATGATGTCCCAGATGTGCTCAATTGGATTCAGGTCTGGTGAACGGGCGGGCCAGTCCATAGCATCAATGCCTTCCTCTTGCAGGAACTGCTGACACACTCCAGCCACATGAGGTCTTGCATTAGGAGGAACCCAGGGCCAACCGCACCAGCATATGGTCTCACAAGGGGTCTGAGGATCTCATCTCGGTACCTAATGGCAGTCAGGCTACCTCTGGCGAGCACATGGAGGGCTGTGCGGCCCCCCAAAGAAATGCCACCCCACACCATGACTGACCCACCGCCAAACCGGTCATGCTGGAGGATGTTGCAGGCAGCAGAACGTTCTCCACGGCGTCTCCAGACTCTGTCACGTCTGTCACGTGCTCAGTGTGAACCTGCTTTCATCTGTGAAGAGCACAGGGCGCCAGTGGCAAATTTGCCAATCTTGGTGTTCTCTGGCAAATGCCAAACGTCCTGCACTGTGTTGGGCTGTAAGCACAACCCCCACCTGTGGACGTCGGGCCCTCATACCACCCTCATGGAGTCTGTTTCTGACCGTTTGAGCAGACACATGCACATTTGTGGCCTGCTGGAGGTCATTTTGCAGGGCTCTGGCAGTGCTCCTCCTGCTCCTCCTTGCACAAAGGCGGAGGTAGCAGTCCTGCTGCTGGGTTGTTGCCCTCCTACGGCCTCCTCCACGTCTCCTGATGTACTGGCCTGTCTCCTGGTAGCGCCTCCATGCTCTGGACACTACGCTGACAGACACAGCAAACCTTCTTGCCACAGCTCGCATTGATGTGCCATCCTGGATGAGCTGCACTACCTGAGCCACTTGTGTGGGTTGTAGACTCCGTCTCATTCAAAAGTGACCAAAACATCAGCCAGGAAGCATAGGAACTGAGAAGTGGTCTGTGGTCACCACCTGCAAAACCAGTCCTTTATTGGGGGTGTCTTGCTAATTGCCTATAATTTCCACCTGTTGTCTATTCCATTTGCACAACAGCATGTGAAATTTATTGTCAATCAGTGTTGCTTCCTAAGTGGACAGTTTGATTTCACAGAAGTGTGATTGATTTGGAGTTACATTGTGTTGTTCAAGTGTTCCCTTAATTTTTTTGAGCAGTCTATGTATGTATGTATGTATGTATGTATGTATGTATGTATGTATGTGTATGTATGTATGTGTATGTATGTATGTACAGTGGGGGAAAAAATTTGCCACCAATTGTGCAAGTTCTCCCACTTAAAAGATGAGAGAGGCCTGTAATTTTCATCATAGGTACACGTCAACTATGACAGCAACATGAGGAAAAAAAATCCAGAAAATCACATTGTAGGATTTTTTATGAATTTATTTGCAAATTATGGTGGAAAATAAGTATTTAGTCAATAACAAAAGTTTCTCAATACTTTGTTATATACCCTTTGTTGGCAATGACACAGGTCAAACGTTTTCTGTAAGTCTTCACAAGGTTTTCACACACTGTTGCTGGTATTTTGGCCCATTCCTCCATGCAGATCTCCTCTAGAGCAGTGATGTTTTGGGGCTGTCGCTGGGCAACACGGACTTTCAACTCCCTTCAAAGATTTTCTATGGGGTTGAGATCTGGAGACTGGCTAGGCCACTCCAGGACCTTGAAATGCTTCTTACGAAGCCACTCCTTCGTTGCCCGGGCGGTGTGTTTGGGATCATTGTCATGCTGAAAGACCCAGCCACGTTTCATCTTCAATGCCCTTGCTGATGGAAGGAGGTTTTCACTCAAAATCTCACGATACATGGCCCCATTCATTCTTTCCTTTACACGGATCAGTCGTCCTGGTCCCTTTGCAGAAAAACAGCCCCAAAGCATGATGTTTCCACCCCCATGCTTCACAGTAGGTATGGTGTTCTTTGGATGCAACTCAGCATTCTTTGTCCTCCAAACACGACGAGTTGAGTTTTTACCAAAACGTTCTATTTTGGTTTCATCTGACCATATGACATTCTCCCAATCCTCTTCTGGATCATCCAAATGCACTCTAGCAAACTTCTGACGGGCCTGGACATGTACTGGCTTAAGCAGGGGGACACGTCTGGCACTGCAGGATTTGAGTCCCTGGCAGCGTAGTGTGTTACTGATGGTAGGCTTTGTTACTTTGGTCCCAGCTCTCTGCAGGTCATTCACTAGGTCGCCGCGTGTGGTTCTGGGACCTGTAACCTCTTCTTTAAGAGGCTCCTCTGTCCTCCTCTCGTTACCTGTATTAATGGCACCTGTTTGAACTTGTTATCAGTATAAAAGACACCTATCCACAACCTCAAACAGTCACACTCCAAACTCCACTATGGCCAAGACCAACGAGCTGTCAAAGGACACCAGAAACAAAATTGTAGACCTGCACCAGGCTGGGAAGACTGAATCTGCAATAGGTAAGCAGCTTGGTTTGAAGAAATCAACTGTGGGAGCAATTATTAGGAAATGGAAGACATACAAGACCACTGATAATCTCCCTCGATCTGGGGCTCCACGCAAGATCTCACCCCGTGGGGTCAAAATGATCACAAGAACGGTGAGCAAAAATCCCAGAACCACACGGGGGGGCCTAGTGAATGACCTGCAGAGAGCTGGGACCAAAGTAACAAAGCCTACCATCAGTAACACACTACGCCGCCAGGGACTCAAATCCTGCAGTGCCAGACGTGTCCCCCTGCTTAAGCCAGTACATGTCCAGGCCCGTCTGAAGTTTGCTAGAGTGCATTTGGATGATCCAGAAGAGGATTGGGAGAATGTCAGATGAAACCAAAATAGAACGTTTTGGTAAAAACTCAACTCAACTCGTCGTGTTTGGAGGACAAAGAATGCTGAGTTGCATCCAAAGAACACCATACCTATTGTGAAGCATGGGGGTGGAAACATCATGCTTTGGGGCTGTTTTTCTGCAAAGGGACCAGGACGACTGATCCGTGTAAAGGAAAGAATGAATGGGGCCATGTATCGTGAGATTTTGAGTGAAAACCTCCTTCCATCAGCAAGGGCATTGAAGATGAAACGTGGTTGGGTCTTTCAGCATGACAATGATCCCAAACACACCGCCCGGGCAACGAAGGAGTGGCTTCGTAAGAAGCATTTCAAGGTCCTGGAGTGGCCTAGCCAGTCTCCAGATCTCAACCCCATAGAAAATCTTTGGAGGGAGTTGAAAGTCCGTGTTGCCCAGCGACAGCCCCAAAACATCACTGCTCTAGAGGAGATCTGCATGGAGGAATGGGCCAAAATACCAGCAACAGTGTGTGAAAACCTTGTGAAGACTTACAGAAAACGTTTGACCTGTGTCATTGCCAACAAAGGGTATATAACAAAGTATTGAGAAACTTTTGTTATTGACCAAATACTTATTTTCCACCATAATTTGCAAATAAATTCATAAAAAATCCTACAATGTGATTTTCTGGATGTTTTTTTCTCATTTTGTCTGTCATAGTTGACGTGTACCTATGATGCAAATTACAGACTGGCTAGGCCACTCCTCCCTCTCCCTTCCCTCACCAGCCAGCCGCACCAAGTACTCGCTAGTGATCTGGTGCCATACTCGGATGTACAACAGGTGTCCAAGATAGCTGCCTATGCTTACAGTGCAATCTCTCAGATCAAGGTGGATGCTAAAGAAGAGCTAGTGGTTCAATTTGCCATCCCCTGATCTGGCCTCCATAATACTCATCCCGTCCCGTCCCGTCCCCCATACCCACAATGCATCTATGATTACCAGTCCCTGTGCTACCCAGCTATGCCACTAGCAACCTGCTGCTCCAGCTGAGGACTATGACAACTAGGCCTCCCCTGCTGAAAAGGTTAACCAACCTTGCCCTGCACTCCTCAGAACCACCTTTCAAAGCCACCATTCATCTTTCCTTCACCAGCCGTCAAAGGAATTTTTTTACTATCATATGGTAGTATAACGATAATGGTGTTAGGGCAGCTTTTGTAATTTAAAAGTTTATTGTTTGAAGAGTGACTGAGTCTGATTTAATGAATAAACGGTTAGCTAGCTGCGCGGCATGGCTAGGCTGCTGGTGGCGTTAGCTCTGGCTGTGAGTTTCAGGAGTAGCTAGCCTCGTCTGATATGCAGCTACGGTAATATACTAACTAACTAACTAACCACAGCTAGGAAAATAGGGTAATTAAGCATGTCCAAATGTAGCACAGTAACAGGACAAAAAAAGATGTCCACAGCCAGCCAACCCACTAGTCAGCATGGGGATGCTGTTGTTCTGACACTGTGTGGACCCGTCACCCAGAACACACATCCCACCCCTCAAGTCTCATGTCAGTATGAAAAATGTATGCACTCACTAACTGTAAGCCGCTCTGGATAAGAGCGTCTGCTAAATGACTAAAATGTAAATGTAAATGTACAGGCCTCTCTCATCTTTTTAAGTGGGAGAACTTGCACAATTGGTGGCTGACTAAATACTTTTTTTCCCTACTGTATACTACCGGTCAAAAGTTTTAGAACACCTACTCATTCAAGGGTTTTTCTTTGTTTTTACTATTTTCTACATTGTTGAATAATAGTTAAGACATCAAAACTATGAAATAACACATGGAATCATATAGTCCCGTGTAGCTCAGTTGGTAGAGCATGGCGTTTGCAACGCCAGGGTTGTGGGTTCGATTCCCACGGGGGGCCAGTATGAAAAAAGAAATGTATGCACTCACTAAGTCGCTCTGGATAAGAGCGTCTGCTAAATGACTAAAATGTAAATGTAGTAACCAAAAAAGTGTTAAACAAATCAAAATATATTTTATATTTGAGATCATTCAAATAGCCTCCCTTTGCCTTCTTAAAAGTTAATTTGTGGAATTTATTTCCTTCTTAATGCATTTGAGCCAATCAGTTGTGTTGTGACAAGGTAGGGGAGGGTATACAGAAGATAGCCCTATTTGGTAAAAGACCAAGTCCATATTATGGCAAGAACTGCTCAAGTAAGCAAATAGAAACGACAGTCCATCATTACTTTAAGACATGAAGGTCAGTCAATACGCAACATTTCAAGAATTTTCAAAGTTTCTTCAAGTGCAGTCGCAAAATCCATCACGCGCTATGATGAAACTGGCTCTCATGAGGACCGCCACAGGAATGGAAGACCCAGAGTTACCAGCCTCAGAAATTGCAGCCCAAATAAATGCTTCACAGAGTTCAAGTAACAGACACATCTCAACATCAACTGTTCAGAGGAGACTGTGTGAATCAGGCCTTCATGGTCAAATTGCTGCAAAGAAACCACTACTAAAGGACACCAATAAGAAGAAGAGACTTACTTGGGCCAAGAAACACGAGCTGTCTGTGATTTATTTAGAATTCAAGGCACACTTAACCAGCATGCCTACCACAGCATTCTGCAGCGATACGCCATCCCATCTGGTTTGGGCTTAGTGGGACTATCATTTGTTTTTCAACAGGACAATGACCCAACAGACCTCCAGACTGTGTAAGGGCTATTTTACCAAGAAGGAGAGTGATGGAGTGCTGCATCAGATGACCTGGCCTCCACAATCCCCCGACCTCAACCCAATTGAGATGGTTTGGGATGAGTCGGACAGCAGAGTGAAGGAGAAGCAGCCAACAAGTGCTCAGAATATGTGGGAAGTCCTTCAAGACTGTTGGAATAGCATTCCAGGTGAAGCTGGTTGAGAGAATGCCAAGAGTGTGCAAAGCTGTCATCAAGGCAAAGGGTGGCTATTTGAAGAATCTCAAATATAAAATATATTTTGATTTGTTTAACACTTTTTTGGTTACTACATGATTCCATGTGTTATTTCATAGTTTTGATGTCTTCTATTATTCTACAATGTAGAAAATAGTAAAAACAAAGAAAAACCCTTGAATGAGTAGGTGGTCTAAAACTTTTGACCGGTAGTGTATGTCTGAAATGATTAAATATGCCTTTTTATAAACTGTAATTTAATCAACAGAACTGTCATACCTGTGTGGGGATGGGAAGAACTCCCTGCAAAGATTGTGCCGGAGTTGGTAATGTAAGTGGCAATACCAAGTCAAATAAAAAGCATGAGCTGGCACACACCCAAAAAAGTTGGTAGAGGTGTTGATTAACGGCAAGTAAACTATAGGCTATAAAAAATATATAAGGAGATTCAAACACTCTATATACAAGCTCCCAGTAATTTATTGGGTAAACCACCAACGTTTCGGCATTACTGTGCCTTCTTCAGGGTGATGTCATGAATGCTTGAACCAGGTTATGTAGACAAACAGTGCAATTAGTGCAACCAATGACAATAGTGAGTGGTGTGTTCTACACTAGATTACCAAAAGTATGTGGACACCTGCTCGTCGAACATCTCATTCCAAAATCATGGGCATTAATATGGAGTTGGTCCCCCCTTTGCTGCTATAACAGCCTCCACTCTTCTGGGAAGGCTTTCCACTAGATGTTAGAACATTGCTGCGGGGACTTGCTTCCATTCAGCCACAAGAGCATTAGTGAGGTCGGGCACTGATCTTGGGCGATTAGGCTTGGCTTGCAGTCGGTGTTCCAATTCATCCCAAAGGTGTTCGATGGGGTTGAGGTCAGGGCTCTGTGCAGGCCAGTCAAGTTCTCCCACACCGATCTCAACAAACTATTTCTGTATGGACTTCGCTTTGTGCACTGGGGCATTGTCATGTTAAACTGTTAAAAGAATAGTTCAACATAATTAGATATTGTACAAAGTATTAGCAACCGCATACATTATTATTTTAATTTCATATACATATTTCATTGTTTTCATTTAATCTTTGTTACATGTAATATTTTGGTTCAACTGTAATGCACAATAAGCATCATCAACAAAGGGAACATCTTGGGTGCACGCTGATATACTTCAGAAATAATATGTTCATTTAGCAGACTTGTTCATTAAAAAGGGGACTTGTTCATAAAAAGGGTCTGAGGTCAAAGTCAATTTTCAGACCACTAGGGGTCAGTGTTCTTTGAGAGGAGATCCAGCAGGCCTCCCTCAGTTGTAGCAGGGTATTGATGTTACTACCTCTCCTTCCTTATTATAAAAAAATATAAATAAATGATTATGCTTATTGTGCATTAAGGTTGAACCGAAAGATTACATATAACAAAGATGGCATGAAATGGAAACAATAAAATATGTATATGACATTTTAATAATAATTATGTATGTTGATGCTAATAGAATGTACAATATTTAATTATGTTGCAATATGATATCAATAACCTAATATATTCAACATGCTGTAAACTATTGTCTTTTTAAGTTTCATTTTTTACATTGTCATCACCCTAATAATTATGACACACCCCTCACTATTGTCATTGGTTGCACTAATTGCACTGTTTGTCTACACAACCTGGTTCAAGCATTCATGACATCACCCTGAAGAATGCACAGTGATGCTGAAACGTGGGTGGTTTACCCAATAAATTACTGTGAGCTTGTATATAGAGTAGAGTGTGCGACTCTCTTTACTTATTTTTTTTTTATAGCCGACAATATTAAGTTACCATAATTTGCAGTTGCATTGCAGCCTTGGTAACGATGTAAAAAAAATAATCATAGAAGATAATTCAATATTTTGACAACTGAATTACCTGCACCTACACATGAACTAAACGACTAGTTACTTTCAGTTGTATAAATGAATGTGAGTCTCTTTGTTTATTCAAGCTGTCACAAACAATAGCCTAAGGAACTAGTCTGTGGTGTTGTCACAGGGTACTCTATAAACCACATAGTGTGTCAGGTTGAGTTATTTCCTTGTTTTTATCACCGCTACCAGAACATCTGCTGGGTGTGCAATGGAGCTGGTAACCGTAGGAGTGGTGATCGATGCCATCATTGCCAAGGGAGGGGAAGGGTCAAGTAAGTATGTTATGCACTCCATTTATCAGCTTTTAATCACAGGTAAAAAACTAATTTCTGGAGGAAAGGAAACTCCACAGAGAATCACAAAAATATGTTTGCTTACTTAGCAAATGTGTGTAGCTATAGCACCGTTTTGTATTTCAGTCATTTCCATATGGCCTCTCAGGGACTTGGGTAGCTTGATTCACGTTGTTTTTCTCATCAGTTGCAGCCATTGTCATGGTCAAGGGTCAAGGGAGTGTCAGACCTGTAAAGGCAAACGACAGCTTTTGGTCTTCATCAACCTCAAGGTTATATGGTGAGTGGTGTTGTTAGCTAAGCATTTTTCAACTAAATAACCGTATGTGTCATACATTAGATGCACTAGATCCAGTAGATCTCTGCTTCCCTTGTATGATTAACTAGGAGATTTGTTTATTCCGTATCGTATTTGTTTATTCCGTATCCCACGGGGGACAGTATAAAAAAAAAAAAAAAAAAAATGTATTCACTAACTGTAAGTCGCTCTGGATAAGAGCGTCTGCTAAATGACTAAAATGTAAAAAATGTAAATCTTCAACTTTGACTTGATTTCCTCTTTCTGTATCCACACTTACTAGGACTAATAATCTTGACGACTACATTGTGGAACAGTCGAGTGGTTTGCATGTGGCCAACCTGAGCAAGGTGTCTGGGCAGGAGATGTTTAGGGACGCTCAGTACATGGTAAATAATTAATAATAATAATAATATGGGAATATTACATTTATTGGAATAATTTATAATGGACTAAATTGAGGATTTATATAGCATGAAATGAAGATATTTGGTGATGCCTTGTTATGTACGTGAGACAATGGGTTTTTCCTCTGTCATGTAGGTTTACCCAGTGATGGGGTTCCCAGACCCTAACGTGGTGCGTGCTGCAGAGCGTCTAGTGAGGGACCACCAAGCCAAGTTCTCTCAGACATCACGCATTCTACAACAGGTAGAGACTGTTTTCTTTCCCCCACCTCATTATTCATATAACAGCAACTCCTTCTTTGCATTAAGTATCTTATTAAGCTGGAGGATTATTGTGCATTTGCTTGTTCTAAGTTGTCATGGTATTTGGCTTATTTTAATAAGAGAATCCTCTCTCTCTCTCTCTCTGCAGCGCCAGACCATTGAGTTGATTCCTATCACCAAGGTGACCTACAAGTGGAAGGGAGACTCACACATTTACTTTGTCTATGGGAATGAGTTCAAAGTCAGTGCTGATAACTACCCAGCTACCTGTTGCTGCACAGTAATGTAATGCTTCAGAGGAAGACATTGCTTTGATTATATTGAATATGACTCTGTGTTCTAAAGACTGTGATTATAAAGGAGTTTATGATTGGCAGACTGCCAACCATCAGACAATTTGCTATGTCATTAAACAAATGCATGAATGTTTTGAATATTTGTATTTTCTACTTGCAAGCAAGCAAACATGCATGCTTTTTGTGAAATAGACAGATGTAATACTAATTCCACAGGAGTCATTGGGGACCACACAGGCCTTAGGATGAACCCACTGGGCACACACTGGTTGAATCAACGTTGTTTCTACATCATTTCAATGAAATGACGTTGAACCAACGTGGAATAAATGTTGAATTGACGTTTGTGCCCAGTAGGAAGAAGTTAAGATGGAAGGCTGGCTGTAATGTATAATGTACTGAAACCTATGCATAGCACTGAGATAGTTCTGTCATTTGTGACCATGTCTGCTAATTTGTACTCTTTGATGATTGTGTACAACAAATGTCTGTGTGATTGATGTTCAATGGAAGGCTGAATGTCAGTGATTAAATGTATTTCCATTGTATATTATACCATTGATTCTAAATGTGTCTTTAAAGAGGGATTTAATTTGATGAAATAACCACATTTGGGGAATAACCCAACATATCTTTTTTTGCTGGACCCCAGGAAGAGTGGGCAGCCGCTAATGGGGATCCATAATAAATACAAATATCTTGAGGGTGTTTTTCTAATCTATTAATATTTGTTGTATAAATAAAGGATTTCAATAATGTGATTTGTCATGATCTCACAAAAGCAATACATTAATCTTAAGATTTAAAAAAATATATATAGAGAGAGAGAGAGAGATCTTGGTTTAGCTCGGCCCTGTTTGCGTCATCAAAAATCGACAGTCGGCGCTAAACTTTTGACGTATAAACGGTCGTCACTAGTTACCACAGCTACAAAGGCATAAACCCCGCCCATTTCTACAATTTATCTAATTCAAATCTGACTTTAAACCTAACCCTAATCTTAACCACACTGCAAACCTTATGTATAACCCTTAAATTAAATAAAGACCAAAAATAAAAAGCATTTTAAAGATATAGCCAATTTTGACTTTGTGGCTGTGGTAACTAGTGACAACCCGTGTAGAACGTGTTCGCCATAATAAACCCTGAGCTAAAACAAGTGATAACAAGGTGGCTGTGCGAAGCTGCAGTTTGTATTGTTTTTAACAATACAGGTCTAGCTAGCAAGTGTGTGTCGGGATTTTTAAATTTATTTTTTTTGTGGAAGGAATAAGGAAAGTGAGTGAAAATTGAGCAAATCAAGGTACGCGTTCGCCTAACATGCTAATAATGTGTTCGCTAGCTACCTAGCTAGTTAGCCAACAACGCTGTCTCGCACATTAATAACTGTCTACTCTAGACGGTCTTGTAGCTAACTCGTGTGCACAATGAACGCATACAGCTGTTACTGGCGCGGACCCCGAACACTGAACTAAGTGTAACTTAGCTAAAACAGATTTTCCAACGTTGTAGCTCTATATAGGCCATATCTGTAGCTAGCTAGCTGGTACATTTAGCTAAACGTGCTATTTCACACCTGCAGAGTTTTCTAAGAAATAAGTTAGCCAACGTTAGCTATCGAGGTGTGTTGCTTGTCATCCTGATGTAGCTAGCTAACTAACGTTAGCTATATATTCCAGAGACCGTAACGTTAAGAAGCTGACGTTAGTTATAGGCTAACTAGTAGCTACTACACAGTAACGTTAGCTAGCTAATGTTATTGGATGGTTTCTAGCATCATGACCAAATCACTTGTTGACCGTTGGAGTCCCTGGGGACCTATGCAGCTGTCTCTGGATCTGTTCTGAACCGAATACCAAAGGAAGGTCCCTTTTGAGTCACTGGTTGCAACTGGAGAGGAAGTCGTGGTTTGTGTTTGTGAGCGTAGATAGATCATGCATGAAATATATTTTATTTCAGTAGGCCAAATCAGTAAACAGTGTCAGTGACTATTACTATCCATCAGTTGCCTGTCATTGTAAATGTTGATATGAGCTAGAATCTGTCAACATTCAACACTTCCCTCCTCATGCTTGCACCAATACAGTTTTTTACACATTCTTTCATCATTTGTTCTATGCTTATCAGGCCACACCATGGCGTCGGCATCTGCCAGCGTGGATTCCAAGGCAGAGCTGACTGCTCTGCTGGAGCATTGGTTGGAGCAGTGGGAGGGGGAACAGCAGGCCAGCACACCAGACCTGGTCAACATCCTCACCAAGTGAGTGTCTGTAATACAAAAAGGATCATGTTTTTTAACACCAGTGGATATTATGGGAAGTTTCTATTTTTTTTTCACGTCATTTATTCAGATCACGTTACTTGAAGGGATGGATGGAAGGAAGTTTGTTTTAGAGTCTCTGGACATTTAGGAATATGTTGTCTGTTTTGAATATATCATGGGTTTTCTTTTCCTCTCAGGATCTCAGAGCTGGTGGAGAGGGAGACTGAGGAATATCACAAAGCTGATCCTGATCCTTTTGATGACAGGCACCCTGGTAAGATGTTTTATTTATGTTAGTGTGTAGTCATAACTATAGTATTAACTTTAGCTAGCAAAGTGATAGTTGTTCACATTTTGTAGATTTGTAATTCTCCCCACCTCTTGCCACTTAGGGAGAGCTGATCCAGAATGTGTCTTGGGTCACCTGCTCAAGATCCTGTTCAAAGATGATGACTTCATGAATGCGGTAAGAACTGAAAACAATAAATACTTATTTGTCAATTTACAAATAATACTAATCTGGTGAGTGCATACTCACGTGGTCATAGAACAGTATCAGTTCCTGTGTGCCTTGTTATTTGAACTCCTGTCTTTTTCCAGCTGGTGAATAGCTATGTGATGACCAGCAGAGAGCTCATTCTTAACACGGCAGCCTGTCGCCTGCTGCAGAACATCATGCCTGGGTTGGAGACCGCCGTGGTCTTTCAGGAGAAGGTAGGCTACAACCTGCTTCTGTGGAGATGCACTTAAACATGTTTATAGATTTAGTTAGCTAGAATATGCAACTTATTCAATAATCATGATGTTATGTTTCTGTGTTTGTGACAGGAGGGCATTGTGGAGAGGCTGTTTAAATGGGCCCAGGATGCTGAGCAGCCCCTGAGGATCTATGCTACGGGCCTGCTGGCTGGAGCCATGGAGAACCAGGACATCGCTGCCAACTACAGGGAGGAGAACTCAGTCCTGGTCAGTGCCAAAACCCTACTATCAGGTGTTTTTATTAAGCCTCTGAGAAGGTTTAACAACATCAACATAAGATCTTGTATAAATACTACAATGTGGGTTAAATTGAATTTAACCATGTGTTGCCACAGGTGGGCGCCATGGTGTCCATCAGTATCTGTGAATTATGCATCTCTCTCTCTCTGTCTCTCTGTCTCTCTGTCTCTCTCTCTCTCTCTCTCTCTCTCTCTCTCTCTCTCTCTCTCTCTCAGGTGCCTCTGATGCTGCAGCGGTTACGTGAGCTGCAGGCCAAGGACACTGAGAACAGGAAGGAGTTTAAACGGCCCAGTCCCAGGAAGACCCTGGGGGAACCTCTCCTTCCTCTGGATGAGGAGACTGTCGACGGAGGCTTCGAGGACACCCCATTCCCCTCGGGGAATAACGGAACAGAGAGGGACGAGAAGAGACCAGAGGAGGACAGAGAGGAGAACCCATTCCCCCCGGGGAATAACGGAACAGAGAGGGACGAGAAGAGACCAGAGGAGGACAGAGAGGAGAACCCATTCCCCCCGGGGAATAACGGAACGGAGAGGGACGAGAAGAGACCAGAGGAGGACAGAGAGGAGAACCCATTCCCCCCGGGGAATAACGGAACGGAGAGGGACGAGAAGGGACCAGAGGAGGACAGAGAGGAGAACCCCTTCCCCCTGGGGAATAACGGAACGGAGAGGGACGAGAAGGGACCAGAGGAGGACAGAGAGGAGAACCCCTTCCTCAGCAATGAGTCTGACAACGAGATCTCCTTCCACCTCAACTACCTCAACTCCTCCCACAAGACCAGCAGCCGCACCAGCTCGTCCGTCAAAGGCCTGATGAAACCCGTGTCTGTCCCACCGTCTTTGTCCCATCGGGACTTCCCAGACGGCAGGGCGGAGGGCAGCAGTCACCTCAAGAGGAGGGCGGAGAGGGAGAACGGACGGAAGGTGAAACAGAAGCTGAACTTCTCCCTGCCGGAGCCGGAGAGGAACTTCAGCGAGCTGTCCAACAGCAGCTGGTCTGAGATGAGCCCCTGGGTGATTGGGAACAACTATCACCTTTACCCTTTGACCCCGGAGATGGAGCAGAGGCTCATCCTGCAGTACCTCACCCCTCTGGGGGAGTACCAGGAGGTTAGTTTCTGCTACATAAACCTACCAGCAGATGTCAGTCTTGACAAACTCCGTTATAAGAGCTAGTACTGCACTCGTTGAAGACATTATGTCGTAAATGACTGTGTAGACTGCTAGACAGACGAGTAGTACTCTGCATAAATGATTCATTTCTCTGTTTTATTTTCTGTCTTTCAGCTGTTGGCTGTCTTCATGCAGATGGGAGCCTGTGAGCTGCTCATCCATTACATGGACCTGAAGCAGACCAACGATGTACAGCTCACCTTTGAGGCTCTCAAGGTAACCTTGCTATAACTGACTTAGAATGCATCTCAATTGTTTAAAGAGGAGCATCCCAGCTTTATCCTAGGATTCCCGTTCTCTACCTGTAGTACCTGGCCTCCCTGCTCCTGCATAAGAAGTTTGCAGCCCAGTTTGTGGCCCATGGAGGGGTTCAGAAGCTGCTGGAGATCCCCAAGCCTTCCATGGCCGCCACAGGGGTGTCTCTGTGCCTCTACTACCTGGCCTACAACCAGGACGCCATGGAGAGGGTAGGACACACACACACACACACACAGCATAAAGATCAACCGTTCGTAAAAGTTATGACCTGTAGTAGGGGTGTGTAACATGATTTACTTCCATGTAAATCTGTAAGTCAATAAAAAAGGTGTGTTCATGTATCCCCCTTTCATGTGTCTCTGTTCCCCTTAGGTGTGTATGTTGCCCCACTCCATCCTGTCTGATGTGGTGAGCTACACTCTGTGGCTGTTGGAGTGTTCCCACGCCTCGGGCTGCTGCCATGCCACCATGTTCTTCTCCATCTCCTTCTCCTACCGAGCCGTGCTGGAGCTCTTTGACAGGCAGGATGGCCTCCGACGCCTCGTCAACCTGGTAGGAGGGCCTGTCTGGTTTATTCATGCTTCTGTTTCCTCTAGCTGTCACTAGGATAGGGTTTTCTAATCCTGATTTTAAAAAACACTGTTTTGGTGTTTCACTGTCTCCAGATCAGTTCTCTGAACATCCTCAGTATTGCGGTGTGTATTACACTGCTGCTTATTGTGTATAATTCTGTCTCCAGATCAGTTCTCTGAACATCCTCAGTATTGCTGTGTGTATTACACTGCTGGTTATTGTGTGTATTTCTACTGTCTCCAGATCAGTACGTTGGAGATCCTGAACCCTGAAGACCAGGCGGCCCTGCTGAGTGATGACCAGATCTTCTCTAGCAGGCAGACGGCCAAGCACACCTGCATGGCCCTGCGCAGGTACTTTGAGGCCCATCTGGCCATCAAGGTGGAGCAGGTCAAGCAGTCCCTGCAGCGGACTGAGGGGGGCGCTCCCATTCACCCTCAGCCTTACTACAAGGTAGACGGAACAGGTTGTCCCATGTTGGGAGATTGTGATGATTGAAATGATTGTGTTTGCTCCAAATATTGCCATTTTTTTCCTATAGGGATTTATAAAGTGGCCTTTCTGAATTGAAATGGAATTGACCCCAACCCCCTGGAACCCATCATCACAGATGAACCTTGGTGATGTTTTTCTTTCAGAGATGCCTCATTCTCTTTCTGTTCCCCAGGCGTGCAGCTACACCCATGAGCAGGTGGTGGAGATGATGGAGTTCCTGATCGAGTACGGCCCAGTCAGACTGTACTGGGAGCCAGCAGAGGTCTTCCACAAGCTGTCCTGTGTTCAGCTGCTGCTGCAGCTCATCTCCATCGCTTGTGACTGGAGGACCTACTATGGCAGGTAAGGACAGAATTGCAAACCTTCCTTCTCTATTTCAAGTACAGATGAGGAGGAGGGCCATTGTGGGAAGTTGCAATATACCACCAAGTGCTAACATTCAGTATCTGGATAAAACAGTGCCTTCAGAAAATGTATTCAAAATGGATAAAATGTATTTATTTTTCTCATCCGTCTACACACAATACCCCATAATGACAGTGACATTTTTTGTTGTTGAAATTGCTAAATTATTGAAAATTAAATACAGAAATATATCATTTACGTAAGTATTCACACCCCTGAGTCAATACATCTTAGAATAATATTAATATAATAATAATATGCCATTTAGCAGACGCTTTTATCCAAAGCGACTTAGTCATGTGTGCATACATTTTTAATTTAGAATCACCTTTGGCAGTGATTACAGCTGTGAGTCTTTCTGGGTAAGTCTTTAGGAGCTTTGCTTACCTAGATTGTACAATATTAGCACATTTATTATAATTATTCTCACACAAATGTTTGTAGCGTCCAAACGGTTTGGCCTACAAACTATTATGTTTATGGAAAGATGATATTCTCACAAACACGATGGTTTTCTCCCCCCCCCACAAGCGTCTTGGCACTCGTCTGAAGTCGGTATAGCCGATCTGCCAACTTCTGTCTGTAGCGTCCCAACAGTTTGGGGCTACACACTAATATGAGCCCTCTGTAAGGTACATCTCTCATGAACACGTACATGTTGGTTGTTTTGCTCTAGGGTGCCCACAAGCCTCATCTGAAGGTCCCTGGTACCAGTTTAAAAAATGAATGGCAGTACACTGCATTCGGAAAGTATTCAGACCCCTTGACCTTTTCCACATTTTGTTACGTTACAGCCTTAATCTAAAATGGATTTCCCTCATCAATCTACATACAATACCCCATAATGACAAAGCAAAAGCATGTTTTTAGAAATGTTTGCAACAAAAGACTGAAATATGACATTTACATAAGTATTCAGACCCTTTACTCAGTACTTTGTTGAAGCACCTTTGGCAGTGATTACAGCCTCGAGTCTTCTTGGGTATGACGCTACAAGCTTGGCACACCTGTATTTGGGGAGTTTCTCCCATTCTTCTGTGCAGATCCTCTCAAGCTCTGTCAGGTTGGATGGGGAGCGTTGCTGCACAGCTATTTTCAGGTTCTCCAGAGATGTTCGATCGGGTTCAAGTCCGGGCTCTGGCTGGGCCACTCAAGGACATTCAGAGAAGCCACACCTGCGTTGTCTTGGCTGTGTGCTTAGGGTCATTGTCCTGTTAGAAGGTGAACCTTCACCCCAGTCTGAGGTCCTGAGTGCTCTGGAGTAGGTTTTCATCAAGGATCTCTCTGTACTTTGCTCCGTTACTCTTTCCCTTGATCCTGACTAGTCTCCCAGTCCCTGCCGCTGAAAAACATCCCCACAGCATGATGCTGCCACCACCATGCTTCACCGTACGGATGGTGCTAGGTTTCCTCCAGATTGGCATTCAGGCCAAAGAGTTCAATCTTGGTTTCATCAGACCAGAGAATCTTGTTTTTTGGGGGACTATCTGTTCTATGTGGTGAATCTGGTATTCAATGCGTTTGTTTGGGCTAATAGCAGTAAGTCCAAATTCAATGTTTCATCAGTGTTTTAAAATGTTTTTCTGGGATACTTCAAGTCTTAAAATTCAATATCAAATAGCTAAATGATCTTTAGTATGACCTTAAAACAACTCCATATGTTAGCTTAGTAGAACCCTCCCCCCCAGCTTAGACTCTAGGGGGTTAAACTGCTTGGTGTAACCCTGGATTGTAAACTGTCATGGTCAAAACATATTGATGCAACAGTAGCTAAGATGGGGACAGGTCTGTCCGTAATAAAGCGCTGCTCTGTTTCTTGACATCGCTACAAAACAAGTCCTACAGGCCCTAGTTTTGTCGCACATGGACTACTGTCCAGTCATATGGTCAAGTGCCACAAAGAGGGACATACGCAAATAACAATTGGCCCAGAACAGAGCAGCACGGCTGGCCCTTAAATGTACACGGTGAGCTAACATTAATAATATGCATGTCAATCTCTCCTGGCTCAAAGTAGAGGAGAGATTGACTTCATCACTACTATTTGTGAGAAGTATTGACATGTTGCATGAACCGAGCTGTCTGTTTTAAACTACTAGCACACAGCTCAGACACCCATGCATACCCAACAAGACATGCCACCAAAGGTATCTTCACCGTCCCCAAGGCCAGAACAGACTATGGGAGGCGCACAGTACTACATAGAGCCATGACTACATGGAACTCTCTTCCAAATCAAGTAACTCATGCAAGCAGCATAAATCAGACCTTATGAAACTGAGCTGACTTCGAAGAGACGCACAGAAACATGCATACACACACATGCTAACACACTCACTCTACGCACAAATGGATTTTGTATTGTAGAAATGTTGAAGTAGTGTGTAATGTGTTGTGAAGTGTAATGTTTTAACTGTATTTAATTTGCCTTAAAGTGGCAATATGTAACTTTTTGGGTGACCTGACCAAATACGCATAGAAATGTGAGTTATAGATCTATCATTCTACTTGAAAGCAAGTCTAAGAAGCAGTAGATCTGTTCTATGTGCACTATTTCCATGATTCCCGTTCTCAAGTTTTGTTTTTGCGTCTTTTACTTTCGGTTTTGTACACCCGTTTTCAAACAGCTGAAACAACAACAATATTTTTGGTTATGGAAAATATATTTCACAGCGGTTTAGATGGTACAATGATTCTCTACACTATACTAGCTTATTTTGTCACATAAACTGAAATTAGGCAAACTATTAGAGTTTTAGCAACCAGGAAATGCCAGAGTGATTTCTGCATAGTGCAACTTTAATATTGCTGGACCCCAGGAAGAGTAGCTGCTGCAAAACTGTAACCAGTGCCTTATGGGGATCCATAATAGAATTATAATACAAAACCCCCTCTGCTCTATATTGAAATACACCTCTATTCATTATGGAGAACATTTGTTTATATCTTTTCACAATTCAAGTGAATACCGAGTAATACTGTGACTATTTCCGCCGTGTTGTGTTGTCCCCTAGGAGTGACACAGTGCGTTATGCCCTGGACATACTGAGCATCCTGACAGTGATCCCGAAGACCCAGCTGCTGATGGCTGAGTCTGTGGCTGTGCCGGATGGGGAGGGGGGTAACGCGGTCTCCACCGTGGGTACGTTACACTGCCCTGCCATGGCATTCTATTGACACCACCTTATCTATCCAGCAGACCAGGACTGTTTGCTTTGGGGTTTCATCTTAATGTTCTGTTGTTCCTCAGGTATGAGTGTAGTCCTGGTGGTGGCAGAGGGAGAGGTGTTTGTGAACGACGCCGAGATCCAGAAGTCTGCTCTGCAGGTGGTCATCAACTGTGTGTGCGCTCCGGACAAACGCATGTCCAGCATCGGCAAGTTCATCTCGGGCACGCCTCGTAGACGCCTGCCCCAGACTACCAAGAGCAGCGAGAGCGTGCTCAGCAAGATGTGGAACGTGGTGCAGTCCAACAACGGCATCAAGGTGAGATGAGATTAACTTCAGAACTGTCTATTGATAGATATTACGCTGTTATGTTGTTGGGTGCTACTGGTCTCTGATTTGTCTTTATTCATTAGTGGTTTGGGTTACTTTTATGATTTCTCAATACTGTTATTATGCACTGGGAACCATAGCTAGTTCTTCTGCCATCTCCCTGTAGGTGCTCCTGTCCCTGCTGACGGTGAAGATGCCCATCACAGATGCAGATCAGATCCGGGCCCTGGCCTGTAAGGCCCTGGTGGGTCTGTCCCGCTCCAGCTCAGTCAGACAGATTATCAGCAAGCTGCCTCTCTTCAGCAGCGGACACATCCAGCAGCTCATGAAGGAGCCTGTGCTCCAGGACAAACGCAGCGAACACGTCAAGTTCTGCAAGTTTGCGGCGGAGCTCATCAAGCGAGTGTCTGGTAAACCCCTCATGATAGGGACAGATGTGTCCCTGGCCTGGCTGCAGAGGGCTAATGTGGTGGCCCAGTCCAGGATCTCCTTCCCTGAGAAGGAGCTACTGCTGTTGATCCGGAACCACCTGGTGGCCAAAGGCCTGCATGACACGGCCACCACGCTCACCAAGGAGGCCGACCTCCCCATGGCCATCCTCCCCCACCCATCTTCCTCAGCTTTGCTTCCTGTCGTTGTTCCCCCCCCTCCTGCCTCTCCCGCCCCTGCCCTCCCCCGGACCCCTCGGCTGGCCAATGGGGTCGCGGCACGGTTGGCGAGCCACGGCTCTCATCCGTCCGTGCCGTTGTCAGTTCAGCCCCAGCCCCGTCCCTCGACATCGCAACTCCTCGCACTCCCTCCGGCCGCCCCTCCCCTGTTGACCCCTCACCAAAGCAACGGCTCTCCCCTGATTGGTCGGATCGTGTTCACGCGAGAGCGCCCGTCGCCTTGCCCTGTGCCTGCCAGCTGTAAGAAGCCGCGGGTGCTGAGGCAGAAGTCAGACTACGGTGCCTTCAGCCAGAGTCCAGCCATGAAGAAACAGCTGGACAGACACCTGCCCTCTCCCCCCGCCCTGGACAGCATCATCACAGAGTACCTGAGGGAGCAGCATGCACGCTGCAAGAACCCTGTCACCACCTGCCCCCCCTTCTCCCTCTTCACCCCCCACCAGTGCCCCGAGCCCAAGCAGAGGCGCCAGGCCCCAACCAACTTCACCTCCCGAAACACACGCAGGGTCGTCTACCCCAAGTATGGAGGGGTGGACGGGGGTTGCTTCGACAGACACCTCATTTTTAGCAGGTATGGTTGGCTCCTAATACACTGGGGACTAAGTCCTTGTCTTTTATCTTTAATTGGGTTTTTAGATGGACCTCTTTTGGATTACATTTCCCTCTTTTCCCCTTTCCCCCAGGTTTCGTCCCATGTCTGTGTTCAGGGAGGCAGACGAGGATGAGAGTGGGTTCATGTGTTGTGCCTTCTCTGCCCGTGAGCGGTTCCTGATGCTGGGGACGTGTACGGGCCAACTCAAACTCTACAATGTGTTCACAGGCCAGGAGGAGGCTAGCTACAGCTGTCACAGCTCTGCCATCACACACCTAGAGCCATCACGGGTCAGTGGGACACATTTACAAATCTACCTATCTCGTGTATATCTAAAACAGTATTTTAGTGAAACCTTTTATTCTTGTCTTTTTTCATCAGGATGGCTCTCTGTTGTTGACGTCGGCATCATGGAGTTATCCCCTGTCTGCACTGTGGGGCATGAAGTCAGTGTTCATCATGAAGTAAGTGTGACACAGGAGACCAACCCTGACCCAGTCAGATCAATACAGTTGGTTATTGCTTCAAATGGGGATGGCTGCGCTACCCATTCCATTTCTATGGTTAATTCTACTGGTTGTGTTTCCATGGTGCTCCCTGCCCAATGGTACAGCTGCTCAGTGCCAGCAGGAACTGCTGAAAGAGGCTGACACATTCTTTAATTATGCACACTAACTGAACTGCCTTAGTAGGGCTGGGAATTGCCAGGGACCTCACAATACAATATTATCACGATACTTAGGTGCTGATACAATATGTAATGCGACTCACACGATTCAATACTGTGATTTTATTGCGATTTGATGTTCCGAACGTTGCTCACTATATGTCTGCTGCAGAGAGAACATGAGAAAATTATTTTTGATCAGTCATGGAAACAAAATAGCTGAAAACATGTCTCACTATTTAAAAAGATGATGAACAAGCTATAGGATGAAAAATACCGGCGTTTAGCGCAGGTACAGCCAACTAGCGCTAGCTGGGAAAAAATAAAAAAAATAGATACTTTGAGTTAAAGTATCGATATAATATTGTATAATTTTTATCCCCATCACTATGTCTTGGGGCTGGAATGTTCACTTCATAGAATCCACAGTGTAGTGGGGCCTCCTTCTGTCCACAGTTTAACCAAAGCAACATTGGTGCTCTTGTAGTTTAGCTAGAACAACATTGGCCCATCATTACTTAACCAAAATGGCTTATTCTATATGAACTGAAGTCAGAGGTTGTAAGGGATGCCTGGGAATTTGTATTTTCTATTTACCTCTGTATTTATTCATTGTTCCCCTCTTCTTTCCAGGCATTCCTTCTTAGATGATCATTATGTGGAGTTCAGCAAACTCTCACAAGACCGAGTCATTGGCACAAAGGAACACATAGCTCACGTAAGTCTTCTTTCTCAACATATAAAGGTTAAACTGAACAACCAGGTACAAGTTAAATTTTTTTGTCCTGATCAACTGAAAACATGTAATCTTTGGGTCTCAGATCTATGACATCCAGACAGGGCAGAAGACCCTGACCCTCAACTACCCGGACCTGGCCAACAACTACAAGAGGAACTGTGCGACCTTTAACCCCACCGACGACCTGGTGCTGAACGACGGCGTGCTGTGGGACGTGCGCTCGGCTCGGGCCATCCACAAGTTTGACAAGTTCAACATGAACATCAGTGGAGTGTTCCACCCCAATGGCCTGGAGGTCATCGTCAACACTGAGATTGTATCCTACTCACATACTGTACAATAGTCCTAGTCATATTTGTAGAGTTAATTGGCTCTACTGAGCCTGCATCAGTTTATCTGATAAGTGGCCTAATATCAAGATGAGTCTGTGTCCCTTGCCATCTGTTGTGTACATCCAGCAAATATCCCAACACCAGAGGAATTGGGTAGAATAGTCAATATGTTATATTGATAGTAATGTGACAGTGTGATTCCTTAATGGTTGTGTCAGTGGGACCTGCGGACCTTTCACCTCCTCCACACAGTGCCAGCTCTGGACCAGTGCAGGATCGTCTTCAACAACAACGGCACGGTCATCTACGGAGGTAAGGCCTTACCCCACTACATTATGGGAAATGAAGGACAGTGTTCTGTGGTAGCAAGGCTCATCAAATTTCACCTTGTGGTGAACAGCTAAGACTTTTAGATGTGTGTAGAAAGGTGAATGCTTGTGGGGTTGTGAAAGGTGCATGTAGATGTGTGTTTGATGCCACACGGCCCTGCTGAACCATATGGCCAGGAGGCTGTGCCCTGAGCTAGCAGAGGAGTCTAACCAGCTGATTCACACCACCTCACAGCCACTGGGAGGCCATGAGTTGGTAGAGCATGGCGTTTGTAACGCCAGGGTTGTGGGTTCGATTCACACGGGGGGCCAGTATGAAAAATAAAAAAATTATGTATGCACTCACTAACTGTAAGTCGCTCTGGATAAGAGCGTCTGCTAAATGACTAAAATGATGTATCCACCAACATCCACACCATTCTAATGGCTCAGTAGCCAGAGCCACTGGGAGGCCATGATGGATCCACCCACATCCACACCATTCTAATGGCTCAGTAGCCAGAGCCACTGGGAGGCCATGATGGATCCATCCACAGCAGTACCACTCTTATCATACTATCCATCTATTCATCCACCCACACCTCTATTCATCCAGTATGTGTGCAACTAGCTCTTATTTTGCCATGATGAATCCTCACATTACCGGTACCTGAATTTAACCATGCCATCCATTTTCAAGGAGGATTTTTCTATTCTTTCATTGGAATTCCAGTTCAATTGACTCAATAGAAATGGAATTGACCCCAATCCTGTTACCCAGAGCCTTGTGGATACCATAAAGGCTCTGCAAATCAAATCAAATGTTATTTGCCACATGCGCCGAATACAACAGGTGTAGACATTACCGTGAAATGCTTACTTACAGCCCTTAACCAACAAATAAAACAACAACCAAAAAGTGTTGAGAAAAAAAGAGCAGAAGTAAAATAAAATGACAGTAGGGAGGCTATATATACAGGGGGGTACTGGTGCAGAGTCAATGTGCGGGGGCACCGGCTAGTTGAGGTAGTTGAAGTAATATGTACATGTGGGTAGAGTTAAAGTGACTATGCATAAATAATTAACAGAGTAGCAGCAGCGTAAAAAGATGAGGTGGGGGTGGGGGCAGTGCAAATAGTCCGGGTACATTTACATTTTAGTCATTTAGCAGACGCTCTTATCCAGAGCGACTTACAGTTAGTGCATACATTATTATTATTTGTTTATTTTTTTCATACTGGCCCCCCCTGAGAATCAAACCCACAACCCTGGCGTTGCAAACGCCATGCTCTACCAACATCCCTGCCGGCCATTCCCTCCCCTACCCTGGACGACGCTGGGCCAATTGTGCGCCGCCCCATGGGTCTCCCGGATCACGGCCGGCTACGGCAGAACCTGGATTCGAACCAGGATCTCTAGTGGCACAGCTAGCACTGCGATGTAGTGCCTTAGACCACTGCGCCACTCGGAAGTTAGCCATGATTAGCTGTTCAGGAGTCTTATGGCTTGGGGGTAGAAGCTGTTGAGAAGCCTTTTGGACCTAGACTTGTCGCTCCGGTACTGCTTGCCGTGCGGTAGCAGAGAGAACAGTCTATGACTAGGGTGGCTGGAGTCTTTGACAATTTTGAGGGCCTTCCTCTGACACCGCCTGGTATAGAGGTCCCCACCACACTGATTTAGTAGCCAGAATAATTGGTCAATGTCTATTGATCTGGCCATCTAATCTGGCCACCCATTTTTCCTACTACTGATGCAACTGGTACCCTTTGACTGTGAAAATAATTGTATCCATCCATACACCTCTATTGCTTTTTCTCTGTATATGAAGCACACCTATGTATGTGTTCCAGTTGTGGCGTGTAGATAGAACCTAACACTACTGGGTTGTTTTTGCAGCGATGCTCCAGGCCGATGATGAGGATGACATTATGGAGATGCAGACGAAGACTCCTTTTGGCTCCTCCTTCAGGACGTTCAACGCCACCGACTACAAACCCATTGGTGAGATGGCTTTAAGACCCACACGATCACCAGAGTTTCAAGCCGTTGCATTTATCAGGAATAGACTATCCAGTTGTATACTGCACGACCCTAAACAACCCAGCCATGTTCCCTAAGCGAATAGACTCCATCCAAACTCGTTTCTGTATCGACTACTTTAGATATGGTTAAGATTGAACTAGTGTGACAGGTTTATTTATTACATGACATCAATGAAACATGCCCCCTGTCTTTTCCCCCCAGCCACCATTGACGTGAAGAGGAATATCTTTGACCTCTGCACGGACACTAAGGACTGCTACCTGGCTGTGATTGAGGTAGGTCTTATGTCATCTGTTACATAACTCAATAAATCTGAACGTGATTGAATCAAATACTCCGAGTAGTATAGTATTGGGAGACTGCCTCTGACACGGTTGTATGTTTCTGACTGCTGCTGTGTGTCTCCTGTCCAGAACCAGGACTCGGTCAACACAGACACGGTGTGCAGACTGTACGAGGTGGGACGCCAGAGACTGGCTGAAGAGGAGGAGGATGAAGACGATCAGGTAAAGATACCCAACAAACCCCCTTCCTTCAAAAAGCACCGCAGTGCACTTTAGACTTCGGTCTAAGGCACTGCATCTCAGTGCTTGAGGCGTCACTACAGACACCCTGGTTCGATTCCAGGTTTTATCACAACTGGCCGTGATTGGGAGTCCCATAGGGCGGCGCATAATTGGCCAAATCTGTTCTTAACTGACTTGCCTAGTTAAATAAAGGTGAAATAATAAAAAATACAAAATGTTTGGTAGATAATGAATGAATCAATCAGATCACCAGTCACTAACATTAGATGATTGGTTGGTTGTGTCAGTCTTTTTATTGCAAGTAATACAACCTAAATAGAGAAATATAAGATCTGTGAAGCATGTTCCTTACACTGGCTGTTCTGGAACACTTGTCCCTATCAGGAGGATGACGATCAAGATGATGACGATGATGATGATGAAGATGACTCTGACGATGACATGGACACGGACCCTCTGATCGCTGAGCTGGATAACGATAACGGAGAGGATGAGGACGAGGACGACGGGAACAATGAATTATCTCCCTCTGATGATGAAGAGGTGTCTCGCCTGCTGGAGGGGGACGGAGAGGAGGAGGATGACGATGATGATGACTCGGATGAGGATGATGGGGACCTTGCCCTGGATAACAGTGAGTAACAGTTGTCAGTTTGTCCTTCAAACATTCACTGATAGGTACAGCATGGGATGCAGGACAGGCAAGGCTGAAGTTGTTGGTAACAGTAAACGTAAACCTGTTGTCATAAGAGCTAGGCTACTTAATGCTTTTTAGTAATGCCATAGAAGTCATTACCATGATGTTATTATGACTGAAAAGCTGTGCCTCTACTGCTGTGTGAGGACACTTCAGCTTGAGAGGGATTGACAGAATGAAAGGAAAAGAGTGCGAGTGAGAGGAAAAAAGAGATGGACCCTCACACTGTCTGAGGGCATGTTGCAGAAGACATGTCGTTTCTGCTTTCTGTCATTTTTCTACCACCACAGCAGTGACTTGTACAGTATTCTGTCCCGTTATCCCCCAGACCTCTACATAATTTAAATTTGCTGTCTTTCTGTCAACCCAGCAGACAGCTCTGACAACTCTGACCTTGAGGATGACATCATCCTGTCCCTGAATGAGTGAGGAGCCGTCAGTGTCTGGGACAGCGAAACTAGGACGACAGGTCCGGACTCCTGGAGAGAGAGCTCCCTGTGGGTGAACTGTCATAAACAACTGAGACAAGACGATAAGGTACAGTTAGATAAGAGAGAGTTGGGGAGAAAGAAGGATGGGATTTGGATTTGGGAAATGAACTGAGAGAGCCGACAGAGCACTGCCAGTTTGGAATTCTGTCCAAGGCCACCCACCACCCAGGAGCAAGTCAACCTGGAAGAAGCTGATTGGAGGAGTCAGTGAAGGGCCAGAAGATGTCCACCTTTCAAAATGTTTCTACAAAAATTGATTTGTATATGATATAGTTTTATATTACACCGTGGGCTTGATGAGTGGAAAACAATGTTTGTACAGACACAACAACAACTGAGGTTATTATTTTTTCATTTTGAATTCATTAAAGCTCATTCAAAAGTTTGCCCTTTGATATGGACTATCCTTTATTTTCTAGAATGCTGAATGGCCACCGCTCTTTGTATAGTTTTTTTTTTTAGATGGGGAAACTGAAGGACTGTTTTTAGATGGGGAAACTGAAGGAAGCTACTTCTGACTCTGTGGATTGGTAAGGCAGTGTTGGCTGACTCAAGCATCCTGTTCTATACTGCATCAACTCCCATGTGGCCTGCTAAAGACTAAGGTGCTGCATGAGGCTTCCACTGTAACACACACACAGTCTATGTGGAGCTAAACCAGCCATATCCTCAGGTTCATCTCCACTGCACCACCTTCTACTATACAAACGTGACCAACGACCAAGAAGCCACACACAGTAGTGTCATCAATGACCACCACCACCGGATTTCACTGTCGTCATAGCAACAGATCAAACATGGTGCTCTTGAAAAATGCTGAATACTGGCATTTGTTTAGAAACTGTAAGCACGTTAGTGAGTGTAAAACTGTGGACTCTACAAAAATTGTCAGCAAACGATTGATGTAGTTGTATGTATACATAACGAGGCCTTAAAGGATGTCTTCCTTTTTCCATGTATGAATTTGGCTTTGGTTGACATTTTGAATGGTGCTTGATCTCAACCTTGGGTTTATGCTGCACACACAGGTTATATTCTAAGGGAATACATACTTTGCATACAATCCAAATGTAAACTAAACATTTTAGCATTCAGTTTGGGTTCATTAGTGCACATTGCTTGGTGTTCAGTTTTTACAGTTAGCTACAACCTGTTTACCTTTCATTTTTCTCTTTTGGATTTGATTGGTCCTCTCATGGAACAACACCAACAGAACCTAACCTGGATTGGAGGATGTTTGCCAACTGCCAATGATGCAGACAGTGTATTTTGACTGAGGTGGGCTTGTTTAGATGATTTTTCTGAATCTGAACTTTGATGTTGGGTGGGTGGCTTTAGAAGCTATTCCTGATAAGTGTTCAATTGTGGATAGCTTTATTATTCAGTTACAACTTCTTTATTAAGACACTCGATACAAATGTAGGCGTGGTCTCACCTGTCTTGCCTATTTCCAATACATCATGATTTTTCTTCCCGACTCGTGTTTTCTTTGCCTAGTTTGATTACGTTCTTTGCCTTCTGCCTCTTCTCATTTCTTCTTCAAGGAGGCACTCTTGTAAAGATCCATAAAAACATGTTGTGTACTGTATGTATGTATCTAAAAGTATTTTTTACTATAAATAAAATGAAAGGTTGAGCTCTGTCGTCTTTAGGCATGTTCATAGTTGGAAAACCCTGAACCATTGACATTAAGAGAATAACTCCCTGGTCTGAACATTGAATATGACATATGCATCATACACCCAACAGCTATTATTCAGTTGCTGTGATGGAAGAGTTTGTTCACATTTCTGCCTACATAGAGCCAGGGGTTTACCGGCCATAACATAAAGACAATGTGGAAATAGCATGTAGAGGATATGTTGTCATTAGTTTACCCCAATATTAGGGTCGTTCCACCAAGTGCCGTTTGAGAAATGTAACTTCCCTCCCCAAAAAATAAATAAGAGATGACGTTTAAAAAAAGACTGTGCCAAATAAAGTAAGGGGGTTGACGATTTAATCTTAAATCAGCCATAAATCCCCTTGTGATGGGGAATGGCAATTGAATGAAAGCTTCACAAAAAAAATTAAATTGCTAAAACATTTCTTGCCTGTCTATCTATGGGTAACAGGGTTGACGTGTTATGCTTGACCAACTCAGTTTTCCACCACAAAACACCAGTAAATTGACAAAATTGACACTAATTTAACTATTCGGTGTTCAATGTTTATTTTGAAAGAAAAATAGTTCAGTTCACTTAACAGGGTTGACCTTAAAATGAGAGACAGACGTAAATGAATCACTAATAAATAATTATCTTCAGAAATGACTGTCAAAGCAACAAAATAACTTTACATTGATGGTGAAACGTTTGAATTAAGTGGGTTGAAATCTTCCTAGAAGCGACACAGGGTTGACGGAGGGAAATGTTTAGCAAGCCTTTATTCATAGTTTTTTTTAAATGTGGATTTATTGAATTTTCCATAGTGGTTTATATTAAAGGGTACTTCATTTAATTTAACAGGCTTTTCAAATTCAATATTCTCCTCCTCCAAACACGGCGAGTTGAGTTGATGCCAAAGAGATCGATTTTGGTCTCATCTGACCACAACACTTTCACCCAGTTCTCCTCTGAATCATTCAGATGTTCATTGGCAAACTTCAGACGGGCCTGTATATGTGCTTTCTTGAGCAGGGGGACCTTGCGGGCGCTGCAGGATTTCAGTCCTTCACGGCGTAGTGTGTTACCAATTGTTTTCTTGGTGACTATGGTCCCAGCTGCCTTGAGATCATTGACAAGATCCTCCCGTGTAATTCTGGCCTGTTTCCTCACCTTTCTCATGATCATTGCAACTCCACGAGGTGAGATCTTGCATGGAGCCCCAGGCCGAGGGAGATTGACAGTTATTTTGTGTTTCTTCCATTTGCGAATAATCGCACCAACTGTTGTCACCTTCTCACCAAGCTGCTTGGCGAGGGTCTTGTAGCCCATTCCAGCCTTGTGTAGGTCTACAATCTTGTCCCTGACATCATTGGAGAGCTCTTTGGCATTGGCCATGGTGGAGAGTTTGGAATCTGATTGATTGCTTCTGTGGACAGGTGTCTTTTATACAGGTAACAAACTGAGATTAGGAGCACTCCCTTTAAGAGTGTGCTCCTAATCTCAGCTCATTACATGTATAAAAGACACCTGGGAGCCAGAAATCTATCTGATTGAGAGGGGGTCAAATACTTATTTCCCTCATTAAAATGCAAATCAATTTATAACATTTTTTACATGTGTTTTTCTGGATTTTGTTGTTATTCTGTCTCTCACTGTTCAAATAAACCTACCATTAAAATTATAGACTGATCATTTCTTTGTCAGTGGGCAAACGTACAAAATCAGCAGGGGATCAAATACCTTTTTCCCTCACTGTACATATATAATCAGTTTATTCAGGAGTGTGCTGTTGCATCACCATTGGTTACCATATGTTAAATGGGATTACGCTATGTTCTTAAAAAACTATAGGAGAGATCATAACATTCTAAAAACAACATCATTTTGATTAAAATACGCTGAACAAAAATATAAACGCAACATGTAAAGTCTTGATCCCATGTTTCATTAGCTGAAATAAAAGATCCCAGAAATGTTCCATACGCACAAACAGTTTATTTCTCTCAGATTTTGGGCACACATTTGTTTACATCCCTGTTAGGGAGCATTTCTCCTTTGACAACATAATCCACCCACCTGACAGGTGTGGCATATCAAGAAGCTGATTAAACAGCATTATAATTACATAGGTGCACCTTGTGCTGTGGACAAAAGGCCACTCTAAAATGTGCAGTTTTGTCACACAACACAATGCCACAGATGTCTCAAGTTTTGAGGGAGCGTGCAATTGGGATGCTGACTGCAGGAATGCTCACCAGAGCTGTTGCCAGAGAATTTAATGTTAATTTCTCTATGCTGTTTTAGATCATTTGGCAGTGCGTGCAACCGGCCTCGCAACCGCAGACCACGTGTAACTACGGCAGCACAGGGCCTCCACATCCGGCTTCTTCACCTACGGGATCGTCTGAAACCAGCCACCCAGAGAGCTGATGAAACTGTGGGTTTGCACAACTGAAGAATTTCTGCACAAACTTTCAGAAACCGTCTCAGGGAAGCTCATCTGCATGCTCCTCGTCCTTATCAGGGTCTTGACCTGACTGCAGTTGCTCAACTTCGATGGCCACTGGCACGCTGGAGAAGTGTGATCTTCATGGATGAATCCCGGTTTCAACTGTCCCGGGCAGATGACAGACAGCATGTATGGCATCGTGTGGGCGAGCGGTTTCCTGATATCAACATTGTGAACAGAGTGCCCCATGGTGGCGGTGGGGTTATGGTATGGGCAGGCAGAAGCTACGAACAACGAACACAATTGCATTTTATTTATGCACAGAGATACCATGACGAGATCCTGAAGCCCATTGTTGTGCCATTCATCCGCCACCGTCATCTCATGTTTCAGCATAATAATGCACAGCCCCATGTCGCAAGGATCTGTACACAATTCCTGGAAGCTGAAAATGTCCCAGTTCTTCCATGGCCTGCATACTCACCAGACCTGTCACCCATTGAGCATGTTTGGGATGCTCTGGATCGACATATACGACTGCGTGTTCCAGTTCACGCCAATATCCAGCAACTTCGAACAGCTATTGAAGAGGAGTGGGACAAGATTCCACAGGCCACAATCAACAGCCTGGACAACTCTATGCGAAGGAGATGTGTCGCGCTGCATGAGGCAAATGGTGTTCACACTAGATACTGTCTGGTTTTCTGATCCACGCCCCTACCTTTTTTTTAGGTATCTGTGACCAACAGAGGCATATCTGTATTCCCAGTCATGTGAAATCCATAGATTAGGGCCTAATGAATACATTTAGATTGACAGATTTCCTTATATGAACTGTAA